CTCTGTGGAGGACTACGCCATTGCTGTCGACAAGAGAGGTGGTCCTGTTCAAGACTACGTAATTCCCGTCGACAAGCGAGGCGGCGGTGTTGAGGACTATGCTATCGGGGTCGACAAGCGAGGCGGCAGTGTCGAGGACTATGCTATCGCCGTTGATAAGCGAGGTTCTGTGGAAGATTACGCCATTGCTGTTGATAAGCAAGGCTCTGTGGAAGACTACGCTATTGCCGTCGACAAGCGAGGCGGCAGTGTTGAGGACTATGCTATTGCTGTCGACAAGAGAGGCTCTGTGGAGGACTATGCCATTGGGGTTGATCAGTGAGACAGACAGTACTGCTTGACGACGTACTGGGTCAGTATCTGAGCACACGCAGGTCTGCAGTGGCGTCTCCAAATAGAGTCGATAGTTTCACCTTTTACCAACAATAAACTGCCCACTCTTTCAATTGACTGGATTCAGCATAGAAATAGTGCTGGCCTGTGATCCGGTTAGTCAAGCTGGTCCAAGTAGACCATGTCGTCTTCGTACCAAGTAGCCGCTAGTTAGCCCTCCTCCAGAGGCTACAACCGCACAATCAGCACAGGTCAGGTAAAAATATACAATTATTACTATGCAATTTCGTCATGTTTATATGAGTTGAGACTTGAATCGGAGTAGATTGTCCAGGCCTAATGGATTCCATGTGTCGTCTTCAGCCTGTTCTCTTCCACCCAATGTGAGATGGCATCAAAGCTACGGCATTTATGCTCAAATCCCCAGCCCGTGCTTCCATTGTCCCTCGGAGGCGCTGGAAGCCACTCGAGCGTCGTGTCTCCAAAGCACATGATGGTCTGCCGCAAGTAGTCGAAGCAGTGCATCAAATGGGCGCTGCTTACTTGGCCGCGTCTGCCCTCGAGCGCGCTGTAGTACCCTTCCCGCGTCATGTACTATTGGGCTGTTAATTGTCTATCACGACAGGAGACAGGAAAGCGCTTACAAGACAGTGTAGCTGATGGAAGACGGACACCATGGCCTTTTGCTCGGCTACCGATTGGTCGAGGCCGGGTTGGTCGGGGATTGCAGTGTCGTTCTTTATGATGACAAATCCGCGCCCGACTAGCAAATTTTGGTCAGAGGAGACTGTATGGTGAGAAGAAGGAATAGAATGGGGATCACCTGGCATCAGCGCATTCCATGCTGTTTCCGACTCGTTGCTCAGGCGGTCTCCGTATAACGTCTTGAACTCGAACAGCGAAGTGGTCGTGACTGTGGAGTACTTTGATCAGCGATGGAGGAGGATGAGGTGGAAGAATTTGACGTACCCTCAGGCGGCCTCCATGAATTCTGCGACCCAAACTCTCCTGGCAGCTGCTGCTTGATGAATGCGGCAAGCAAGAGCAGATTCGTCAAGGCGAGCATGACGCTGATCAACCAGGGCGCGGTCAATCGGAAGAATCTGCACGTGTTTTCCCTTTCTCTTCCAGAAACGGGTCTTAAGGCAGCAAAATCCGCGTCTTCTACCCCATCTGGTAGAAGTGAGGCCCGTAGCGAGTCGCCATTGACGATGCTGTACTTGGTCGTTTTTGGAAACATTGTACTGGTAGAGTCCTCTCGTGTTGCTGCTTGGGCTGCCAAAGATTCGCTCCAGGACTATTCCGCCGGTCGCAAGTTCAATGCTAGGACGGTTTGGCATTATCTCTTGGGCGAAGCGCGACTTGCAGCCGGTGTCGCTCGTCGTGATGGCGCGCCTATGCTTGATGGTGGGGACGTGAGCGAGGCGCCAAAGTACCAGGACCAAGGGAAAGACTTGCACTATTTGGCGCGGCGCCATGCTGGCCTTGCAGATTGCTTGCGAAGAGACTCTTTTGAATTGTCACCGGTAATGTCGTATTCCCGGCGCCGAGTGCGAATACGGTGACGCCAATCGCTCCAAGGACATCCGCTGAATGAATCAACCCTGTGTGCTAGGTGAGAGTACTACTCAAACAAGTGCAGTGCATTCAATTTAAGCAAGCACCTAGGATGGGAAACATGATATCTTCTACTAGCGGTATTGCCAACTAGCTCTACTTTAACGCATCCTTGTTGTTGACGAGTCTGTGATCCTCAGCCCACGATCGAATCGTTTCGAAATCCTTGCACATGTGCACCGCCCCGGTACCGTCGGTGCCTGTCTTGTTCGTGTTTGGGTCCTGCCCTTCCAACGCGGTATCACCACAGCAGAGCAACGATTGCCTCAGATACCGGAAACAGTGGTCCACATGGTGATGCGCGCTGGCCTCTTCTCGGCCATGGTGATGATGGTCTACGTGGCCAGCCGGTCGCTCGCTGGTCAAGTCGTTGTATATGTCCATAATGGTATACTATAGAATAAAATCAGAGCCCAATAATGTGCCCTCTTGAAGCGGAGCCACGTACCAGACAATGAAGCTGGTGGAACACGGCGATGGAGTAGGCACTCTGTCCCAGAAACGGGATGGGGTCCGGGAGCTGATACTTTGCCGAGTCATTCACAGCGATAAACCCATTCCCCTCTGATGATTGCAATTTTAATTGTTAGACAGCTGTTGCGCATTTCAGATTTCCACTCACTCGGCATGTAGGATAGCCAATTATCCCTGGTGATGTTTCTCGACTGCTCGGATTCGTGGTCCACCGTAGCAAAGGCGTCTTTTCGGAACAAGACAGGTGTTGTAGGAACTATATAATATTAGCCACTAGCCAAGCTTGAGCAGTCTCTCCTGGAAATGTACAATTCGGAACGAGGTTGTTGAGCTCGCTGAGGAGTGCTGGCGGGCACCCTCTTGCTTCGCCCCATCGGACAAGTATTGTCTCGAGCACGATGAGCTCCAGACTACCGACCAAAATGCACACAGTCACAAAGACCGCCTTGCGCATGCTCCATGGCTGCCGCGTCGGGCGTTGCGGGCGCGCCTGGTGCTCGATGAGGAATTCGCTCGATGCGCGAGCGGAGCTGTCCTTGTCGAATGAGCGCGACATGGCCGTTGACGAGGTTGGCAAAGAAGCAGCTTCAACTGCGAATCTGAGTGGTTGGATATATTGTTTCGTGGATGGTCTTAGATAGTGCCAGGATCTGGGACTATGCAAACCCGCATAACTAGAAGAATACAGAAACCGGCTGAGAGACCGGCGCCGGGGTCCCGGACCAGTCATCGGCGACCCATCTAGTGAGGCCGCTCGCGCCAAAGCTGGCGCAACTAAGCAGATCTGCATCAAACCAGAAAATGCGGGTGCGAAGAAAGTATTGGGACTGCTATACCAGTAGAATCAGCAATGCATGACGTAGGACCTGCAGAATAATCACCCCGATGATAGCCGTTGCTGCATCTCGCTCGCGCCAACTTGTAAGTGAGGCGCACAACACCTGCTGGACTCGGTGGCCGTCACCATTTTCATGGAAAAATCCAAGTCGTACGAATGAGCACCAGTGACAATTTTGCCGAAGTCTGCGAGCCTCGCGCACTTGCTGAAACATGGGCTTAGAAAGCTTAAAAGCACGGCTCAAAGGATACAGGGCGCTGTACACACTCCCCAACGATGCGGACAAGGAAGAGCAAAGGGAGGCCAAATTGTAAGCTTTTGCAAGTCTCTATTCCCGGCTATCGAGCTGACACGTCTGGAAGCTCAGCTTGGCGGCTCGTCTTGGCCACGCTACCCGGCCTCGTGCTTGCCGCCGTGGTGTGCTCCGTCTTCTTCGCGGCCATGGCGAGCGTGCGCCGTCCCGCGCCGTCCGCCTGCACGGATCCAACGATCCGCCAAGAATGGCGTGCCTTGACGCGAGCGGAGAAGCGCGAGTTCATCCGCGCCGTGAACGTGCTGGCACAGGTCCCGTCCAGGTGGCGGGAGAACGGCACTGTGTACGATGACTTTGCCGTGTTGCACGGGGCGATTGGATCATGGGGTGAGTGTGCCGGCCCTGTCCTGCTGTCTTGATTCTGTGCTTACTGTATAACGCAAGCAAAGCCCATCGGTCGGCGTCGTTTCTTCCGTGGCATCGGTACACGCTCATTCTGTACGAAGCGGCGCTTCGGGAGCATGCCGGTTTCAAAGGCCATATCCCGTGCGTCCAGTCGCAGCTCTCTTGAATATCTATTTAATGTTTTTTTTTTCTGACTGTGTTTGCTCCTGCAGGTACTGGGACTGGTCTCTGGACTGGATGGATCTGGCCAACTCGTCCATCTGGAGCAGCGACGATGGCTTCGGCGGCGACGGCGACCCCAGCGGGCCCGTCGTCGTCGGGGACGGGCGCTGCGTCCTCGACGGGCCATTTGCCCATCTCCGTCCCATCTTGTACAACCACACATTTACGCAGCACTGCCTCGCGCGCGGCTTCCACGACGGCGAGACCATGGGACGCCTGTCCGGCGAGGCGTACAAGCCCGAGAAGATGGGCGAGATACTGCGGGAGCCCACGTACAAAGGGTTTGCGCGGCAGTTGGAGATTTATCTGCACGGCTCCCTCCACCAGTCTGTGAATGGAGACTTTCAAGCCATGACGGCTGCGAATGGTGAGTCATGTCTCATCCATGGAGATCCGATTTGCTAACGAGGGCGACCAAGATCCTCTCTTTTATGTGCATCACGCACAGCTAGATAGGGTCTGGTGGCGATGGCAGCAAATGCGTCCCGGGGTGCGACTGTTTGAGTACGAGGGCAAGCACATGTTCAACTCGACCGGCCATGCCTCCTTGGACGACGTTTTACTGTATGGGGGCTTCGCAGAGGACATGCCCGTGGCCAAGGTCATGAATACCGAAGGAGGGTTTCTCTGCTACAAGTATTGAGCTCTACAGGATATAAATATACCAATGCACAGTAGTACGCGAATGAACCAAAGTACATCTTCATCAGGCGAAGACGAGAACTGGGAACTATGTATTGAGGCTGTTCGTAGGTGACAATCAGAACGCATTGTGCCCGTTCCCATTCACACACTCCACCTGGGCTTGACCAGCCTCGACCTCTGCAGCCGCTCTCTCGCCATCCCGAGCAGCGCGGAGCCTCACAATCGCCTCTCTCACGCGCTGCTTCTCCCTCTTCCACGTCGGCGTGTGTCCCTGCAGCAGCTCCATGCCGTGCTGCCGTCTGCCCGCATTCACCCACTCCACCAAGTCGCGCACGTACTCCTCCTCCTCCTCCTTGAGGGCGTGCAAGTAGCGCCCGAGGCCCTTTCGCCGGACGCGCTCCCGGTACTCGTCGCGTCGCGCGGGTTCGGGCGGCAGCGGCGCGACGCCGGCGAAGACGGCGGCCACGGCCACGGCCTGGAACTCAAACAGCGAAAAGGTGCTGGAGAAGAGCGGGAGCCCGACAAAGGCCAGCGTCGGGTCCGGGATGTAGAAGATGTCGCGGTGCAGGTTGTGCACCTGCCCGCCGTCGGTGGTGAGGAGCCGGTCGCCGGCCGCGGCGGGCGCGACCGCGCTGTCGTGGTACTGCGGCAAAAAGGGCAGCGTAAACTGGTAGCCGGTGCAGATGATGATGCTGTCGATGCCGAATATGGCAGCGCCGTGGCTCAAGTGGATGGTGAAGGGCGCGCCGTCAAGCGCCGTCGTTGGCGCGGGGTCGACGGTAATCGCCACCGCTTCGGCCACCCGCGTCGCGTTCTTGGGGAGCACACTGGCGGGCATATCGGACATGCCGTTTCTGGTGCTCTGGAAGATGCTGCGCGCGCAACGGCCAATGTCCTTGGCAATGTCTGTGGATGATACACCACCGCCTATCAAGAGCACATCCTGACGTAGCGCCATTAGCATACATATTCTTGCTTTTTGCCGGCTGGCTCAGTTTCCGTGGCTACCTTGTTCTCATACTCGGTGGCATTTCTGAAATACTTGGAGTGTTTTATCCGTGTAGGATATCGAGCCTTGGCATCAGCAAGGCCGGGGATGTCTGGAATCCGCGGGGCGTGGTAGTGACCAGATGCGACCACCACTGCGTCAAAAGTCTGTTTCCAAGTCATCATCATCATCACCAAACTGCAGTCTCAATCAAGTCACTTACCCAAATATTTTGTTCTGTCGCGTCCTTAGCCTCACAGTCGTCTTCCTCAAAGAGCGCCCACTGCACACACCATTCCGAGTCGCGCTTCCACATGCGCGTCACCAGCGCGCCGTACACCGTGACTGCACTTGTTCCCGTCTTTGCAGCTGTTTCCTGGATGTAGTCCTTGATCACAGAGTGACTCACGACTCTCGGTGTGCCTTTTGGCCAAGCGTTGAGCGTGACTTGCATGAGCGGCGTGTCAATGTTGTTTTGTAAGCTGTCATAGCAAGGCCTGCCAGGAAACGATGAGCGGAGGTGTTCGATGCGCAGTATACATGGCTCAAAACGAACCCGGGTGGCGCATGAAGCAGTCGTCGTCTTTCTTTGCTCGTGGATATTTCTCCGGGACCCGGTAGTTCATCTGCATCCTCGGGCTTTACACACGGGTACTGTGGTTCAATCGCCGTCTCGCTACTGTGTATCCTAGACAAGATTTAACTATGAATTTGAATGGCATCGTACTTTGTGAGAAAATTACCATATTCCCCCAGCTTCGCTACTTCTCTCAAACACAACCACCTCGAGTCCGGCACGGAGGAGATGCGCCGCGCTCACAACGCCACTGATCCCGGCCCCGACGACGGCCACTCGTGGCATTTTGCGTGGTTGTATGGGTGGTTGGATAAACTTCAAGGAGCCTGTACTCGTTAGGCAAATTAAGTCCCCGGAGAATCTTCAGCTCCCCGCACGACAACCGCTGCATGATCGGGTGGACGCGGAGCAGATTGCTAGGGCTCAAGGAGGATGGGATTGGTTGCGTTGCTACATCTCTCTATCAATCCACTAACAGACAATTATCACCCTACACGGTGAAATTCCAAGGGAAATTCCCTTTCCCGTTCATTTACGACAATTGGCGCCTACGTAGGCGCCGCCAACCTCTCACTAGTTACCCTGCAGTTCCAAGGCTTGTCAAAGTACGACACCAGTTTGGTAACTGAGGATGGCAGGGCTAAGACTCAAAATACTAGACTGAATTTGATCTTCATACTATTCTTTCATGTGTGGCGCCGTACGGAACACTAATTGGTTGCTCCAAATGCATCCCAGTGCTTCCGACTTTAGTGGCTGCTTGTCGTGGCGTACCTACATGCAACCTTGTGTATTTCAACTCTAGACTTTTGGCAGTGCCTAACTATTTTGTCCAAAATCGCGCCTCAGCCCAATCAGGAGAATTCTCCAGTTCTTGACTGCTCCTTGTACCGCTTCCGGAGTTGCTCCTTTGCTGCAAACCAATTTGCGGAAAATCCATCAATTGGGACCAGGCCGCGACCAGTTCTCGCCTTGTTCATCCACAAAACAAGGTCATTTACGTAAACCTCTTCCTTGCTAAGAAGAGAGTGGAACTGTTTACCCAGACCGACCTGTTTTACCTTGTCCTCGTATTCCGCCCGCATGTCAGTCTGTTTTGGCAGGTCGACAACACCAGAGAAGACTTGAGCGATGGTGATTGCCTGAAAGTCAAACACGGAATGCGTAAAGGTGTAGGTGGGAAGCCCGGCAAAGGCCAGCGTTGGGTCAGGAATATAGAAGATGTCCTTGTGGAGGTTGTGCACTTGGGTGCCGTCCGTCACCAAGATGACATCGTTGGCATCCTGGAGCCGCATGTTGTCGTCGTGGTGATGCGGAAAGAAAGGAAGGCTGATGTGATAGCCGGTACAGCATACTATAAAATCTAGGCCACGCAGAACTTGCCCGTCGGACATTGTGGCCGACACTGGCAGTGGCTCGTCGTCGCCAAGAACATGGTCGGTGTCGTCGACTTGCAGAGAGACAACCTCGGCCACGCGACTTGCGTTTTTGGGCAGCATTCGAGGGTCTAGGTCAAATCCGCTGTTTCTCGTGCTTTGGTATATGTGTCGTGCCGCGGTCATGTCTTTGGCAATATCGACCGAGGACACGCCTCCGCCAATCATGAGAATAACCTTGCAAAATCCCCCCGCGTCAGCGTCATCGAATTTCGTACTTTTTGAAGCAACTGACTTTATCGCAGAAGCGCTCGGGGCGTCTGTATTGCTTCGAGTGCATGACTCGAGACGGATGAAGCTCCCTGGTTCTCGAGAGGCCGGGCATGTCAGGGACACGAGGGGCGTGGTAGTGACCCGTCGCTACCACCACTGCGTCAAAGGACTTTCAGAGCAGCAGATGAGCAAGTATGCAATCCATATTCAGCTCCTCAACATACCGACTGATGCTCCACCTCCATGAGGCCGTTTTCATGGGGTTTCGGCTCTGTCGTCCATGTCACGACCCATTTCTCGTTGACCTTGCTGACCTCCTCCACCCGCGCACCGTAGACTGTGGCACTGTGGACGCCATGTTTGAAAGCGATGTTCTGAATGTATTCAAGAACTCTCTCATGCGATACGTATTCGGGGGTAGACAGCGGCATGCCGAGCAGCGAAACCGCCATGAGCTGTGTGGGCACATTTGTTCGGAGATTCTGATAGCACGGCCTATTGTCGGGCTTAGTCTTGGAAGTTTCTGTCCTAGCCCTTGACTTACCCTGGCGGAGCACGTCGGAGAGCGATATCTTCGGCATCATTGTGGCCCGGCCCCGGCGCATCGGCCTGCGATGGCTTCATGGAAGGAAAAGGTGGGTGAAGGGATGGTCTCTCATCATACAGCCTGGTCTCCCTTAGCCGCTATCATTCTCGCACGCAATTGGGATTCGAATGTACCAGACGCCGCCAGAGGCATCGTTGCGCTCAAACACTTGAACCTCGATACCGCAGGCAATGAGATGGGCAGCTGAAAATACACCACTCGCTCCCGCGCCAAGGATGGCGACGCGCCGGGGTGAGGATATCGTCATTGCTCGGTATTGGAGATCCCGAATGGCTTTTCAGCTTCAATACGAAAATTGCAGCGATTCGAGTGCGATTTTCCCTAAGTTGGGACTCGGCGCTGAGGTCAGGCACCTCGGCGCCAATTTGGCGCAGGCCCAGCGGAGGGGGAGCCAAAATATTTTTCCAATGGTTCGTGCTTGTGACGGCGGATACTCTCAGTATTTTCAGGAAAAGGCTTACCAAATATACATTCAGATACCTACAATGGCATTTGCGACCTCTCACAATGGCGTCAGTGGAAATGTCAACGATCTCCTCGACACGAGTCCACAAAACGCCGTCAACATCAACGAGATCAGAGCTCGATTTCCGGGTCTACCCGAGGGAACGGCGCTCTTCAATAATGCTGCAGGGACTGTTGTTCTAAAGGACGCAATAGAAAGGTATACGCGTGTCTTTGTCTCGGTATGCGACATGGTAATTGAGGTATGCTGACTGTAAATGCAGCGCCAGCAAGCTAATGCAGTCGATGCCAATGCCTGGAGGGTCAGACACGAAGAGCATGGAGGCGATACATGCATACCAGAAGAACAAGACTACAGTAGCTGGATTCCTGAATGCTGGTACAGATGAAATCAGTAAGTAAATATGGACTGGCCACAGACGCCACAGCTTTCTTCTGTTGCGCGTTCTGATGGACACCTCGGTTCTTAGCATTTGGTCAGTCAACCACTTGCTTGTTTCGCCTACTCGGCATTTCCCTCAAGCCGTTGTTGAGTAGTGACTGCGAAATCGTCTGTTCGACTCTGTGCCACGAGGCAATGGCCAGCGCTTGGATTCGCCTGGCCCGCGATTTGGGCGCCACGATCAAGTGGTGGTCGCCGAACCAGGACGACCCGGACGACCCGCGTCTCAGCCTCGAGAGGCTGCAGCAGCTCTTGACGCCCAAAACGCGCATCGTCACCTGCAACCACGTGTCCAACGTCATCGGGAGCATCCATCCGATCCGCGCGGTCGCCCGTCTTGTCCACCAAACCCCGGGCTGCATGCTCATGGTGGACGGGGTGGCGTGCGTGCCGCACCGGGCCGTAGACGTCAAGGCGCTCGAGGTCGACTTCTACTGCTTCAGCTGGTACAAGGTCTTTGGGCCCCATCTTGCGACGCTGTATGCCAGCCGCCGGGCGCAGGACCGGTACATGACGAGTCTGAATCACTTCTTTGTTCCGTCGGGCTCGCTCGACGGTAAACTCGCGCTGGGCATGCCCTCGTTTGAGATGCAGAGCATGTGTGGCCCCATTGTCCGCTATCTGCAGGATTTCGTCGGCTGGGAGACGATTGTGAGGCAGGAGACGCTGCTGACCAGGATCGTGCTGGACCACCTGCTCAGCAAGCCGGCCGTCTACCGCGTCTTTGGGCGGCGCGTGTCGGATCCGACGCAGCGCGTGTCCATCATCACATTTGAGGTCCGCGGTCAGCAGTCGGGGGATGTCGTGTCCCGCATCAATGCGAGAAATCGGGTCCGCATTGTGGCGGGGGAGTGTCTGGCGCCTCGTCCGACACGGGACGTCCTGAAGCCGGAAAGCAGCGATGGGTTGATTCGGGTGAGCATTGTTCATTATAATACGGTACAGGAGGCTGAGACTCTATGCGACGAGCTTGACTTGGTCCTCGCGGAGATGCAATCCGAGGTTAGATCGCCGTCATGGGCAGCTGAGAAGAGCAAATGAGCCTAGGTTCTACAACACTCTCTTGGCGATGCAAAGTAGACTTCGCTTGGAGGGCTAGTTAACTTGATAAAAGGAGAAACAACACGAGTATTATGCCCATCTGAACCAGTTCTAGCGTAGGCTGGTTCCGGGTGTGCCAGTTTTTACACTCGGCCCACCAAATACTGTCACCACGGTCGCGAAGAGCAGAATGAAGCCCTGGGAGGCCGTCCAGGCTCCTACCATTGTGCCTCTTTTTGTAGTCTTGCGCTTGGTCTCTATCGACGGTATATTGGGCGAACTGCGCCAGCCGCGGACGTGTGAGCAAGCGTGGTCGAGGATCGTGTAGCGGTGCATCAGGATCTAGTCCGAGTAGCGGCACACCGAAGCCGCACGATACATGCACCTGTCCGATGCCAGTCGTCAGTTGACTCCCGTGCAAAACGCTTTTGTGTAGGGTTGTAGTAGTTGGACCTTGAAGATGTTGAGCACGATTATGGCCCGAGCGGCCATCAAGTCTTTGCCAGACATCGTCTTTAGCCACAGGCCATAGTCGGGGTCGTCGACCTCAACAACAACGCCCGTGCAGTAGAGGCGCAGGATGCGGGGGACCTTGTCAAAAGAGCAGAAGAGCATCGTCACCCGGCCATTCTCGCGAACGTGGCTGATGGTCTCGCACCCGGTCCCGATGGAGTCCAGATAGGCGACCTGGCTGGGGCTGATGACGGCGAGGGACGACTCGGGCAGCCCCTTGGGCGAGATGTTGATGTGGCGGCCTCGCAACGGCGCCGAAGCCACGAAGAAAACGGTCTGGCTGAGGGCCCATTCTCTCAGACTGTCGGAGAGCGTGGTACCTGGTGGACTCATTGTCTTCCGTAGGTGCGATCTTTCTGTGATGAGCGGCCGGTCGTTTGAGCGTTGGTGAATGCCACCCGCTTGGAAATTGAGTCCGGCCCAGACGAGCGTCGCCGCGCCAAAAGTCACAAGAGGCGAGGCGCGAGGATCGAGGATGGTGGGCAGACGTGGTGCATCACGCCGCATACGCCACTTTCTCCATGTTGTATGCCTAAGGTTCTTTTGCGTGGACATGGGCGGGGACCATGGGCTCTACCAGGCCCAAAGCCCCGTTGATTTACACCAGAACACATACTTTGGCCGAGTTAGATTTCTTGACGTGCCTGCCGCCCGGAGCTTTCTCAATCCAGCCTCATCTGCCGGCGGAGATTTTGTATGATCGCTCTTGTGCACCAGTCTGTCCTGGCCACAGCATCTCGCAAGGTACTCACTCTGTGAGTCGGCCTCCCAGGTACCATCCTCTTGCTACTCGCCAAACGGCCGCGTCTCGTCATCTAGGTCCCCATACGTCACACATTCGGCAGTCTTGTGGTACTTGAGTCAGGCTTTCTATAGTGAGTTAATAAGGCAGAGTGGCGCATTGTTGAATAGTAAACTGCAATGGCTGTCTTGTGATAGAACGTCACATAGTTTATACCAGCTCATACAGACCTAACGCTAGGGCTTCCCTTGTCCTTTAACTTGAAACGTCTCCAAGTATTAGCTGTGGGTAGCTCCTTAGTAGAAATTTTAATTGAGTTTGTTTCGCTACATACAAGCCCGCTACGGCCGGCCGAGCTTAAACTCCAATGGAGAACTCCATACAACGACCGAAGCTTAACAACAAGATGGAAAGAAAAAAACGAATAACTGCAAGCCATCTTACAGATGACTTACTAGCAGGACTGGGGGGGGGGATCCTTATCATCGAAAAGCGCTTCACACATTCTTGTGCAAATGGCAGCGGTTGCGCCACCCACAAGAGGAATTTTACCAACCAATTCCTGGCAAAGAGGAGGGCAACTAGCCTTCAGCATTTTACCCGGTATCTTACAAGTTGCTTTGCAGTTTGTGTAGCTTTTCTCGCTTATACCCATCCACTTGAGAGGCTTGCAAAAGCTGTAGATGCAAAGGCCGCTTGGGAGACCTTGGGCTGCTTGGCTCTCAAGTGTGGTATCGCTCTGAAGAGCGATATCGCTCTTGAGTGCGGTATCTGGCTCTGCGACCAATGGTATGGCTCCTGCCAACTCAAGAAGAGCGACAAGGCCAATGATGACCTTCATTCTGCTCGATTTGAAGCTGTTCGTAGGAGTGATGCAAGGCGAAGTATGGACTGTTGCGCCAGGATGTCAGCTATGCATATCAAGCATCGGAATGATAACTCACGAGGCGAACTGGGTTTTACTCGCTTCACAGTTTCCAAAGCACAGTTGATGCTAGAGTCGATGTAGTGAACAATTCTACTGATGAGCCCATGATATAGCCATGCCAGGAGAGTGGCAGCCGGACTGGCCGGACTGGTCAGCAAAGCGCATATGGATTGATAAGCATATGGATTCACGAGCGCATATAGATTCACGAGCGCAATTTATGAGCGTGATATGCGCATATTACTGCCAATCTACTCGTATACGGCGCTGTGTCAAGCACTTCCTCTTCTTACACAACTACAGTAGTGCATGAGAATGGCCGATGCGGGTGGCTATATCACCCCACCCCTTCCATAGTTGTCGCAAAACATCAATATTTGACGGACAATAACGGCCGGTTACATCCGATCGTGCTGTTTGGCGGGGTAAACGGCCGTCGGACCTGGCCGATGCAGAGCGGGCGCAGTTTCCCCTATTTGCCAAAGGATGAGACCCTTGTCATCAATTCCAGCAAAAGTCCTGGCAAGGGATAATTCAGAAAGTCGTATCGCGGCGACGGGACAGAGGCTCCTTCACTCAGTAATCAAAAGGTCAAGAGGAGGCGAAGAAACAGGACCCAAAAGAAAGATAGAAAGCATAATTTTATACTAATAACGGCAAAAATAATTGTCGGGAAATTACTACGAATAAGGAAGATGAAAAGAGTTACATGAATAACCAGCGGTTTACTTTGTTATTTTGTCCACCGAATAGTCTCAGTCTCATCTTATTCAATACATTTCGACGGGGCTTTTCATTTCTGGCGGGCGTGGCAGATCACACTTGATATGTTGATATGGTTGTAATTTTACTCCAATAAGATTCTTCTACCGTTGAGTTTTTCGCCCTAATAAGTAATTGCTTCTTTCGTTTTAATACATCCTGAAAGCACCAAACATTTGTACTCTCTTTCTTCGCCGCGTTCGCCATGGCCGCGCCTGCAGCAGCACCAGTCTCTACCACAACGGAGCTAGCATTTGCCTCGTGGAATGAAGAAAAGCCTACGACTATTGTACTTCTCCATGGAGGTTTCACCTGCCGTCTCGAGTTTGACCTCGTCATCCCGCATCTCTCCGACTTCCATGTCCTCGTTCCCGACCTCCCTCTGCATTCCGCGTCACGCCATGTGAAGCCAGGAACAATCAACAATTCGGCTTTCTTAGTCGCACAACTAATCCAGTCGCATGCCCATGGCGGAAAAGCCCACGTCGTTGGCGTTTCCATGGGTGGCTACGTCGGCCAGTGCCTGGCACTCGAGCTGCCTGACATTGTCCTGTCGCTCTTCGTTACCGGTGCTGCTCCCCTGGCTGGAAAGCGCTTGTTCAAGGCTCGCTGGCCACGGCTCACCTATCTCACCATGCTGTTTATGCTCAAAGTGAAGCCCATCTCGGAATATCGCGCGCGGAGCTTAAAACAGGGCGTGGTGCTGAGCGAGCAGCTGCTCATGGAAATGAGGGACAATGTTACTTGGGATGTCGTCAGAGATATGTTCCCGTGGATTTTGGAATTTGAACTGGATCACGTGTTTGCCTTGCAGGTGCGAGTCCTCTTGATTGCGGGTGCGAAAGGAGATAATGTGCCCATCATGGAACGAACGGCCGAGGCGCTGATGAGCAGAAGAACCATCTACAATGAGGCGTGGCCCGAGGATGGTTCGGGAGCAGTCCTGATAAGGGACGCAACGCACGGGTGGGATATGCAGTTCCCAGAGCTCTTTGCTCAGGGCGTATCGGCTTGGGTCTTGGGAGAGGACTTGCCCAAGGAGTTTGAGAGACTGTACCTGTAGCAGAGGCAAATTGAGCGAGGTTGGCAGTACATTGGATGTAAAGGATCAGGGGAATTAGAACAACTATTGACAAGATAGTAGGGATAGTTAAAAAAAATTAGAAGACAAGGAAGTTAATAAATAGTAAGAAAATATAGTAAGAATAAGGAAGAGGTTAGTATTCCCAACCGGCGGGTTACTTTCTCCCTGGTGGCAGGCTACGGCCGTCGGCTATGAAAATATATATATAGCGAGAGTCAAAGAGCATAAAAATAAATCTCAATTCATGAGCGAAGTAGCTATTAAAAACAGTTTGGAGTCGAATAAGGATTGCTACACCGAGCCTGGTGGGGGTTCATGCACCTGTGTAGATTAACAGGCTACTAATGGTGACTCTTCCGAATCCGTGCTGTCGCAGTTTTTCCCGACCACGATGACAAGGAAACTCGGCTACGACGAGGACGTTGATACACTCGGGCGCAATACCTGCCTTGCCCAAGAGACGAAGCACGTCACAAAGCGTGTTGCCGCTTGCCAGAACATCGTCCACAACCACCACCGACCGGCAATTGGAGAGGACACTGTCATCGGCGCCTATTCTCGCCTCTTTCGTGTCCTTTACCGGCGACGATGAGATATGCGATGTCGATTTGACAATGGAGAGCGTGGTTGGAGGAAGCTTGCCCGCATGGCGGATGACTGCCACGGGTTTGCCGACTTCCGCAGCCAACGTCGGCGCGAATAAGAAGCCGCCGGCCTCGCAGCAGGCAATGGCGTCAATGTCGGCCCAGTCGCCCGTGAAATGGGTTCGCAGCAGCGCCGTGCACAGCGCCAGCCCGCCCGGCTGCTGCACAATGTCGAGCACGTGGCGGAACTGCATGCCCACGCGCGGAAAGTTGGGCACCACGCGGACCATGCCCTGCAGCCGCCGCAGGTCCTCATGCACAAAGCGCACAAGGACGCGCTCCGCAAAGCGCTGCACGGCCTCGTCCCCGGTGCCCTCGTGCTGGAAGCGGAGGGTGGGCATCCAGGCGCTGCTCTCCGCATCGTCGTCGCCGTCACCCGCGTCCTCGTCCAGGAGCTGGCGGCGGGCCTGCCGCGTCTCACGGCTGGCGGTAACGCGCACTTCGATCAGGCGCGTGTGCGGCACCAGATGGGAAAAGCGCGCGACCGGATCCTCGTCTCGCATCCCGGTGATGATGAGCACGTCCACGTCGGCGGACGCTTCGTACACTGCGCGCAAAAAGTGGTCTTCCCGCAGTCTGGGCTGCAGAAGCAGCTGGTCTTGGAAGAATCGTGTCAGCGCCAGCCGGTGCTCTTCCTTGTACGCGCGGTCGTGCCGGAGACGAGCCAGATCGGCGCCCGTCGCTGCGGCATACTCCTGCTTGGTCGCGTCGCTGATGCTAATCACCCGCGCCTGGAGCCCTTCTGGCGTCTGTTTCATGATCGTGCCAGCCCACAACTCGCTGCAGTAGTCCTTTCCAGCACCGTGTTTGCCAGTGGTGATGATGATGAGCCGGTGTTTTGGTGCCTGGCTGAGAAGGGGACAGGTATATGCCAGCACGTTGAGCGGATCTTGACTTCGTTTAAGACAGGCGAGGCGCAGCCGGTTTGGCCCAAACGCGTGGACAGCTAGACTTTCATCTCTGGGATCTGGGCCCAGATCGGCACCATACACTCCGGTGCTGAAGGGTAGCAACTTGTTGGCAACATGGTACACCCAGTCGACTGCCGCTCGAGCAGTGGCAGTTCCGTCTTGATCGCGAGGCCAGACACCTGTGATGACGCAGGCATATGTCCAATTTCTACAGCCAAAGGCAGTGGCATGCACCGCGACTTGAGCTGCCGCGCCGCCGGCATGCAGCAGATGTAGATAACAGAGTGGTGAGGGCCGATGCTCAACGGCTGTGAGTAAAAGGTCTGGTACATCAAGCTCCCCAATTTCACGCAAGAATATGCATCGCTTGAACGAAGAGGTCTTTCCTCCGCTGTGACCACCATGCAAGGTGGAAATGTACATTTCAGTGTCATACAGCCCAACAACATCAACCGATTTGCTGCACTGCTCAGGTCCCAGAAAGGCCGTCGCAGCCAACGGCGGAGCAGTCACTGGCTGAATGCCTTGAGCAGCATCGGAGCACCTGGACAGGCTCACGGCGATGCATAGCCTATCGGCGTCGTAATAGAGAAATACATCGGCAGAGGAGTTCCTCGGCAGCTCGTTTGCAAGGGCCGGGCCAAAATCTGCGAGTCGTTGCCTGGCATCTGGCGTGTGGAAGAACAGCGTGTTCCATTGCCAAATAGAATAGTTCATGGCTGCCGAGGCTCTGAACACGACACTGATTACTATACCAAAGTTTGTGCCTGCGCCTCTGAGCGCCCACAGCAGGTCGGCCTCGTTGTCTGGTCGGACGGCGCCGTCCGGCTGGCATTGACTGGGCACCTGGCCGAGGAGCAGAAAGCGACCAGACTTGACGCTCACCATAACCGCGCCGACGACAACGTCGCAGGTGAGGCCGCGGAGCCTGGCCAGGTGATTAATGCCGCCTTGGAGCCAGAGTCCGGCACCAACGCTGGGGCACGACCCCAATGGCACTGTCAGGCCCACTGTCATGGCTTTTTTGATAATATCCTCAGTTTTGCAGCCAGCGCCTGCGACAACCAAGTCTTCTCCGAGACCGGTCTTCTCCTTGCGGACAATCTCAACGCTGTTGAAAGCAGCCATGTCGACGGAGACGACGTTGGGCTGCAGGCAGTGTCCACCGTGACTGCCGCCGATGACAGCGAGAGTGGTGCGGTGCTTGAGAGCCCAGTACACGCATTTCTGAACTTGGCATGGCTCTGTCGGTCGAACGACAAAGGCCGTTCGATGTCGGCGGGCTTGCCGGTTCTTCACTTGACGCCCGACAACCAGGGGGACTTGTGCCGTCAGCTCTGGCAAGGCCGTTGCATCGCGCGTAAATGCCATCATGATTCCCGGGTCTCTGAACAAGAGATGGCCGGGGTGTGCTTTATCGCGCATACACAAAGTGCGGCAGATTTGTCGCCATCCAAGCTGGGTATTCTCGTCATCCTGAGTGAAGCCGCCTGCGATCAAGCAGGCAAAATGGTCCAGAGGCTTGTCTTCATCTGGGATAGACACGATCCCAGAGGGGAAAGAAGCCGTGTGGCGGCATACCAAACCATCGACGGCGAGGCTTGTGTCGCGGTGAAAAACGATGACCATGCCGCTGTCCACCTTCTCATTGAGCATTCCCAGGGCTTGGGTTATAAACTCGCTTCGTGGCTTCATGCCATACATGCTGTGGCAGAAGAGAATAATGTCAAACTTGTCCTCGCCTTGTTCGTTTTCCTCGGGCTTGTTTGTGAACGGTTTGACATGGATTCGGGGTGAATCGCCCAGCGATGGGAAAGGCACTTCCGTTGTCGAAGTAGTCAGGAGCCATTTCTCCAGCATCGAAGCATAAACACGGTTTGGCTCAAATGCTGTATACCTTCCGATGCCCTGTCTCAATTGCAGAGGCAACTGTCCCAGGACACTCTGGGGCCCCGGTCCAATCTCCAACACTGAGATTTGGACGTTTGGTCTCTGCACAGCTTCCAGTAGACGAGAGAGCTGAGGGATGATGAAGGATTGATAGGTAGACTCTCTTGCACCGTCCAGTAAGATGCCAAACGCAATAGAGTACTGGCTGTCAGATAGTGGCTGTTGATGCAGCGCTCGTCTTCAACGCGACTTTCAAGTCATCAAGGGTCGCCATGCTGGAAGGCCGGGAAGATCCGATTGTCTCGGGTCTCTGCGTAGCTTTTGAGGCGAAACAATTTGAAAGACTTTGGTACAACTCCATAGGAGGCGAGAGTGTCCAGTTATACAGTCAACCGCCGAGCATAACTTCTACGGGGGTGCGGTATCGGATCGGGTTCGCGGCAGTGTAACTCGGGCAGCATCATTTGTGTAATGCACTCTGCCTATTTTTGCCTGATCAGAGATGTATTTTTTTCAATATTCAGGGTGCTTGTACCACCATGTTCCGGTATTACTCCTGAAATGTGCTTTCAGCACCTGCGATGATGAGGTATATAAACCTGACGAAGTGAGGGCTTTCAGTCTCAACTGTGGCGTCTTCCTTTACTGGTGAAAGTTGCGCTGTAAACTTGACTTCTGGACGCACTTTGACAACAAGATTTGGATCAGTTTGGGGACTACAGGCCGCCCACAGCCAAAAAAGAAACACTGGCAGTGCCAAGTCTTGATCTCACGATGGATGACCTCCACCAGAACCACCATGACAGTTGCTCCGACGGGCCCCCTCCAACGACCAGTGTAGCCATGGTCAAGTTTCCTACTTCTCAAGACCAAGACCCAGCAATTGAAAAAATTGCGTGCGCTGTGAAGCAAATTCTGGAGGCCCTGGGCGAAGACGTCGGTCGCGAGGGACTGGAAAAGACGCCAGAGCGCGTCGCCAGAGCCATGCTCTTCCTCACCGGTGGCTACAATCTCGACTCAACGGCCATCCTCCAAAAGGCCATCTTTAATGAAGATCCCAACAGCTTCGTCCTGGTCAAGGACATTTCCTTTTCGAGTCTATGCGAACACCACCTCGTTCCCTTTGTTGGCAAGGTATGGAACTCCTCTCGGCCGTTTTCCCCCTTCGTTTCTGACTGCACACACAGGCCCATGTTGGGTACATACCGAACGGAAAAATTGTCGGCTTGTCCAAGATCGCGCGAGTGGTCGAGGGCTTTGCGCGCCGACTGCAGGTACAAGAGCGTCTCACGACGCAGGTGGCACAAAGTCTCTTTGACGTGCTGCAGCCGCATGGCGTGGCCGTGGTGATGGAGGCAGTGCACTTTTGCATGGTCATGCGAGGTGTTGAGAAGACATCGGCGTCCACTACGACGACTGCCTTCGTAGGGGGGTTTGAGGGCCATGGACACACTAAAGAAGACTTCTGGCGGGCTCTTGGCAGGTAATCGAAATATCCATCTGTCAACTACAAGAAGAAATATACAACCTTGTATATAGATATCAGCTCTGGTTGTATCTTCGACTCGCTTGCGCTCAGCTGCGTCTCGCCCATTTACAGGATGGGGAAGGGAGATGCATACCCCCGTGCGCAAAGCCAGCCTCGTAGAGGGACGCAGTGGCTTCGAGCAACTGGCTGCTCAGCCTTAGAATATCCTGTGGCTCCAGGCGGTCGCTGCAGAGTAGTCTGTAAGGATATGCCGCAGCTACGGGCCCAAAAAGTCGACGATACATAAATGGGAGCCATTAGGACCGTGGTGGAGGAACTAGTCGTAGAGCGTGGGGGTGAAGGCATTTTGACTATCCTGGAGTGCTTCGAGAACCATGACTTCGCGCCTCGGGTCGCCGTTGGCACTAAAATTCGCTTTCAGAATTTTCAAAACCCCTTACCTATCGTCTCTGCTGCTGATTTGGCGAGGGAAGCGGGCAAAAACAGGTAAAAGGGAAGCCGTGCGAACGTACTGCGTGTCCTGGACGAGCCAGACCGTGGAAAAGCCGTCAAAGCCAAGCTTTTGCACGACTCTGTGTCGGCCGTCTTTGAACTTTTCACCAAGCCAGACGGTATAGAGGCCGCCATAGTAATAAGAGCCTAGATCTTCCTCTACGGGTTGTGTGGTGAATCGTTTCATGGCACCGAAGCAAATGGTGATGGTTGCGGATGTTCAGCACGCAGCCATAACTTGGCCGCTAACTTTGACGAGCTGATAGAGCCCTAGGTACGGCAGTGTAAGGTAAAGTGTGTCATAAGAAATTAGACCGTGTATCAGTAGTTAGTTACTTGCCGTTGCATAGGTACCTAGGTACTTGTCAGGCACTTCCTGTGTGCCTACCAAGCAATCCGAGTACAGTGCCTCCAGGTAATTCCGATCAATAAGCCAAAGTATAGAGGCCTAGAGGTCTATCTCTGTCTGAAATACCCTTGGTCGACCGTACATGGAAATAAACTGCTCTGCAGAAGGCGCACATCGTTGTCCACAGTCGCCTACCAGGTGAGACTTGTGCCAGCATGCGACAATCTATTGTGCGATCCTACCATGGGGAAACATGCTGCTCAACAAGACACGAGAGATTAAATACGTACATGTCAGGTAGGTCATTACTCCGGCTCAATGGCGGCCTTGGAGGTTCCGAGGCCGTGCCTGCTCGCCCGTGTTCGGGACCGGGGCGAGCCGCACAAGTTGGTGTGGTACAAGATTCAGCGCTGCCAAACGAGTCGAGATACCATTGCTTCGACATGATCTATCACAAAAACCCTTGTTTACAAAATATGTGATGATGCCTGTCTATTGGCCACTCCGCTCCCCTGCACCAGGCTGCAGCTCAGCTCGGCTCGGCTACAACCTTCCCCTCTCCTGGGCGCCTACGGACAACTCAAGACTACCAAGCACTCATTCTCTGAGCATTGCAGGAAGCGATTCGAGATTTGTTCTGTTCTGCAACGATCGCACCAATGGCGGTTCCTTCTGAAGGTTGTGAAGAGTGCGGCTTGCCTGAGATATGGCTCTGTGGCCGGGGTGAGTCCGGAAGCTTCACCGTCGATCCATGTTGGGCGACTAACTATCTCCAAAGACGGCATACGACACCAGTTTCAGCAGCCATTATCTGCTCTCAATCTGGAGCAACGGGACGAATGTTTCGCACTGGTGTATGTTGACAACAAGGTGGTGCACCAGACACTTGGCTAATAGTTTGACAGATTTGCGCGGGCAAATACAATTACTGAATGCAAATCCTGTCGAGCCGAGTTGGCCAGGCGATTCTCTGTCCCAACGTTTTGGTGGACGCAATACTGCAAGAGGGCCAATGGGTACTTTGGCTCACAAGAGATTGTACTTGGCGGCGACAGCCCTCCAGGAATTAGTGAGTCTGCGTGTCCTGACGACTCGATATCGAACCAGTCTAAACATGACAGCCACTTGGGCACGCTTCCTGATTAAGCTTGTGCAGGGAGGCGACGATTATACGTGGATAAAGCTCAACATCATGACACACTCTTTATCCGCAAAGAACCAAATCATGATGGTGTTTGATGCTACCGAAAGCACCCGAGAGCGGCTTCTCGCGTCTCTCATGGACGACGGCCGAAATGAAGAAATGACGGATCTATTTTGGATCTATCACCGCATCTTGAATGATGTAATGGACCTGCATGATCAATCTATATGGGGCTTGAGGACCCATGTTCGAACGGTAGAGCGCTCATCCTCGGAGAGGTCGCTCTCGGACAAGTCGTCGGCGGAGAGCACTGCAGATCGGCCAAATTATCGCAAACTACATGATCTTGCTCGACACGCCATCCACATTGCGGAAACTACTGCAACAACCATCAACACCATCCACGGAATCGTTGCTGCGCATGGTGAATACATGAAGAGTGCCAGTACAGACGCATCAGACTCTTTCCAGAGCATCGCGCGGCGCGTCCAGAATCGCCTCCTTCTTTACAGCCAAGTCGCACTCGGCCTCCAGAACAGGGCCGTGGCAACCAAGGACAGACTACACAATGAGATACAGCTCTCATTCAACATGGTGACGCAGAATGACGCTGCGACGACCATCGACATTGGTCTCATTGCCAAGGAAGACAGCACAGTCATGAGGAAGATTGCGTACCTCACAATGGTGTTTTTGCCGGCCACTTTTGTCTCGGCCATTTTCAGCACGTCGTTTTTCAACTTCAACCCCGAGCTCGAGAGGTGGAGGGTGTCGGAGATGTTTTGGGTCTACTGGGCGTGTTCAGCGCCGGTGACTCTGGTGGCAATAGCTTCGTTTCGGTTCTGGGGACGCGCTTGAAGGCAAGGATGAAGGGCCTCTAGATATTGTGGTTAAATTCATATTCATATCCAAGATTTCCATCCAAGAGTGCCATGTGCAAAGTATTGCTTAGTTGCACACACTAATAAAGGAGAGTGAGTGCTGGCCGGCACATGTGTTGTGTGGGCTCGAGAGAGCCCTCATGTACCCTACAGTTGTCGAGCTCTACTAGGGTGACTTCACGGGTCCTTTTATAATATTGACTTCTCTAACATGTTTTTTTTTCATGTATTGTTGTCATCTATAACGAACAAACCATGATCGTCTCTATTAATCTATTCATAAAACTATCTGATTTTATGTACCTGTCCTCCAGTCACCGGTTTGGAGCGACGCAGCACACGACTCGCCGACAGACGGTATATCGGTAGCGCTCCATTGCCAATAAAAAAATCACGAGGTAAAGGCAAAAGCAAACACAGGCAAAGTCAACTTTCGACGTATCCAGAAAGGACGAAGGAACATGCCGAGTTATTCGCGTCTTGGTAATACTCTCGCTGGTATAGGTCAGCGCCCTAACCGGGCCGCTTTCGGAGGGCGGCTCGCAAAGCACCGCCCGCCGTTGAGACCCCCCTGTAATGTGTAGAATTAAATACTAATTAATAGCATGATAGCATCTGGCACTGTGCAGTTCCCTGCAAGACGCTGCCCCGCCTACAGTGCCCGAAAAAAAAACTGCACACCCCGCCATCCCACCATGGGACTGGGCTCGCTTTTATCTCTGGGCCAGGCTTTGCGATTTCTTTCGTTAGCCTTACAAATACACATCTCAAGAGGGGACGCCCGGACTTTGCCGTATCTTCTCCCATTGCCCTCGCCCTACCCTCGCATTTAAAGACCAGAACGAAAACCCTCACAACCAAAACCCCAAAAACCCCATTGCTCCATCCCCCGCCATTCACGCCAACAACCGCTGCGTTCTTCGCCACCCGCGCACACACTTCACACAGACACACGACCACGACCACCACAATGGCTCCCTTGATCGCGACCATCGACCCCAACGACGACGCCGTCTTCAGCAGCCCCGTCGCCACCAAGACGACGACGATGACGACCAGCCAGCGCGCCCTGCTGCTCGCCCCGCCGTCCCTCGCCTCGCACGCCGACGCCCTCGCCCACGTCCTGACGCAATACGACCGCAGCATCACCGACCTGCAGATGCTCGACCGCCTGTCCGCCGGCCTTGTGCAGCTGCCGCGCGCCCACTACGACCTGATCCTCGTGCTGTCCGACGCCCCCGCCGCCACGCTCGTCGAGTCGCTCGCGCTGCTCGACCGCGCCGTCGTCGGCGCCATTGCCGAGTCGCTGCGGCCCAAGGGCCAGCTGCGCGCCGAGCGCCCCGCCGAGAACCTCGAGACCGCCGCCGCCGCCCTCGCCAAGGAGGCCGTGCTTGCCGGCCTCGTCGGCAGCGGCGCCGGCGGCTTCGTCAAACCCGACTACGGCGACAATGACGGCGTCGTGTCGCTCAAGCTCGGCGGCTTCCGCAACAAAAAGGCGGTCCAGGCTCCGGCTCCGGCGGCGCCAGCTGTCGGCAGCACCGTCCTCAACAACGGCACCAAGCCTACTGTGCCTGCCGGTGTGGGCTTCGACTTTGGCGACGACCTCGACGATGACCTCATTGACGAGGAGACCCTCATGACCGAGGAGGACCTGAAGCGCCCCATCAACATCCGTATGCTGCCACCTCCTTGACCCCCCCCCCCCTTCCCCCACTCTTTCACTAACAAGATAATCCCGTCACACACAGCTCTGGAGTGCCAACCCAAGCCCGGCAAGCGCCGCCGCGCCTGCAAGGACTGCTCGTGCGGGCTAGCCGAGCGCCTCGAGGCCGAGGACGCCGCCAAGCGCGCCGAGGCCGACAAGACGCTGGCCAGCTTCAAGCTCGCCGCCGACGACTTGACCGAGGTCGACTTTACCGTCCAGGGCAAGGTCGGCTCGTGCGGCAACTGCGCGCTCGGCGACGCGTTCCGCTGCGACGGCTGCCCGTATATTGGCCTGCCGCCGTTCCAGCCCGGCGAGGAGGTTCGCCTGCTCAACAATGATGTGCAGTTGTAGAGGGCAGCTTGATAGGCATTTTACCGGCGTTTTATTTGTTTCAGACTGGGGGCGTTTCTTCCATTGATGCCGCCGCACTAGGCTTTTTTTGTTGGGGTTTACATGGGTTGGTCGTCGTATCTGAGGAGAATAAGATCTGGGATCGACATAAAATGGGATTTTCAAAGATATACACCGGGACAATGGTACGTCCCCTGCAAGACGGGCGTTGCATGGCGAAATGAGGGTAGAAATCAGCAAGTCATTCATCAGATTCATAACACATGTTTCAATTTTTGATTCTATGTAACCAATAAAATGCAATGTACTGACTCCATACCCTGTCCCGCGCAGTCGAACTGCACAACCCCCGAAAACAATAGGTCGACTATTCCCAGACAAAAAGAAGGGAATCTATTTAATTCTCATCGCGAGGTCTGCTTGCCTGCTTACCGTTATTGCCGTCCTTCGCTGGTCTCGCGTTCTCCTCATCGCTGTCCTCGCCCACCGAGTATTTGTTAGTAGGTAGGGTGTTGCTCTGTAGGCCGATACCCTCTTCCTGCGCCTCAATGTCGCCGCCGGCGGCGTGACGGCGGGAGCCCACCGGCTCCTCGGAGCGGAGAGCGCTGTAAGCGGCGCCCTTGCGCCGCTGGCGCCAGACAAAGAAGATGAAGCCCAGCGCGCCGAGTATGACAAATACGAGCGCGACCTCGCCGGAGCGCTGGTATGCGGCCCACTTGGCCTCTTTGAGCTTCTGCCTGACAGCCTCCTCGCTCTCCTTGGGGTTCGCAGAGCCACCGACGGTGGTCTCGAGGCCCTTTTCGCCATCGATGCGGCTGTCGGTGGGGGCTCCGCCGATGCTGCTAATGTCGACGCCCATGAACCGGTCCAGCATGTCGCGCGAGCGACGCGGGTAGTCGAATGGGACCATGTGCGAGGCGTCGGCGAAGACAACGTAGGTGAGGTTGCGGGCGCTCTGCCAGAAGCCAGCATCCTTGCCTTCAAAGGTCCAGTTTCGACGAGGAGCCCAGTTGCCGGGTGTTACTTCGAAGCCCTTGCCGCCGTTCCAGTCCAGGTTTTCAATCAGGTCCTCGGTGCCAATATGGTTGCAGATGAGATCTTCAGCGCCGGAGAAAATCAACACGGGAATCTCCGACAGGAGCTCAGGCATGAGCTCGACAGAGGGCTTCGAGGTCTGAGGACGGAAAGCGACGCCAACGCCACCGTTGCACTCTTGCCATCCAGTCTTTTTCTCAGAGTTGATGTTCAACGCGCTGACAACGTCGTCGCGCCGCAAGAAGGGGGTGACGGCGCTCAGATCCGGAGGCCAGTTCATTCCGCAGCTGGGGTACGAGTCTTTGAGACGGACGTCGTACATGTTGATGCATTCCTGATCGCCGGCGCCCTTTGTTCTGCTCGCGAGAAGGAGCTCCGTCAGGATCTCTTCGCACTCGGGGTAGCTCACCTTGCCAGGGTCGCTTGCCATCATGGTGTGGCAGTTGCGCTCCATGCCCTTGAGCTGTTTTCCGGCGTCCGAGTCCTTGTCGACCAGGCCTTTCTGGAATGCGTATTTTAGATACGAGTCGTACTGCTCGTTGGGAGACATCCATGGGTTTCCGAGCAAGATGCCTTGCAAGCTCCATTTGTCGGGCCTCTCCTTGTTTCGGTCGAGTATTGCTCGCGCAATGTGGGGGATATGTTGTCCAGCATAAGACTCTCCAGCTATATAAATCTAGATCTCGTTAGCATACTGAAGTAGTGGTATTGACCAAGTGCTCACATCATCGTGGCTGTACTCGGGGAAGATGGCAAAGAATTTCTCCAGAAACTGGACAAACTGGCTCGCCATTTCCGTGAGTTCGTGTACGTAGCTATCGGTATTGGTGTAACTGAACCCGGTTCCGACAGGGTTATCGACAAAGAGGAGATTCGCAAATTCATTCCATGATCCGTTATTGACAACGAGCGTATTCTTGTCCTTGACACGGTACGGGCCGATTTCCATCAGTGCGCCGTCTTCGGAGCTGCAGCCCGGTCCGCCATTGACCCAAATAACCGTTCTCTGTTTATTTGCAATGTGCTTATTCTGGAAATGCCAGAAGAAGAGATTACCGTTGCTGTCGGGATTGATTTCGATATGTCTGTGATAGGAGCTTGCGTCAGCGCTTGTTTCGGGGCTTGGCGGGGAACTTTCGGCGACAGCTGCGCGCGCGACTCACCCGGCATGCATCTTCACCGGTGCCTGGTCCTCAGGGATACCGGGGAGGTTATGGACGTAGTACTGAGCGGCCGACTTGTCTGCCGCGGCTGCCAGAGGGCCAAGAGCTAGGACCGCGGCGGCCAGCCATCGTCGAGGTCCCCGGAGGGAAGCGGCGAAGGCCATTGCGGCGCTTGCGACGGCGTCGGTGCGAGCTTTGTGAGTTCCGCAATCAATTAATATAGTCGCGCACGATTGATTGTATTATTCTGATATCAGTTGCCTTTCGGAGCGTCGTGTGATGATGTTGATGGTAATTGCATGGAACTGTATCCTATTGAGAGTCGAGAGGCGAGGTGGCATTGTCCAGGTGGGGCGCCCCCGTTTTGGGGCGGGCGGCCAAGGCAGCACCGTAGGTATCTCCAAGAGGATGAGTATAACTGCTCAACTTGAATAGAAACATCTCCAGGAAATGGGGTTTTCTTTTTCGGCCAGAATTGCTCTTCATAATTACCCTACAGTTGACTCGTTACATGTCTATCGACGCCGTGACAGTGACAACTGAACATTGAGGCGATCGATGCGGGCTCCACCAACCGGAAAGTCTCTTTTTAGTTAGTGTGCTCAGATTTGCATCGATTTTCGTTCAACTCCCAACGACAATCTAAGATTCACAGTAAGACTATGGTGAAAGATGTACATGCACGAAGCTAACATTATCGCAGGACACTGCCCTTATTTAAGTGACGAGATGGTATCAGCCGCAAAAACGATCATCGTCGAGCATCTCGACCCTGAGCTTGGGCCTTGGTCAGAACTCGAGTACAAGTGCATCGCCAAGGAGAGCCATGAGAGAAACAGTGACTTCATTCTGTCTTGTCTGCCCGAAGGATTCAAGGTTCCAGAGGATCTCGCCAGCAGCCCTGCGTTCAAGGCTGAGCATCGCGGTGTGGAGGAGCTGTATGCGGACAGCCGAAACCAAGTCTGCCTCCTAGATCCGGCGGCCTCTAAGGACCTGTCTCCTGAGGACGGAGACAGCTTTAACGTGTTTCTGTTTGGTGGAATCCTTGGTAAGAACTCATGCCTCGAGATGGCGCGTCGTCATTGTATCTGCTAACATGCCGTAGGCGATGATCCGCCAAGAGGTGCGTCCCATCCACCATGTGCAGACATAGGCCCGTATTGACAAAGTTAGATCGCACATCGGAACTCAGGAAGAAGGGATTCGCGGGGCGTCGTCTAGGCGCCAAACAAATGACTACCGACACCGCCGTTCGTGTGACGAGAATTGTTGTTCAGGACAAGAGTAAGGCATCTTTAATGTTGGGTTGTGTCGCGTGTGCTGACGTTTTTAGTCGCCCTCGACAAGATCGACTACGTAGACTTTCCCGAGCTCAAGTTCAACAAATACGAAAGCACAGAGATGCCTTTCCGCTACGTCAAGGGTCCGGATGGAGAGCCAATCATGCCAGAGGTAGTTGAAACCATTTCCCGATCAGATCGCTGCTAACACTCCCGCAGGGCATGAAAGACCTGATACGGAAGGACGCAGATAAGGCGGTAAACGATTTGATCTAGTTATCCACTTCAACAAACGCAAAAATACAAACTATTACCTCAGTACGTCCGGTGAGAATAAAGCGTGGTGGCTCGTTACACCGGATATATTACCTCGCGGCCGATTCACGGGTTATACGAATACAGGATCTGCCTCTGGAAACACAAAATCATACATGATACTACTTGAGGGAGCCGGAAACTTGCTTCGCCTCGATTCTTACCGCCCGGGCCGTGCAAGTGAGGCTGAGTACGGCATCTTGCCTCGGGTAGTGACACATCCGGGAGATGTCCAACCGGATGTGATCTTCGAGTGGCTGAGGAAACCGGCAGTTTTCTGTGCATCGCCTAAGCTTCTGATTGATAGACTGATATTGACCGGTCTGCGTCTTCCGAAACGAACCCATGACCAATTTGGCCGTTGCAACGTGTGTCATGTCAAGTATCCGGCGATCTGGAGAGTGGTGGTTACATCTGATGTCGGGAGATCCTGATTCCGATGGAGACGGGCAAACAAAACCACGCAGCCGAAGACGAAGTGGTGTCTCAGCTGAAGAGCTGGGCTGGCGGGTGGCTTCTGTTTGCTTTTCGCGAACGTCTTTGTTGTTTCTCGGACGGGCGCATGTACGGGGGGTGTGGCTGCACACCACTACACCAATATCATCCGACAGTCTCAGGATGACATCGCTTGCATGAATGTCGTTGTTTCGATGAGTGGTGGGCATACCCTGCAGGTGCGCGCCTCATGTAGCGGACGACTTGTCGCGTATGGTGTAAGAGACGACAAGCCCAGTCGCCGTTGGGCAGTGTTTCGGCGACGTGCCAGCCACGAAACTAAAGAAGAAAATGAAGGGAATCACATCAACTATTAACCAGAAAATAAACCCAGAAAAATAGAATTAAATTAAATGAAACTTGTGAACAGCAAAGACGGATGTTCCGGCGGGTGGTCGAACCCCAGATCTTGATACTCACGACATAGCCAAAAAAGAATAACCGTGACCACTCCGTCACGGAGCTGTCTACCCTCTGAGCGTGTTAGTTGCATATATAAAGCCTTCACAGCAATGTCCCACCTGAATTATTACAACCTAAACGCCACAAGCGCCTACTGACTTACGCTACAGCGACTTCCGTAGCACAGCGCCTGCGCTCAGTGTTCTTAGAATACGCTAGAAATGCACTGGCCTTGTCCTGTCCCAACGGTCCCATCACTACCGGAGCTACTTGATCAGCGTTGCCGTTCGGGTGCTGCGAGATCCGCACGCAAGGGTAGGGTAGTTCTCGTTTGTTTACCTTGTTTTCTTTTTCACAACGAGTCGAGCTGCGTGTCGATTCATGCGTGGGTAGTGGAAGGTGAGAGTTCCGGCCATCGCCCTTAGACACATGGCAAACTCCTCCTCCTCCCCAAACCCCGGAGCGGCATAACGATGGGTTCCGCTGCCGGCCTGGCAGCCCGCCATCAATAATCGCGTGTTTTTTCGGGGGGGGGCGGAATTTTAGCGTTGAATCCTTGGGTCGTTTCTGGTGCCCGGGAATTTCCTATCACCGAATCACAAACCACGCTGTGACGTTTCACCTACGGTTCGTCCGAGCAGAGCCGTCCCTGGCAGCAGCAGGGTCACGAGACGAGACAATGCAACACACGACGAAGGAAGCAAGGTCTTGGCAAAAAGATGTGTGAGTGACAGGTTATTGTTGGGCTTGATTTTAGCTTTCTTAGCAGGTCCCCGACGTTCATGGGGCTGAATCCCTGATGCAAGCAACCGCTCCATCCGTAGCCACGTGTACTGGCTGATGCGATTCAGATTGGCAAGGCTGGCCGAAAAGAGAAGAAACTATTGGTAAAAAGCTTCGCTGGTGCTTGAACCTAAAAATGGAAGCACCATCACAAAACTTATTTTCCATCAACAGTCGTTGTGATACTGGGGGGTGTTTCAAAGGGCTTCTTTTTCAGCGTCAAGGCGGCGCCCATGTCTGACCACAAGTTGAAACGCTGGCGGAAAGAATGAGAGAGTCAGCCGCTGAAGGTCTTTTCTACCTGTTGGGTAATTACGGTTTAATTGTCCACCTGAATTTGGAAACAAACTAGTTAGGCAGCTTAAAAGGTCCCTGTTTTATAAGACAGGGTGAAGGCGTCATCGGCCTGATCAATCTCTTCTTGTCCGTCTTGTATATTGAACATTTTGACATCGTGTTGGGCCGGCCTTCAGTGCAGCCTTGCGAAGGTGGTCTCATTTCCTCAGTGTGCGGCTGGAGCACGAGTCAGTGACATGTTTCATTCCCTGGGGGCTAGAATTTTAGCGGCTCCTACCAGATGTGACGGAGCTGGGTTCGTTATTACAGGTCTATTTTCAGTACCCCGTACGGATACCAGTAACTAATCACGATCGTCTTCGTCTGTTCACATGGAATGGGCGGGTGTGGAGTCTAGCCCGCCCATGCCCGCTCGACAGGTACAAGGCTGGAGTGATAACGGGGGACGGATATTACAAGATCGCCTTTGAGCTATTTTAATATCTTAATATTCTAGGATCGGAGCGAGCTTCAGGGAGCATGTCACCGGCGGGCGTTCCATTGCGGGAGGGATATCTTTCCGGTCGACAGGCACGGCGTCGCGATTGACACACTGCCGAGAGTTAGCCGGTCGGTCATTTTCCCCGCGGGGTCGAAGAAGCAGGGTTTGGCGAGGTTGCAGGTGTGAACCTCGGGAGTAGCAGGGCGGAGGGAAAGCTGGCACATGTGTATCGCACATATGACACAAGAGCAAAAGGGTTGGGAAGTGAGAGCGTCGAAATCCCTTCAAGTCGTGTGAGCACAAATGTTTCAAACGGGGGAATCGCGATTGGCTTTCTAAAAAAAGGACCAAGTGCGCCGTTTTTTGCCAATCAGTGCAAGAAAAGGGAAATTGGAGGGGCATGTCAAAGCACGACGACGACTGGGAGGGATCAAGCGACAGCAGAGCACATGCAATACTACTGGGACTTCAGATTGAGGCTTGGCAGGGAGCGCTCGGGAAGAATTGACGATGGAGGATCGAATGTGAGCGTCGTTGTGCCGAGGTGTGATGGCAGAAACCCCTCTTTGCTGCCAAAGCATGGATGAATAGCCGGCAGGGGGGACGGGCAAGGTAGCGTTTTCACTTCTTACTTTGACGCTAAGCAGCAAGACATGCAGCCGCCTTTTTGCCCGTTCGGGACTCGTCTGATGGGATGCCAACGACCGGCCAACAGGGATGCGGCAAATTATGCAGCCCATGATTTGGGCTGGCTGGCGTGGCAGGACAGGGAAGGTCTACGCAGAATGGCAGAGTACGGAACGACTTTCAACGCCCAACGGCCGGTGGAGATTGTCATCCATCATCATCAATCAAGCCACGAGGTCCACAGAGGGAAACGAGTGAGTTTCGCAGACACGGGGGACACGGGGCGAGGCTGAAGAAAAGGGAAAGACGAGGAAAAGGACTGCGGCTGAGCTTTCAGGAGCGAAACCGGAGCATAAAGGTCGCAAACAGCCAAGAAGTTGAGATGAAACCCGGGCGAGAGAGTCTCTGGACGGACCGACATCCTGTCAGAATAGACAGGACAGGGGGGAGGGGTCATCTTGAGTTGTCGAACTAGTTAGTTGAGGATCTCCGCAAGGAGACATGCTATCCCCCACTTGGAGCAGAACTCGCCTGGTATATTCCCTGTCGCGAGCGTTGCATCCCACCCACACCTTTGGCAGGGCGATATGACAAAGGGTTGTCCAGTAAGACATGAGCAAAACCCATTCAAACAATGGCTGTCTGTCAGGAGAATGGGCACCGCTTACGTCGACACGCAGCGCGCGCCCCTCGGCTTGATTTCGTCTGTCATATCTTTCGAGGACGGACAAGGGTATCGGCGACAAGGCCCAGTGTGGATAGTCAGTCCCGGCCGAGCAACTGCCGACGGGGGGGGTGTGATTCCGAGTACGGCCGTGAACTCGTGATGTTGGGATGGTTGGGCTGCAACTGCAAGGAGACATGAAATGAGCCAGAGCCCGACGCTAAAAAATCCAGATCTTGAGTTTGCTCCTGCGTGCAGGGGGTGGGCGACGAGACGAGCAAGGGGAATCGGGCGTCATGGATCGTGACAGATGGCAGTGGCCAATTGTCAATGCATGAGTAATAGTGAACGTAGTTGCAGGTGGCGCGAGTCGTCAAGAGTCATACAAAAGCGTAATGCGGTTGTAGCAGGTCAATGCAAGACATGATTAGGTTTTTATGACAATATAGAGAATAATAATAAGGCACATCGCTCATCGCTCATCGCTGGGCTGTTCATATCCGCAGATTGATTTGCATGTAGAGTCCCCGGAAACGGAGCCACTTTCGTTCCGGGGCGCCGCTCCTTTTTCCAGTGGCCGGCTCCGAAGGCACACGTCAATTGTGACACAACGCACCACCATGACGATAGTCCCACGCAGACAAGGCCGCTAGTCGCTTCGGAATGCTAATACCGCAATCGTGTGGCATGCAATACTTCGTAGACGGATGACTCGAGATGCGCTCGCACCACCAGCGCTGGCGGTGTCGATCGGGAAGAAGCGTGGAGGTGGCAAACAAGGGTCCCGACAGCATCGCGCATCGGCGCGGCGCATCAAGGGCAGACTTTCGGTGTCCTTGTTCCTCATCCAACGCTGAAAGGAAGGAATAGAAAAAACGCCCAGGCCACATTTCTGCGGCAAGCTCCCGCCGCCCGCCATGACTACAGCGGGAGGGATGGGGGTGGATGATCCGGACTTGCGTGCTTATCCAGCCCGCCCGCCAAATTTCCGCCAGCCCACCCCGAGTCATCGACCGAAAAAGAGAGAAAAAGAAAGACCAGACCGACCAGAGAGGGCGGGCGAAGCGGACTCGTTGGCCCGCCGCGCTGCGTTGTCCCCCCCTGGTTCTGCCTGGGATTGTCATCCTTCCCCCAGAAACCTGAAAAAGTGATGTTGGGGGCTCGAGCCGCCCGCTAGACTCGTCCGAGGGAAGCGCCATGCAACTCCAAGAAACTCTATTTTGGCCCATCTTGAAGGCCCCCCATATCCCTGGTTGTGACACGCCACAAGACGAAAATCCGTGATACATAGTACAACACTCCCAGTGTGCCAAGCGACACGCCGTTGCGAGACACCCCTTCAGGGCCGCCCCCAAATCAACGTACTCTCGCACAGGCTGAATGTGACCAGGTTGCTGGGGCCGCTGGAGGGAGGCTTGGTCGACAATCTCATCCTTTGACTGGGGCTCGAGCTCTGTCACCGGCCCGGGAACCTCAAATCGGCTAACTATCTCATGTAGCCTTGCTGGTCTCTTGTCGGCCCACTGAAACAGCCTGTCACCTGTTTTCTGTGTGATGCGGCTGCTTGGTCCAGGTTCTCTCTGGCCATTGTCGAATCCTGCTTTGGCACCCTCGAGTTGCCTAGTTACATCGACTAGGCTTTGCCCTTGTTCGGGTGGTTGTGATGTAACCGAGGTAGTACCCTTCAGGGCTCGTAGAAGCTATGAAACGACAACTCGACACGCCAACAAAACGTTTGCAACCTGGGCGTCGTTCAGCTTCACGAAGTGGTACGTTTTTGTGACGGACCAACGCAACTAAAAGCAACTAGCAGCTAGCAAACTAGCAAACTACAGAAAAAGAGACGTGAGGAGACGACTTGGTCGCCCACGCCAAGAGCTACCGGTATCCTTTGGACCAAGTGGGCTGAACTATGTACGCTGCAGCTCACTAGACCAAACTCAACTTTAATCAAGGGTCAGCACAAGCACGTTGGTTCCAGCCTTCAGTCCGAACCCTGAGCTCACTGGCATTCCTGTTTAAGCTTTGATGGCGAGCATGCGGAGATGATAATGCAACACCTGGCATGCTCGAGTTGACGAATGAGTTCCGCGTGAGAGCCGCATGGTGGCCGAACAGACCGCAGCGAGTGAATTTCCAGTCTATGTAGCACCGACGGTACTGGTGCGAAGAATCTCTCCATCCTTTTCTGAGCTCAACTTGCCAGAGAGTCAGATATCAAAGCGGCGAACTCGGAAGCCCCTTTGCTGATATCGGTTTGAAACTGGGTTTAGTCGGCGCTAGTCTCGATTCACATTGCATGGCACATTCGACGAGGCCGAGCAATGTTTCCCCTTGGTGCCACCACTCGGCGACCAACTCACAGACTCATCAGAATGCCAGAATGCAAGGCCAGCTCTTCTCACTAGACGGATACACACAGGCCACTTGCCGTGGTAGGGGTGTCAGGGAAGAGGGCTTTGGAGACACACCTCTGGACATTCTTAGCACCAAGTCCACACACCATGGTTCCTGGGTCCCACACCCTTCCGAGTGATAAACTTTGTGCTCAACGTCCCTCCCTTTTCCCACTTGGGCCAGCCGTATGGTGCGATTTCCTCGGACCAACTTGGCTCTAGCAACCTATCATTGCTGGTTGGCCCAAGTCCTTCCCGCCCGCGCGGCCACATCCCATCTCGCACAATATTGGCAGCCTACCAGTGGGTCTGCTTCGTGAGATTGACCGATAGCTTGCACCAATCCGTCCTTGCGGGACGTCCTGGTCTGTATACATGTGCTTTCGGGGAGTACGACGGGTGCGAAATCACGGTACGGATATCAGATATTCATCTCGCCTCCCTTCGCGACCCCGTGGCTTGTCGTAACAAGGCCATTTTCTGTGCCATAGTTGCCCCTTTGAGCTATCTATCGTCGAGTCTAAGACGTTTCTCCGGGGATTGGGGCGTTTCTTGATCTGTACGTTCATGATTCGCTTGCCTGCCTCATCCCAGTCCCAACTCTTCACAGGTTCTACCAGGAACAGTTCTAACAGGAGCAACCTCTCCCTCGTCGCATAATGTAGCAGGAAGACTGCGGGAAAGTCCAAGAGTCCGTGCTCCCTACCAAATCATACCAAACCGCCAGCCCACCATCAAGTCAAAATGATCCACACTACTGATGCTTTACCAGGATGTACCCTGTTCCCGGAACTGCCGACTACCGCGAGTCATCGCTAGAGAGTCCCCCATGCTTTTGATGTGGCAGCCAACGCTGGGAACAGGAGCACTCACTCCCGGCTTGGGTGTCGCATCCTGCTCTCTGGGCCATGGATAGGAAACTAGTGCTGTCAAAGTGTCTCCCGCTCTCCTCGTTGCCTTCCGCCATGCACCCACCCGCCCGCGCTGGTACTCGTTCATCAACTATGCTGTTGGCATTGCACAATAGGCCTTCGCTCCCGTATGGCCCCCCTCCCTGGTCAAAGTCGGAGCGACTCTCGCAACTATGCAACTCACCGCCGTCCTTGCAATCATACATCGAGAACCGAGCCTGGCCCACTCTGTTGTGTTTCTGTGTTCATTACTCCACGAAGTTTACTATCGAAACTTCATCATTCCACTGACCCTCATCATGTCATGCGAGGCTGACCCAAGGTTCTACCGTTATTCCTGATCAAACAGGGATATACTCTGCACCATTCCTCAGCCTCCCTCCCCCGACATTGTTTTCGTTTTGTTCTCGGACACTTGACTTCTTCACTCCCTCACCCACGGACGTTTGTCTGTTGTTCTGTTGCATCTCGACGCGACAAGCCTGTCTCAGGGTGCCTGAGACTTCAGTCGTCCCCCCCTCCCCAAACTATATCTCGCTGCTGTCGATAAAAATAGCCTTCACGGGGGTCGCTATTCCCTTCTTCCACTCCTTCCACTCCGCCTACATACCCTTGTCACGCATAGCCACTTTCTACTGTTTCAAGACCTTGGTGACCTGTGGAGAGGCCTGCCCGTCTTGTTTCGCTCGGTCCTGCAAAGAACTGGGCCCCCAGTGAAATAATAATACACGTGTAGGGCAACAGAAACCTTTGCGCCCTTGTCGTCCAAGACGTTCAGGTGCATAAGCGGTCGGATTGTTTCGATCTCCTTTGGGACCATTAAGCAGTCAGTGCGTGAGATCTCCTGGGCACACGTCGATCGCATCAAATACGTCGGATGGCCCGTTTCTGAACTGAGTGGTTCTGTGGTCCATTTTGGTCTTTTGAAGTATTGGTCAGGTTCTGTGCTGGTTCACTTCAGTTGACTGTCAGCCTGGTGGATTATCAACCTCAGCTTCTGCCACTAGAGCATCTCTCTTTTTCCCTCTTATTCTTTTTATTCTTATTCCCATTTGTTCTTCCCAGGCCGGACGGATTTCCGCAGCTTCTGGCTTGACGACTCGTCCCAGCCGGCACTAGATATCAAACTCAGCACCCGATTTTTGTCCCTTGGGTTTTGCATCGACGCGTCTTCCACCACAGTGCCCGACCCAGCATCACCATGGACGTGACTTCGCTCCTCAACACAGCTGGCAGCTCGTCGAAGCCACCAAGATCATCTGCATCACCAGCCATTACGGAAAGTGGCCACACAGTACCTTCCTCAGCGCTTCCTACACCATCGCCAGAGCGAACATTAGGACCTGCAGACCTCGACGGAAGCCCTCGTCAAAATCCATCGCTCTGGGGAGCGCGGGGATACTCGCTACAACTAGTCCTCGACGCAAAAGCACGCTCAAGCTCTGTATTTTCGTATCAGGCTGACGGACGCGCCGAAACGGAGAGCGAGGGCAGCCTGTACAACTGCTCAAGAAATGACTCGGTCTGCTCTGCAGAAGTCTCCGCCTCGTCACACTCTCCCCGCAACACTCAATCTCGCACTTTATTGTACGTGCAGAAATCTCAACTATTTTATGGCTCCTAACAAGAAGCAGATCTCCTCGATGCAAAGCAGCTCTCTCTAACAAAATAGTCACAAAGTATGTCGCAGCGGTGCTCTGGTGGTTGTATAAGCTAACAGCTGTAGGTCGTTTATTTCTCCGGAGCAAAGTGACGGCGAGCATGGGGGAATGGAAGCAAGGAACTCGGGTCTGGCCAGCCGCAGCAGCCAGTCTGCACATGTCTCAACACCACACTCGAGAATATCTTCATGCACGACTATCGGCGCCTTGCAATCCGGAAAAGACGCCACTTTACAAAACCGGGGAACTTCGCTCGACCGCATGGCAAGTCATAGAGACTCGCAAACCACGTCGCAAGCAGACGAAGGATCGTAAGTAGTTCCTATTCATCCCCAATGAACTGAAATGGCAAGTGCCATTGAGGCAAGGATGTCGAAATTTGGCAAAAGATGCCCAAGTCCAGAACTTGACACTGGCAGGTGGCGCAGGCATAATCCATCAGAGACAAGTGCCACTGACAGGTTGCCAAACCGGCATTACTACCCCGACGTTTCAACTGCTTGTTTCAACGAGGATTCAACGGTCTTTCTAACTGGATGCAGCCTATCATTACACTCCAACGGCAGCAAGATGCATAAGCGAACTATGTCAGCGCCGGATATCGCTCAATGCTCCGTGGCCAGAATGCCGCGCCACTCCGCGCAGCCCATTATCTCAGAAAGTACATGCTCACGACCCGGTGATGAGCAGTCCGCTGAGGAGTCCCGTCGCAGTTCTGCGGCGACAGAAACCAGCGCCTCGATGAAGCAGGACCAAGAAGCCTACTGCATGTTCGTCAAGGACTGCGACACGGGCTCGCAGCTCCGCAAGGCTATCTCGCACCTCTTTGGACGCAACAAGGCGTGCACACTGCGCATCCCCAAACACGTGTGGGTGTACTACTGCCGCAAGCATTACCAGCGCATCCGGTACCGCAACGCCAAGACGTATCCCCTCAACCAGATGGAGCTCGTCAAGCTGCAGATTATGCGTCTGCAGGCGTGGAGCGAGGAGAACAGAAAGCAAAACAATGGCGCCTACATTCGTATGTGGACGCTATCGCTGCGGAAGCGCGAGCAGAGCCGCATCGAAAACGGCGGCGGCGGAGGCAGCGTCACCGAGGACTCGTCGGCTGTCCACGACGCCCGCACCATGGCCGGCACGGCGGTGCCCGAGTGGCTCATCCAGCGCGTCGCTTCGGGGTACACGACCGAGGCCATCCTCGACGTGGCGGAGCGCCTCCACAAGGAGATCAAGGACGGCCACCTCGCGCAGGTGCCCGAGATTGAGTTCCTCCCCGATATCGTCGAGGCTGATTCCGGCACCGGCTCCAAGGCGTCCCGCAACGGCCGCCGTCAGAGCCGCGTGCCCAGCACCAGCGGCATTAAGACGCCGAAGCGCAAGGCGCCCGAGGCGCTCGACTTTGGCCGACGCGACTCTGTCTATTCGGACGGCCGCGGCGCCAGCAAAGACTATCCTCACCCGCCACAGCACCACTACCACCACCACCACGGCCACTACCCTCCTCCTCCTCCGGGCGAGGAGAGCTACAACGTGGTCAGCCCCTCGGGCAAGCGCGCACGTCTCGTCCGCGGTCCCCCATCCTACGGCCCTCCCGCTACCGGGCATTCCGCGCAGCTGCCTCCACTGGCGTCGGCGCTGTCGTACGGCGAGATGCAGCCGCCGCCGCAGGCCACCGCGCGCGCGCCCAACGTTGTCGTGCCGAGGATCCAGCCGCCCGCGTACCGCCGCGGCAGCCACAGCTACGGCACAGCATCACCGCCCGACTCGTACTACCCGGGCCAGTCCCTCCCGGGAGGCGGGGGGCCGCCGCGCTGGGACGGCGGCTACGAGTCGTCGCCACACTCAGCGCGCAGCGACGGTGCCTATGCCCTCAGCACCGGCGACTTTCGACACGCTGGCCCGCCTGCTCCGCATCACGGCCAGCAGCAGCCCCTGCCGCCCATCAGCGCCCAGCTGGACAGCCGCTTCCCGCGCGCTGGCCCCCACGCCGGCCGCCCACACCACTGGCGCTCCGCCAGCGCGTACGTCCCTGGTGACCACCGCGCGCCGCCCATGCCTGGTGCGCGTCCGCTGAGCTCTGGCCACGATGCACCGCATCACGCGCCGCCACCACCGGGCTACGGCCGCGAGTACGAGCAGGGGCCGCCCCCGCAGCTGCAGCACTACGGGCCGGAGCAGCACGACCAGTATGCGTACGCGTGGCCGCGCGGGCACCACGGCAGCCAGCCGCCGCCGCATGCGCCTCGGCACGCGGGTCCTCCTGGTCCGCACGCGGAGGAAGCATGGAGTCGCGAGGGGCGAGTCGTTTACGGCGGACGCCCGTAACGTTTTGATTATACTGTCTTTTTGTCTTGCTTCTTCTCTGCATGGGATGAGACGCGCCCAATTCTTCTACCTGTCTTTACTTAATCTGTCTTATATTTTTTATGGGCGTTTGGGGTTCTTCAGCGCCTTTTGTCATGGGGATTCGCAAAAAAAAAGAAAATCGCGCGCTTGCGGTATTTGGTTCTCGGGCGGCTCATATTGGATATTTTCTTTGTTTCTTGGCGGCATTTATTGGTCTTAGATTTTCTTTGTTCCTGCACGTACCGCATCTTACAGATAATGTATAAGTAATAGACGACCATCGAGTCACTTCTACTGTAAACCGGATGGTTTCCCAGTTGACTGGTAGAGTGACATTGTGCGACTCGTGGCAGAGGGCGTGGACTGACTTGTTTGACGCGGATAAAACCCTCGATGTGACAAATACTCGGAATATTACTTCCGCGCTGGCCTTGAATCGTGAGCATGAGCACGACAATGCACGTGCTAGTCGTTGGTGTCTGTTTGATGATCACCGTCTCTGGCATGGGTCGCGTCCGTGTGAAAGAGGAAAGAGGACTGAGCAAGCAAGTTTTGTCCCGCAGGAGTTTGAGGCTTTTTCTTCCTTGGCGGCAATATCCTGCATTAACCACACACCGTTCCTACCATCAACACGAGGTGTTTACGTAGTTCAATGACTCTGTATCTCGTATGCAACCGAGTGACAGTACCACACCATCTCCATCAAAGCGGATTGCTCCATTTACTCTTCTCCTCGACGGCCCCGCAGCCCGCGCGCTGGCATTGTCAAGGCCCCCCGTGCTCGCCTACCTTGACGAGACCCTCTGTAAGCCCCCCCCCCGCGCCGTCAGCCACTCCGCCTCCATTCCCGGCGTCGTCGAGCGGCTTCCCGCGGCCCGGGCGCGACGGAGAGGTACCACGCGGCGCGCCGCGGCGGCAACGGCCCTGCAGAGAGCGTGTGCAGCCAAGTACCCAACATGTTCATAATAAAGTGGTTTCGGCCCACCACGTCGAGCGAAGCGAGTAAAAGAAAAAAAAAAAAACAAAAACAGGGGGAGAGCTAGTGCTCGTAGAAGGAGACTTGAGCATCGGGCCGCTTGAAGCAGACGAGGCCGTCGTCGACCAGGGCGCATACGGTAGTGGAAGGGGGGCGCAGAATGTAGACGATGCGGCTTCGGTGGCGGAGGGAATGTCGCCGGGCCGGAGGGTGAATGTGGACCGGCGGAAGGGTCGGCCGGAGGGTAGTGGTGGGGATCATGCCAAGGCCGGCGCTGATGTTTTCTGGTTGGGGAAAGAGGAACGATGAGAAAGATCTTTTTTGGATGGCCGGCAAAGTGAATCTAAGTTTTTAAATCCACAGCCTGGTGCTGGCGCGGGTTGTTGATGACGGGCGGTACATACATAGGTTAGCCCGATCGTAAACCAAGTTGTCGGAAACCTTGGGGGGGGGCTGATGCGAGATTGATGGCTTGCATGTTGATTTGTCCGAGACATGCATTCTGCCAAGAGCCCCCAGCAAGGAGCCTCTTTTTTTCTTCTTCTTCATTTCTAGAATGTGGCACAGCCACTGGCGGGGGGAGGGGGCTATGCAAGGGACTGGACGGCACAGGGCAAGGTAGGTCTTGTGTGTAAAATACGAGGTAGATCATTACTCGCATGCTATCGTTGAAACAAAGGCCGTGGCTCCTCGCGGAGAATCTGCAATACATTCTGTTCCTCCTCTTTCGACTGGAAAGTAAACCGTAAAGGAAATTTCAAAGCAAATTTTCACATCTGAAATCAACATGCCCGCCATACGAATGGCTCGTCCAAATACACCCAGAACGCCAATAAATGTGAAAGAGCCTCCCTGGCTCCAGGATATCCCATACTTCATAATGCTATTCTCATGCCATGGCATGGGGGATGGATGATGCCGATGCTCATCAAACGCATGCGGATGATGGCTGGCAAGCGTAGCAGAAACACTGCTAAAAAATGAATCACGGCAAAGGTGACTGGGAAAAGAACAAGGAAATGTCATCGAAACATGTCGAGCGTAACAACAGAACAAGAAATGGCGCATACTTCATCTCATACAACTCGCAAACCATATGCAGCAACTCACGGCGTGTTGCCGACGACAAGGATCAGGAGCATGCCGTTAATCAGACACGACACGGTAAACGACAGCCAGACCGCCAGGCGGTTGGCGACGGACAGCGGGTCCTGGCGGTAGAGCGTCATGCCGAGGCCGGCGCAGGAGCAGCACAGACTGACCATGACGCCCACCGTCACTCCGACGTCGACCTCGACGCGCAGCTTGCGCTTGCCGGCCGAGATGAGGATGCCGGCTACGCCCATGAGGATGTAGGCGGCGGCAAACGAGGCAATGGTGCCCCAAAAGAGGACGCGCTCGCGATAGCGACGAATATGCTGCTCGTTGATGCTGGGAAACGTGGCGTAGTGCATGGCATAGCCCTCGGTGGGAATGCCGTCGGAGCTCGAGTAGCCCGCCTCCTCGTCCGAGTCGGTGTGCGTAGTCGACACGTAGCCGTTGGCGGAGCAGGGGGTATCGCCTAGCAGGGACAGGCGCTCGCGCTGGTCGCGGAGCTTGAACCAGCCGCGAATCTTCTCATAAGGCATGGTGACGATGGCGTTGACGTAGCCCAGGCCGGGAAAGGACGCGTCGTCGTCGGGGTTGATGTAGATGGCGTAGCTGTCATCGCCGGCGTCGCTCCCGTCATCGTACTCGTTCCAGTATTTATGTTGAGGAGGTTCGGTGGCGGCTGGCGGAAGGGGATTAAAGGTGACGCGGCGGGCAGTGCTGGCGGGGGACGGGGGCAGCTCGACCGAGGACGGGGAGCTTGGCTCGCTAACGGTCGGCGCGGCGTGGCGGAGGCCGGCGAGAATGTCGGAGTGGCGCTGGCGGAGGGGGGCAAAGTCGCGGCGGGTGAAACTCTTCAAACTACCGAGGACCTGTTCGTTGAAGCGAGCGTGGAGCGAGGTTGACCCGGTCCATTTCTGGGCATGTTAGACAATGATGTAATGATACAGGCGCAATGGTGTAATAACGCAATGGTGTAATAATGCAATGATGTAATGCTACATGGCGCATCTACAATGGTACAGGTGCGAGGTGCAATGTGGGCAGGATGATTTTAGACAATCGTTATACGCTGTCGATATTTCGTCGTACCTTGTATTTTTTGAGAATCTTGCGAAAGGCTGTGACTTGAGCCTTGGAAAAACGCTCGAGGGCGTAAATGTCGTCGCCGCAGTGGAGGAGTTCGCGTTCGTACTTGGCGAAGCGTCGCTGGCGCTTGAGGGCGAGGTTTGGGGAGGACTCTTCTTGGTCGTATTTTTGGATCCATCGGTTGATGTTGGTCTGTTGGTGGTCTGTTGGTGTTGGTGTTGGTGTTAGTTAGTGAAGCGCTCAAGAACGTAATGAAAGTTAAAGAAAACAAACGAGGCAAGAAGAGAAAAGGCTTACCCATTCGACGAAGAACTTCATCGGCCTTGCTGCTCACAAAGAGGTCGACGCGGTCGTGCTGGCGGCAGAGCTCGGCAAAGAGGGCATTCTCAAACTTGGCGAGGGCAGGATCCTCATAGCCGGGAATAGCCATGGCAGTCGCTTGATCGCGCGTGGTGTGCATCTTGATCTCGTGCTTGAGAGAGTTGTAGTCCAGATTGTCTGCAGCATTGGTTAGGATTAAGTTTGTGGTACCAACGGGATGACGCATAGACTGGACGGGTGTGACATACGAAAACTCCATTGAGGCGCCGACTCGCGCTCGAGCTGCTCGCCGTACTTCATGACGGCGGCTAGAGAGTGAGGAGCGAAATGTGGCGTGGGAGTTCAATTCCTGGTGGATGAGATGCAATTGATGTCGTCGTCAAGCGGCGTGTTGGGGAGAGCCGATTACAAGTGGAATCGGTTGCGGCGCAATGGCGTTGTGGGCGGCCAGTATGGCGACGTCACAAGTGGGCTGGGCTGGGCAGGGAAGGATGGCGGCCAGCTTTAGGAAGCAAAGGGAGTAACAAGGACAATGAGGATGCTGATGAAATGGAAGCAAATGGGGATGATGTAGAGGGAAAAAGCAGAGCCAGGAGGGGAATCGAGGTAAAAGGTAAAAATATGGTTTGGTTCGACGATGTGGCGGCGACGGGTTGAGGCCGGTAATGGTTGGCGGCGTCGATGGTTAGCGCGGGACAAGAGCTGAAAGCCAGAAGAGGCCGAGGTAGACGACAAGGCAAGATAAGGGGATGAGGGCAAGAAGCGGCAGACAAGAATGCTGGAATGCAGTAAGTAGCTACCAGACAATGGGCAAGACAAGCTGGTAGCGGCGGCAATGGGCAGAGAGTGAGACAAGATAGTCAGAGACTGAGAATTGTTGTTGTCGAGACGGCCGGAAGTGGAATGTAGAAAGCTTAAAAGCGAGTCGAGATGGGGGCAATATCGCAGACGATGAAAGAAGGCGGTGGGAGAGTGGTGAGTGAACAAGTGGACTCGGCAATGGAAGGCGAATTGTGGTGTTTTGAGAGAATGGGAGGAAACGAGAGGAAGAAGAGTGAAGAAGAAGAGAAGCAAACGAAGCCGTTGAATCAAGTTGGGATATCTTTTTTACTGGCAACCTATTACAGGCCAATACAGCCATTACAGGCTCGCCTCAGTGGAGGAGGGACCCTGGACGTGGCGCTATAGCGGGCTACAGAGGGTATAACGACGGGACCATGACAATGGGGGTGCGTGCGGAGGGGCCGCTGGTACGATGGGAGAGGGGCGGGTGGAGGAGGTCCATGTGCGGTCCATGTGTTGACTATTTTTTCTTAATCTATTTGATAAGTTGCATAGCTGCATATCTATCCATTTTTTTTTTTTTGGCTTTCAATGCAATTCGTAGGCAAAGCAGAGTCGTGTTTGTGGCTGAAGCAAAGGCGTGCTAGTTGAACACGCAGGGCATTGGGATTGGGACTGTGTTGGCGTCTACCTAGTAGCAAGTGCGAGAACGGCGAGGTGGAGCGTGGAAACAGGGATCAGTTACGCCAACAAAAATACTTTATCTTGGCCTGTTTTAGGTCTCGCATATCATTTTTTTACGTATTTTGATTCGGCCGTGCCTTGTTATCGTAGGTAGTAGGTAGTAGGTACTCGTTGTTATCCGAGTTGGACAGTGAACGGTGGCTGGATCAGTCAGACGAACGCACAGAGCCCGCATATCGAAGGAAAGAAGAGGGAAGCATACGGATCTTATATATCGAATACGCAGTCCTTTTTTCTTGTTGCCTCGTAATTGCTGCATCATCTCGACGCCGGGTGGGGGGAGTCATCCGGGTCTGGGCCTTGGGAGCAGATGGGCGGCCTCGTTGATGCTTGTAGCCGAGGGTTGAGAGTGAAAAAAAAACTTGGTGTCAGCCAGGTCGCTGGATAGCGCTAGCAGGGGTGTCCTCCGTTCCGTTGCGCGCTGCGGTGGAGCTTTTCTGAACCAGTCAGGTGTGCACGCCGTTTGTCATTGGTCGCCTCGAGCGAGGATAGAGTGCTGCTGCTTTGGAAGGAAAAGTTGACTGCGAATGGCCAATGAGTAGGTAGACGAAGTATTAGGGATTACGGAGTAGTGCAGATAGTGCAAATATCGTACTCTATTGCACGCCAATTACTCTGCATCTTCAAGGAATAACAGCCATGGTAGTTGGCCGACGCCAATCAGCCAGGTACGCCACCATCGGCCACTATCGTCCGTGGTGGCATCACCCGCTTGCTTCTTTCATTGACAAACATTGATCAACATTGATTTTTGTACAGCATGTACGAATTATATAGCTACAGATCAGCATCGATTTATTTACTGGTATCTTACACATTGGGTTGTCAATGACCCCCACTCGCCGTCCCGCCAGGGCGAATCTTCCGTCGTCCCGGCCAAAAAATAACCCGAAATCCACCTCAGAATCCGTACCTGGACCATTCATCACCAAGCTCACTGTCCAAACTAACAGGTACCGCAAGCGTCTCGCACCATCGCGACTCGTTTATTTCTGCCCCGCTGCATGACACCGCTACCATCAACACTTACTTGCCGGCCAATGACCCAACCCGACGACCCGAAGCCAACAGCGAGCATACTAGCGCCTGCCTCCATTCTGTCTCAAACTTTGGGCTCGCATCCTGCCTGGTACAGATACCAGTAGACTGTCACTGGCATGGAGAACCGGAGGGGCCCCCGTCTTGAACCCACCCCAGCTCGCCCCAGCTCGCCCCCAGCTCGCCTGCAAGACCCAGCATGTCCACCATCTCGCATCCGCACAAACGGAGCACGGCACGGCATGTTACGGATACTCAATACCTCTCTGTCCAACATACATGCTCTACTATCCATACCATCCTCCATACATCCATCCTCGTCTCCATCTACAACTTCCGTCACAATAGCACGATCGACTACCTCCACTTGCCTGCCCACTTGCCTGCCCCCCGTCTCGCGTCCACTTGGCCTCGAGCTCAGTGCCTGTCACAACCATTGGTACAAAAAAAATCCGCCTCTCCAGCCAATCCACATCCTCCACCGCCATGCAATGCAATATGCAACAACACAGCTACATGCACGCAAGCCTTGCACCATGGACCATGGCCTTTCTCTTCCAACATCTCAATCCATCCTGGTCCATCCCACCCACGCGGGTCCTCCCTCTCTTTGGCCCCCTCTTTTCTAATTTACTGATTGATAGACTCTCACTTCTCTTCTAGCTTCGAGCCCAACTCCATCGTCGGTGACTAAGAAGAGCAACCGCCTCCGTCCAAACTCCCAACCCAACCGCCACCTTCAGCTTGTTGGTGCGAAATGCCATCAAGTCTTGCGCAATTCTTCCTTTCGGCAAGAGGAGGCCGTCGGTCGCTTACATCCACTTTCGCCTCTTGCTCACGCGACCACGTACTGCTTCCATCCGGTTCATCCACACAATACATGCTTATTGCATCGCCGCATGCAGCCTCTATTATAATCTATGGCCTCGAACCCGCATCCGCCTGCACTAGCCCCTCACCATCGTGCTCTTTTTCCTTCTCTTTTTTTCTTCTCTTTTTCTTCTCGCAACAGTCGAGGGCCTAGACCCCTCTATCCTCTGCTAGGCCGCCAGGCTACGATTCATCGTCCGGGATCCGCTTCCTCCTGTTACTACCTGCTAACTAACACTTGCTAAAACTTGTTAAACAAGTCTAACTAGCGCCTCAGCCTAACGACGCGATGCTCTATTTCGACTCGGACTTTTTTGCCTTCGGCTAGTTTTTGTTCCTCCCGAGCCAGCCGATTATGTATCTGCACCCTGCTGACTCCCTGACACCCGGCTCCTCTCCCGACAGCAGCGGGCCAGCGGTGCAGCCCAAGACATGGCTTGCAGCCTCCAGCCTGCGTCTCGCAAACTATTCCATGTCCAATCAACTTCTCTCTCGCCTTACCAGTCGCATCAATGGCATGTTTCACTTCTCATTTCAGCAGAAGAGCACACGACCACCTGCCTTACTGGTACACCAGCCCCGGCGCCTCGTTCATTGTAGCACCTGGCATGCAATAGCTCACCAGCGTAGCGGCTCTCTCCATGACCACAGTGCAATCGGCAATATTTCGCAATCTGTCCCCTCGCTCTCCAACCACTGCGCTTGTGTCGTTTCCGTTTCAGACCTCCCTCTTGCAAATCTGCGGTGGCGCCTAATAATAATACCAGTGGTCCAGTGGGCCTGCACAAAACGTGCCAGGCCTGCCAACACTTCCATCGACCGGCCAATGGCACCACCGCCAGATGCTCTCCCCATTTCAAAGCTCCTCCTTTGCAAAGCCGGTCCAGTCTGGTTACGCCACAACTGCAGGGAATTGCTTGCGTGCTTGGACTTGAGCACCACTTCCTCCGCGTCTTGATAAGCGGTTTTACGTACATGCATTCAGACCCTTCGTTCGCTGTGCCGTTGTGGCCGAGTCAACCCTGCGAGCACCGACGCACTGAAACCGCACGACACACCTCGAGCCAGGCCTCTTATCGTGGCAGTGGACTGTCTCGCCATACCAGTACACAACTACTCATGTTCACGACCCCGGCTCGTTGTCCGACTTCTTGCAGTCACGATTAGCTACACGCTAAAAAAAGTGTAAATGACAGAAAACGTACGGTTCTCAGTAATTCAGCCACCCTACTCGCCAGCCTCAAACCTTGTCAAGCACAGGTCCCAGCTGCAACCCCGCAGCTTAAACCCGTGTTGAGCAAAAGAAGCACCAAGGAAGCAGCTTTTTGAGGACCCTTGTTTCCAACAACAGGGTCCTTGGTCACGCGAGTCTGTGTGCTCACTGCCTGCCTCGTTTCCTGCGGGTCTCAGTCTATCAAACAATAAACGACCATCTGAACAAGTCCCAAAGCATGAACAAACTGGTAGGACAGCCTGTCGCAAAACCGACGCCGCCTCTTGTTATGTATGGTGCGCATTATCGATCGCTGCACGCTTGCGTCGGCACTTACATCGATATGTGTACCCCAGGTGATTGCATGATTTGCCTACGTGATTATGTGTAATAACACTCTTACTTTGTGCCAAATTAGACGGACGACTTTTGCCGCAATTGATCGGCAAGACAACCACCATGCCAACGTCGCCAACGTTGCCCCCCACCACCTTTCTCGCATTTACGCCAGAAACGGTCATTACATCACGCCTCGCAGATGTTCTTGCAGCGGTGAGCCCATTTCACACGACCAATTTGAAATACCACAGGTTCAAGGAGAGAATGGGAGAAAAGAGCCAGGAAAGAAGGGTGGAAATGCGTGACAAAAGTACCTAATGACAACATTCATTAAAAATTGCTAATAAATGTATTTAATTAATAAAAACCAATAGACTTTGTGACGTGGCTGGCTTTTTCTTCAGCCGCATACTAGTTATGATATGGGGCAAGAAGAGCAACATTCTCCAAAACCCCTGACCCTAGCAACTCACGATGAAGACAAGCCCGCCCCCAACAACCACAGCCACCGACTTTGCAAAGAAAAATTATCTGATGATATCCACTACAACGTCCTCACGATAAGCAAAACCAGGAAACAGTCCTCCGGTTGTTCTCCAAACTGGCTCGGCGGGGTAAGGGGGGTGAACCCTCATGGTACGTTTCCGTTGGTAATGCACCAGGGGATTCCAGTCTCGCCATATATATATATATTGTGTATGTATACATATATTTCTTTTTTCGAAATCATCTTTCTGAATCTTCTCCTGCCTTTATTAGGCTGTCGTGAAGTTGATGTGTGAAGCCAGATCCTGTCCGGGTCCAACGCCCAACGACTTGCCACACCCCCTCCAAAGGCGTCTCAAAAAGAAGAGATTACAAGCCGCTCTTCCGTGTGACGGATGTGACGGACTGGGCTTTGGAGGGGGCGAGCAGGCTTGGCGATTGAAGGCGTCGTCGGATAGGGAAAACAACCAAAAAAAAAAAAAGTGACTGCTCAACTTTTTGATGCGAGGTCTGGGATAACGGCTCCGTTGCGGCCACCTACGTCAGGCCCTATCCTTTTCTCTTTTTTTAAATAAAAAATAATTTCATTCTTATTAACACGAGTTGTAGGGAAAAAAAAAGTCTAAAAAACGGCAAGGCGTCTTGAAGCCTTGCTTCTATCCTATTCTGAAACGTGGAAGCAATAAAAAGAAAAGCACCACCATGCTGTTGCCAGCCCAGGGGCGTCCAATCTACCCCAGTACTAAGCTGTGATGATAATAAAACCCCCGAAAGAAGAAGAAGAAAAAAAAACAATACATCATCGCTAAAATGCAATATATGGGGATGCTCGGTATGTATGCCAAGAGGACAGAAAAACAGGAGGAGCAAGACGAGACAAAAATTGAAAGCCCACGTGCTATCCAACGACGTCATGCCCATGTGTCCATTGGTTGTTTTTTTTCTTCATCCATGTTCTAGACAACGAAAAAAAAAAAAAAAAGCGCAAGTCTCTTAGTCCTGATGCTCCAGCACCTGCGCCACCTCCAAAACACCGCAAATACGGCCATTCTCCGTCACCGCAATCATGGCCTCCATGGCCTCGCCATCCTCGCCCATCCCTACACCGCTGCTGCTGCTGCTGCTGCTGCTAGCTCCCACCGCATCGCCCGTCCCGCGGAGGATGTCACGAGCCTGGCGCACCGTCGTCTCGGCCGACATGGCCAGCAAGTCGTGGCACGAGACGAGCAGGCTGCCGAGCGGCTCCAGGAGGTCCTCGTCGCGGAGTCCGCGCAGACGGCGCGGCGCAGCCAGGGCCTCGCCCACGCGCACCCAGCCGTGCTTGGACGCGTACCCCACGCGCAGCAAGCTCGCCGCGGGGCTGTCGGCGCGCAGGTGGCTGGCGTCGTGGACATGCTCCCATCCGACGGCAATGTGCCGGAGGGTGACGGCGGGCGGCGGGACGAGCAGCGCCTTCTTCTTGGACGGCGGTGGTGATAGAGGTGGTGACGCGACGGCGGTGGCGGCGCCAATGGCACCGCCCGGGTGGTTCTTGGCAAATGCGGCGGCAACGTCGGGGTGCAGCTCGCGCGCGGCCGTCAGGGCGAGGGCGTCGCCGAGGGCGAGCGCCGCCGTGGTGGACGTTGTCGGCGCGGCGACGCCAAAGGATGCGCGCTCCGGCTCGTGCACGGGTGCGGGCACGAGAATGGTGCCCGGCCGCCGGCGGGCCAGCTCGCAGGCATCGGGCCGCGTGTGCGACGTGATGAGGATGGTGGGTAGCGCGGCGTCGAGGTGCGGTAGCACGGCGAGCAGCTCGGGCGTGGACCCCGAGTAGGTGATGAAGAGCAGCGTGTCGTCGGGACCGACGAGCCCCAGGTCGCCGTGGAGCGCCTCGGTCGGGTGCAAAAAGACGGCGCGCACCGCCAGGCTTTGAAACGTGGCCGTGAGCTTCTTGCCGATGAGGCCCGACTTGCCGACGCCGATGATGACGAGCTTGCCGCGCGTGGCGGTCTGCCGCGTGATGGCCACGACGGCTTGGTGGAATCCGTTCTGCGCCTGCGCATCCGTCTCGTAGAGCTTGGTCAGGTTGGCGAGCGTGAGCGCTTCGGTGCGCATCACATGCAGCCCGTCACGCAGATGCGCATCCTTGTGTCGCTCATCTTCGGCTGTAATGTATGTTCCTGGGTCGTGGGCGCTTTGCGACGCTGTATATGGTGTAGTTGGTCTATATGGAATGTGCTGTCCGGCCAGCTGGAACGGTTCGGGCGGTTCCGTGAATGACGCCGCGTTGTCGGCAGCTATGACGGACGGCGTCGGCGGCGACGGTGGCCGTGTGATGGGGCGCTTGGAGCCGTTGAGAACGATAACGGCGCTGGTCTGTATAGGGCGGTGCTCGCCCTTTCTAGCTTCTCCCATCTTCGTCTTGCGTTGTTTTTGTGCTGCTGTGATGGTTTGTGAATTGTGCACCACTGTGGTTTCCAATTTTCGCCTGCGCCCCGCGGCGGAGCTCCGAGTAGATCCGTCACGGCTGTAGAGATGGCTCAATTGATGCGACGCAGCGGACAGTTTTGCAAAGCAGTGAATGAGTGAACGGTACTCGTTTGTGGGAAGAAGGAGTTGAGCTATATGTCGTAATAGATTGCATCGCTAGTGCGGAACGGTCGGACGCATTTGCGATACCCCGCCGGCTTTGATGCTGATATCGATTTGGGCGTGTGCTAATCGTCCGAGTCGCATGCACGTACTGCTTCGGAATTACAGAGGGATTGGCATACTTGGCAGGCAGCGCGGACTGAGCAAGATGTACGGGTAATCCGGGCAGCTCTAGCGGCGCGTCGGCGAAGGCCAGGATCGCAGTGAGCGACCCAGATCAAAATAGCATTCTCGATGTTCGGCCTGCGGATCATAAGGCGAAATCTGCACGTTGTATTAGGCCACGCGCAACAACGACGGCGCTATACCCAGGCGAGCGATAGCGGGCACAAGATTCCAGGTTGGCGGAGCCTGGCGGTGACGTGCTTCACTGCGTCAAGCATGGGCGTGACGGAGTCGATGTCGGTCATTGGCTCTAGGCGGAGAGATCGCGTAATAGATATGGGGGCAGATAAGGTCGCCGTGCGATTGTAACCGGCCGTCTGTCCATCCGAAAAGAGTCCTCGGCCGTCCAGCGGCCGTGGCAGCGGGACGGGCCACTTCGTCTGGCCTGTTGTTGGAGCGGCTGCTCACTTGGAAGCGCTTAATATGCAAGATACAGGTCGACAATCTGCAAACTGGTCAAACACTCTGCTTCAACTCGGCACTCTTTGCCTGTCACTGCTGACAGCGAAGCGCCGTCGGGGCTGCGTCCCCTGAAAACTGGTGGAGGTGGCTTCCGCCATGGGCCAATGATGATGGGCAGCCCGTACTGTGTAGTCACCCGTCGACTAGGCGCATCCAGGATCCAGGGCCGTCACGTCACCTTGTCTTTGTCCGCTCTCATTGATGCTGAAGCGGTTCAGGATCATCTGCAGAATGACTCGTTGTTGCAACTCGTTTGTTGCTCGGCAGCCAGTTATGTAGGTATGTAGGTATGTAGGTATGTAGGTACGTGTCTTTGGAGGCCCACCAAAACTTCTGCGGCGGCAGTTCGGCAGCCAACCAGGCCCAAGCCTAACTAACGCTGATGACTTCGTAGTTCAAACACGAAACTGCCAGCGTGGCAAAGTCGACTAGTACATCACAGAATTATCCCACAGCCTTGAGAGTTCGCAGCCGGCCTGGTACTCTGACTCATAGCCACCTCGTGCTTCATCGCCGCCAACACCTGTGCTCTTTCCAAACCCCCCATGGAAGCGGCAGCATCGGCACTTTGTCACCATCCACCATGGCACCGCCGGCCAAGGTCAGCAAGCCTTTGCCTGAGAAGGGAAGCCTCGGAAACCTCGAAAAGTTGTCTACGAAGCAGCGTAGGTCGCGATCTTCACTATGCGGCAACTGCATGATCGTTCTCGTGCTGGCTTTTGCATGCGTCATCGCCACTCTCCGCCTGTTTGGCACATCCACCGACTTGCGCCCGTGGTCGCGCCTGGGAGACTGGGGCGCCTATGAGTTTGAGGATACCGACGAGCCTCTCGCCGGCCTACCCGCACCGCATGAGACGGATCGCTATTTGCTGGGCGTTGGCAAAGCCGACATTACCGGTCCCGTCGTCGAGCTCAACCTGATGGGCTATGCCGATACAAATCAAATCGGAAGCGGCCTGCGCCAACGCCTATACTCGCGTGCTTTTATTGTCGGCGACGTCGATAACCCCAAGGACCGCTTCGTATATCTCGTTCTTGACACGCAGTCTGGCGATACTGCTGTCCGGTTTGGCATTCTCGGCGGCCTGCAGAAACTCGGCCCCGCATACTCCATGTACAACCACGACAGCCTAGCAGTCACGGCCACGCATTCGCACTCTGGACCCGGCGCCTGGCTCAACTACCTTTTGCCGCAGATTACCAGCAAGGGCTTTGACAAGCAGAGCTATCAGGCTATTGTGGACGGATGCCTGCTCTCGGTCCAGCGAGCGCATGAGAGTCTGGCTGTGGGCACGCTCAGTGTCGGGAAAACTAAGATTTTTGGCGCCAACATCAACCGCAGTCTATTCTCGTACTACGCAAACCCTGAAGAAGAACGTGCGCGCTATAATATCAGTGTCGAGGACGACGGCTCGGTGGAAAAAGAGATTACTGTTGTCAAGTTTCGGAGAGAGGCCGATGGCAAAAACATTGGCGTATTGACCTGGTTCCCTACGCACGGCACTTCGATGCAGGCGAATAACACGTTGATTACCGGCGACAACAAGGGACTCGCAGCGGATCTGTTTGAGCGCCAAGTGCGCGGGGGAAGTGACGAGACTGACGACTTTGTGGCCGGCTTCTCGCAGGCCAACATGGGAGACGCAAGCCCAAACGTGCTGGGTGCATACTGTGAAGATACGGGTGAGCCTTGCGACTTCAAGACTAGTAGCTGCAGCGATGGACGTCCCGGATCGTGCCGCAGCCGCGGGCCTTTGTACCTCAAGAATGACTACGGGGCATCGTCCTGTTTCGAGATTGCGCGGCTGCAGGCCGAAGGTGCGATGAGAGTGTACAAAAGCTTGAGCAAGGAGAACAGGGTCAGGGGCGTGGGAGTCAAGGCAGTTCACGAGTTTCACGACATGGCCGGATATGAATTCGTGCTTCCCAACGGCACCATGGCTCGAACTTGCCCTGCGGCGTTGGGTTACTCGTTTGGAGGCGGAACCAGCGACGAACCAGGTCACTTTGACCTGATCCAACACGGCAGCAACGCGACCAACTCGTCTCCGATCTGGCGCGTGGTCCGCTGGTTGCTCAAGCCGCCTAGCCAGCAGCAGATAGATTGCCAGTATCCGAAGCCTATCGTTCTGGACGTAGGAGAGGTGGGACGGCCGTATGAGTGGACGCCGAACATTGTTGATGTGCAAACGTTTCGGGTTGGCCAGCTGCTGATTGTCGTCAGCCCGGGCGAGGCGACAACCATGGCTGGACGGCGCTGGAAGGAGGCCGTTGCGGCACAGAGCAGGGAACAGATGAAGGAAGACTTGGCTGGGCAGGAGCCGATTGTAGTGATTGGGGCACCCAGCAACAGCTACACTCATTACATTACTACGGAGCAAGAGTACAAGTAAGTAGTCCCCGACGATGGAATGATGGCAGAGCTAACCAGTTAGTATTCAACGTTACGAAGGCGCGTCGACACTGTACGGGGCGCACACGTTGGCGGCATACGTCAATCGCACGTTGGAAACGCTGCACTATCTCAAGGCGGCGCACCCGACTTCCCGGGCAGGCCGCAAGGTGCGGCGGCTGCCGCCAGACAACAGCGGCAGGGCCATAAGCTTCATTACCGGGGTGGTGTTTGACCGCACGTGGTCGGGCCCGTACGGCAGCGTCAGCCAGGACGTGGGCCGGGAGCGGTTCCGCCGGGGCGAGACGGTGACGGCGCGTTTCGTGGGGGCCAACCCGCGCAACAACCTGCGGCTAGAGCAAACGTACGCGGCCGTGGAGTACCGGTCGGCGGGAGGCGGGTGGACGAGGGTACGCGACGACGCGGACTGGGCGCTCGCGTTTCGGTGGAAGCGGCTGTCGGGTATCCGGGGCACAAGCGAGGTGACGCTGGAGTGGCAGGTGGAGGACTGGGCGCAGGAGGGCGAGTACAGGCTGCGATACTATGGCGATGCCAAGTCGTTTGGGGGCCGGATTACGGGGTTTGAGGGTACGAGCTCGACATTTCAGGTTGGATAGATGGCATGCTTTTGGTGGCTTTTGGTGACTTTTGGCGACGTTTGGCTGGTGAGTCTTGTGTTTACATTTCATGTATCAGGCGTCGGGGCGTTGGAGTGACTTGGAGTTGGAACTGGCTTTTATGAGATTTTCAATAGTTTACAACTAGGCAAGCGATGAAGCAAAGCAATATTGGACACTGTTACATAGACGGAAAATAGTGAGATTGGCAGGGCCGATGAGACACGGGTCTGACTAGTGAGTGCGGCGGATCGGGTGGAATTCGCTCGACGTGTTTCGTGCAGGCTAGATGTTGGCTAGCGGCAGCAAAAGCAAACAATGTCTTGTACCAAGCCTACTTGCCTACCTAATACTAGGTAGTTAAGAGGCTTACCCTTGGGCGGTTGAAGAAAGCAGGGGTGCAGCGGAATGAGAACCTAGAGGCCAGACTGCGACAACACGACGCTAAACTACTAGCGAAGCCCGGGTATTCTCGAAATTTCTTGAGAAACTAACCAAAGTCTATTCAGCCATGACCTAAAAAAAAACAAAAAAAAAACGTTTTTGCCAACGAACTAAAAGGACGCTTAATGGAAAAATTAACGAGTCAATGCCCTAATCGGGCGAAGCGGTTGGATGTTGAGAATTTGCCTCTTGAACCACGTTCTAGTTATTCTGTCAATGCTCAAAAAATGTCGCACAAACCGCCTTTTTTACTTTTACCCGCTGAAACGCAGCGTCGTCGTCGTCGTCGTCGTCGTCATCCCAGCCCACTTTGGGGGGGGGGAGATCAGCGCGGCGGCGGCGCCCACAAGCCGGTCTTGTTTCTGTGTGGTTGGATTTTTTTTTGTAGAGAAAAAAAAAAAAAAAATTGGCTTTTACACTTGGGCACTAACTATTATTACCATGGCGTCTGGGTAGCTAACTCGTGGCTTGGGAGGCGCCGCCGAGTGATCCGTTCCAACGGCAACCACATGTCATCGGTTGAGACGGCAGTGCGATGAGGCGTTGTGATGAAGAGAAGAGACAGCAAGACAAATAATGAACTAAAATTTGTACAATTCGAGAAGGGCAAAAAGCAAGCGCTAGAAACACACCAAGTACTAATTTGTGCAGGTAGGTAATAAGGAACCTGCCTGTGCCCAGCTGCATAGCCCACTTCTGCTGCAGCCGCCTTTTCCGTCTATCAAGCGCTTTGCCCTGTTTTTATTGGGTGAACTGCCATGCTCATCCTTGCCCTGCTGGAACATTGTCTGCACGGCCAAGACATCTTATTCCCCTTTTTTTCCGCTTTTTTTTTTCTTTTCTGTCCCATCTCTGTTGGCTCTTTGGGTTCTACTGCCAGAGCCACCAGACGAGATACCACAGCAGCAGGTACCTTTTCATATTCTGTTTGCATTCCATCCCCAGTCAGCCAACCATATCCGGCTGCTTCACCACGAACCCTCCCTTCTCTGACTCCCCCCCCCCCCCCCGGCCCTCGTGCCATCGCTAATTCCTGGGGGCGTTCCTCGTTCCGGTCTAACCGCCCACTCGCTTTGGGCTATCATGATCCATCCTGCCGCCGCCCCCTGCAGTCACACACACTCACTCACACACGCACACCCCTCCCTCGAGGTGGCTTTGCCCGGATGGAGTCAAATAGCTGGCCTTGGTCGATTGCTCATAAATAAACAACGGGAACCATGGAGCCGCCAGTGCTTGCTCTCCATAGTCGAGCACAAAAAAGGTTGGCCTTCAATGTCTCTCCTCCCCCTCCAGCCCAAGAGATTGGCTTGCGTATACTTCCGTAGTCGATAGATAAACGCTGCAATAAACCGTTGTCCCGCCCCCTCCCACCTCTGCTCTTGGCTCTTTCCTTGGTACCAAGAGAGCCAAACAACACCCTTCGTCTTCATCTCTTCATCATTCTCTCTTCTCTTCTCGTCAACTCGTCTCCTCCACAGTAACAACGCTTAGGTAGTCGTCAACCGCTGCCCTTTTTATTCCTCGTCCATCACATTGTCAGCCTGCGCCAAGCCATATTTAGGTTTCATCAGCTTGTCCAAGACCACCAACACCAAATCCACCCGTGCGTTTCCTCTCTCCTCCGACGAGATCCATTTCATCCTCCGATTTCTCCTCCTTTGACTCCATAACCTTACTGCTCTCCTCTTTTCTTGGATACTCTTCTTCTCTTCCTCCTCCCCCCCCTGTCGTCTGTCGTATCCCTTCTATGCTGTACCCCGTCAACACCATTTACACCGTCTAAACGACATGGGCGTCCACGAGCCCGCGCGCTTCCTGACACCGGCCTTTCCCCCGCGCAGCATCAGGACCATTCTCCTCTCCTTTGTCGGCACATGCTTCTTCTTTTCCTTTTACCGACTCTCTCGTATACCCGACGCCGGCTATTACCCACAGTACATCTACGACCACATTGCCAACTACTTTGAGCCCGGCGTCTACAACAACACCCTCTACCAGAACGGCACCGAGGCCACCGTCCACGCCCATTGGAACTTTAGCCAGCCATGCCATGGCTTCCCAAACACCGACGATATCATGGTCGTCATGAAGACGGGCGCCACCGAGTCGTTTGACAAGATGCCCACCCAGCTGCTGACGAGCATGCAATGCATCCCCGACTCGTTACTCTTTTCCGATTTGGTATGACAGCGTCGGAGACTCCATCGCCCATGGCCATTGCTAATAACGTAGGAACAACAAATCGGCAAATATCACATTTACAACGTGCTCGATCGCGTCGAAGACATCCTCAGCAGCGACCGCGCCGAGTTCCTCCTCTACCAAGCCCAGCAAGACTGCCCCATCTCGCAAAAAGAGTGCACCACCGGCATGCCTGGCGGCTGGGATCTCGACAAGTACAAGTTTCTCAACATGATTTTGCGCACATGGGAAATGCGACCCGGCAAGAAGTGGTACGTCTTTGTCGAGGCCGACACCTACGTCGTCTGGTCCAATCTCGTCACTTGGCTCAACACGAGAATGGACGCCACGCGCGACATTTACGTTGGTGGCATCGCCTTTTTGAACAATTTGCCTTTTGCCCACGGCGGTACTGGTTACGCCATTTCCGGCGTCCTGCTCGAGAGGCTGGTCGCCCACGTCAAGGAGATTCCAACAAAGGAGCTCAACGCCCTGGCCATGAACACGTGCTGCGGTGATGCCCTGCTCGCCGACGTCATTGATAAACTGGGTGTGTCCGTTCTGAGAGCTTCGCCCATGTTCAACGGCGAGAAGCCCAACACGCTCCCCTTTAGCCCGCGCGACTGGTGCCAGCCGCTGTTTACCTTGCACCACATGAACTCGGAGGAGATTAGTGGCGTATGGCAGTACGAGCAGACGCGCACCAAGAGGGACCCCATGCAGCTGCGCGACCTTTACCACGCCTTTGTCGCCCCCAACATGGTCCCGCGCCGGCCGCGTTGGAACAACCTGGCCGAACAGCGCTGCTTGGCCAAACCCGAAGACGGCCAAAACATTGTCGAGAAGCACGCCCACGAGTCGGCCGAGGCATGCTCGCGCGTCTGCCTGGCCGAGGGCCTCAACGTCGACGCCGAGGCCTACGAGAGGCTCAAGTCGGACGACGAGCGCGACTGGTACCTGCGCCAGCGCTACCGCCGACAGTTGGCCACGAAGCGCGTCAGCGGCCCGCGCACTTGCTTCACCTGGCGCTACCGCGACGGCAAGTGCTGCACCAGCGACAGCTTCCGCATGGGATACCCCGTGTCCGCCAAGAAGGAGCCCGACGCCACGAGCGGCTGGTTCATCGAGGGCATCGAGCGCTGGATCAAGGACCACGGCCAGTGTACTGGAGGCACCCAGTGGGTCACTCCCGTCTGCGTCGGCAAATGGTGCCCAGAAGAGGCCGAGAAGCGCAAGAAGCAGATGGAGCAGGACACCAAGACGAGGGAGGAGATGCTCAAAAAGTTTGGCCTGACGCTGGGCAATCCCGCTGACGGTCCCCAGGCCCTGCAATGAGCCAAGGCAGGCTATACAGCATTGGGCTGGGGCTATACCAATTGGAATGGGGGCTATACATCATTGGGATGGCGTTTTGGATCAACTTGGATTACCATGGGGCTGGCGTCTTTTCTTTTCTCTTTTAATTTTATTTCCTCTTTATATAAATAACCCAATAGGAAATTCTCTTTTTTTTTTTTTAAGAAAAAGAACCGAGCTCATAGAATGACCAAGTCGTAAGAAAGATGGGCCAGTAAAAAAAGCATCTAAACCCAAAAGTGAAATCACCCAAAAAGAAATCTTCTCCGGTACAGGGAATCGAACCCTGGGCTGCTCGGTTCTTTGTTGAGAGCGAGCGATGTTAGCCACTACACCATACCGGATATTGGATGAAAGTGGCCCTCTTATAAATACTCAAGAGCTAGTCCCCCTCGGGCGGGCTTTTACTCGACTTCGATCATGGTGGTGCACCTAATCTCAGTTGACTGCATGCAGCCCAACGCTACGCGGTTGCAGCGGGCGTGCATACATGCTGCAATAGCAGCTGAAGACGGGCAAGGGCGAGCCAACCATTTCCTATTTCTGCCATGCAATACCGATACCAAGCTTTTCTTTAAAAGGTCCCTCGGCCAAAAGCAACAGTGAGCCCGCATGGATCGACAAGTTGTAGATAACCGAGTGGGATGGTTCAAATTCCACTACGGAGGATAAAAATCGTATAATAAAGGTATTATGGAAACCCTCGTTTATCTAGGTAGGATTTTGGCCCCCCTGTGCAGGGCTGATGTATAACACGGAGCCTGTCAATATGTGCCCGTGCATGTATATAAAAAAGAAGCAAAACTCGTCCCAATGCGGCAAGAAACCAAAATACAAATACAAAGCCCGCTGCGCGCCCCAAACGCCTTCATCCTCATCGTGGCAGAAATAAAACCCGGTAACTTTCTACTCCCCCCAAGGCGGCGGCGGCGCCGGCAGACTGCTGCTGCCTTTGAGCGCGCCGTGGCGGCCGCAGCGATGGCGGTCCTTGGGGGAGCTCATGAAGCAGTATGCCTTGGCGGCATCAGCCGGGGCGGGGGGCCGAAGCGTTCGCGAATCTCGCAGTACTGGTAGCCGGGGCCCATCCAGCCCTGGATGTGTCTGTGGAGTTCGCAGCGAGAGATGCCGCACTTGCGGCAGTAGACCTGGCCTTTGACGCGGAGTCCGTCAAGCGGGCGGGGGTTGGTGGTGGTGGTGGTGGTGGTGCTGCCGCGCTGGCCGCTGAGATGCCGCACGCCGCGCCACACCCACTCGAGGTCGTTGGGCCCGCTGTACCGGCTGCTGAGCGGGACGCGGGCGGCGGCGGTGAGACGCCGGTGGACGGCGTAGAGCGCCGGGTGCGCGAGGCCGAGACACACGGCGTCGATGGGGTCGAGCAGGTCAAAGAGCGTGTAGTGCAGCTCGGGCGGGAGGCTGAGCAGGCCGCCGCCGCTGAGGAGGGGGTGGCGCTGGTGGTCTGCAGCAGCAGCAGCAGTAATGGTGGTGTCTTCGGGCTCCTTGTCCGTGGCCGAGTAGGAGCGTCGCGGGGGCTTCTTCGTCTGAGGTGCGCGGTGGGAGGAGGCTGCAAGGGGGGGCCCGCTGCGCAGCACGGCGTTTTCGGGAATCGAGGCCTCGGTGGGAATGTGCGCCGAGGACGAGGAGGGCGGCGCGGCCGACAAAGCGGCGGCGGCGGCGAAAAAGTCGGGCGGCGCATCCGTGACAGAGTACCCCCGCCGCGCGGGACGTTTGTTGGGCGCGAGGACCCCGTCGCGGAGGGTGCCCCGGGAGGCGTGCGTCGCGGGGTTGGCGAGCCACTGGACCATGGCGGGGTGTGTTTTGCTGCTATTGTTTTACCAAGCTTGGGATGATGTGATGTTGGTTGGTGGTGGTGGTGGTAGAGGGAAGTAGTAAAAAGGTGCTGCGCGGGTTTTCTCGGCTTTTATCAAGAGGGGACCCCGGGGGGGTTATTGACTCGTGTCGGCCGTTTTGTGGTCGTTGCCCGTATTCTTCGGTTGACAACTGAATCACACGAACAAAGGCCTTTTTGTCGTTCACTGACGTGTGTGTGTGTGTGTGCCAGCTAGGGCGGGGTGGCGGTGGCGGCAGGTAAGACAAACAGGTGTGTGTGTGTGTGTGTGTGTGTGTTTGGCTGAAAGTTTTCGTGTCGCACACAAACGCGGGGAAAGGCTTCTTTTTGTCTTTGGCGGTTGGAGAAGAAGAGAAAAAAAAAGGTGCTCACGGTTTACAATGGGGAGGAAAGTTGGTTCGGGGGCCGGGGGAGGAAGGGAGGGGGGGCGCTCAGGGCGGCGGGCCGGGGATTTTTATATCAACGGAAACATCCAGGCTCATAAAGAGAGGTCGCGCCGCTATTTTTTTTCCAGGTACCAGGACCCAAACTTTGACCGAGGCATGCAGGGTTCGCAGGGTTCGCAGTGGTTGTTAGGTCGGCGACACCGCACCCGCTACAAGCTGCCAAATATAGTGCAGATGCAGCCACCGCCTCGTTTTCTTCTCACGCTTTTTAGCTTCCGCTTCCGTTGCCATTCCGCTTATTGCTTCGTTTTTTGACAGCTCTTTGCACTTGGCATTTTGTTCGTTTTTGATATGCAGCAGAGGGTGTTGTTTTGTTTGCGGCCTCGCTTTTTTTAGTCCAAGTACCTGACCCCGCTGCGATTCTATTAGGTAACTCATTTTTTTGGACCACCACAACTGCGCGCGCAAACGATCGTGGGGGCAAGTCCCGACAAAGCCCCAGCTTTTTTTGCGTCATGGCCTCGTTTCTCATTCGTCCTGGGCGGCAGGGTTGGATCCCTCCTCGCCCCGACGATCCAAGAATCTTTCCGGGTCGCGATGACTTTTGAAAGAAAAAAGGGCAACCGTAGACAATACATCAAAATGAAAGAAAGTCGAGGCTGGTGGTGAGGCGCAAGGCTAGGTAGGTAATATCCGTTGCCACCTATTGTTTTTTTGCAAGTTGGGTTGGCAAGTTGGGTGCCCTCCAACACAGACATGCTGGCGCTCTTGACCGCGTGACCTGTCTAGGCAAACATACAAGTAAGTACGTCATATTACCACGGTTACTCCACCTCCAACATCCAACATCCAACATCCAGGGTCCTTTGCCTTTTATACCTTTACTTTTTGTCTTGGTTGCACACATCTTGGACACACTACTGTCGTCCATCAACTCTAACCAAGCACATCCCAGTAATAAAGCCCATCATCGGCAGCTTTGATGTCATGGCCGCTCCTCTTCTCCATAATACATGGGACTCCTCAGCTCCCGGTCCGACCACTCGTAGCTCTCCGTCGTCGTCTTATCGGGCGCCATCTGCAATGCCATCTCCACCGGCTACGTATGTAGTCGGCACGAATAGCAACGCCGAGACCTCGTTTCCCGAGAGGGACAAATAGCCAGGCTGGATTCATCGGCAACGTACGTACACCACCTGCTACGCGGTTGCACCACGCCTTGGACAGCGGCAGCAACATGCCGAGTCAATTCGTCACTGCTTGCACTGCTTGCTTGCACTGCTTGTACTGCTTGCACTGCTGCCAAAATCTCCATTTCATTTCAGCCTCGCCACCTACAGATACAGCCACTACGACCAACGAACAAGTCACGGGACCCTCGTAGACCAAATCACTCATCAATCTTGCTCCTCGCCTTGTCCAACCGAAAAATAGTAGTTACTTCAGCTGTCGAATGCTGCCAGGTGTTTGCATAAGATATGCCATCGCTCTGCTCAAGCCCGTCCCCTGCTGTCCCGTCTAAATCGCAACCCAGATGAGCATAATCACCACGTCCAGCCCCTTGCCCTCGCCACCATCGTACTTGAACGTCCACATGCCGTCCTTCTTCTCGTCCCAGTACGCGCCCGTCGCGCTGTGCATACCGCGCCGGCCCACGTGCGGCTTGCCGTCCGTCGCCGTCGCCGCCGGTGTCTCGGTGCTCGTCGAAATGTGCGGCTGCTCGCCCTTGCTGTCCGCGCCTGCCCGCGACTTTTGCAGCGACGACGTCGGCACCAGGTGCTGCACAATCGTGCTGTTGCAGGCAAACTTGAACGACGGCGCGCTGGCGCCCTGCGGGGTCGACTCGGAGATGACGGCCTTGAGCATCGAGCTCTATTTGACGAGGGCGTGTTAGCAAGCTGAATGGTAAGAAGGGGCCCTGGATTGGAAAGCAAGATCCAAGAGCCAGTCGGGGAAGGGGTGCTGTGTAGGCGTCGTCTCACAATTATGGTAGAGTTCCATTGCTCCGTCTTGGCGTGGTCGTAGAATTCGGCATTGCCAATGGCGTTGTTGCACACCTGTCGCTTTTGTTAGCACACGCCGTCCTCGGTGTATCTAGCAAGAGCCACGGCGGGCGAGTTCAGGCGTACATCGGTGGCAATCTGCTTGAGGCGGTTGAAAGCAACAGGCTGTGGCGGGGATGCACATTAGCAGAGCGAACTAGATCACACGAGGCTGTATCATCAACAAGCCTTGGATCGCACGCATCATACCGGTGTCGACATTCTGAGCGGATGTGTAGGAGGCGGTCGCGTGCGTCCAGGAAGCGTATGCGGCGGAGAATCACGGCCGTTGGGAGCCGGCGGATGGGGTATTCAGGGGTCGGTAGGTAGTTAGCGATGCACGATGCGTCGTTGGGTAGCTATAGTCGATGATGAGTATACAGGAGAATGAAAGTTGTGCTGCGCGCTAGGATGGGGAAGACCAACAATCTGTAGTTATGTTGCAGCACGCGAGAAGGAGGGGTGTAGGCGCGTGGGATTGATTCGCTGGGCAGAGGCGTTTCGGAGAGTACGGTTTGTTTGTGTTTGGGCCGGCGGCTGGGCTCTGTTTGGTTTAGCGGCGCCTGTTGACCGGTGATAACGATAGCGAGGAGGGGCCATGCAGGCGGCCCGCAGCATGCACTTGTAGCACGCGAGGTGAAGAGCTTCAGGTTTGTAATTTATGAAATATTGAATACTATGCATGTATAATGCAACGGCGAAAATGTTTCAATTGATGTTGAATCGGCTATTGACTACTCTGCAGGCGTTGTGGGCTGTTCAACTCTTTGTGTTCCATACACTGTGACTACCTGGGTAACTTACCTACCTACTCAGGTACATGTCGAGTCTGAGGCCCCCCAATCAACACAAGCTTCACCCGACACACTCTCAGAACCTCTGCTCGCCGCGAAAATAGTAGTAAAAACCTTACAACTGGTGCCGTATCCAACACCGTTTCTACCAGCTTTTCAACGCTCCTCTCATAAAAAAGCCACAAAAGCTTCGCCCCACGTGACGACAGCCAACCATGGCCCCCACGTGCCTCACAGCTCGATGCGGTCCCTCGAACCAGCAGAAAGCTTCATAACAGTGGGGCACGACCTGGTTCGACCCTCATCTCGGTCGCCAATTCTCCAACGTTGACTTTTAGTCGAGCAGGGCAAGGTTTTTTTTTTTCTTCCAAATCCCCTCATCCTCCGTGATATCGTACCCTCGAAGCTGTCTCTCGGACGGACCTTTATTGCAGCACCTCAGCGATTGAATATACTGACAGCTCTCTCGTTTCTGCTGCCGCCCATCATCGACAAATCCCATCCAGCTTCGTTTTTGGACTCTGTTTTCAGCCCACTGCCCCCGACTACCTTCCGCACGACCACTCGACGAATCCACGACTCTTCAACACACTTCCCATCGAGCCCAATTGGATCTTCTCTTCACAGTTGCCGCCATCATGTCTTCCCAGCCTCTTCTGCAGACCGCGCCCGGTAACGTCTCCCGCTCCCCGACGGCCTCCGGCTCCGGGGGAATCCCTCCGCTAACCTGCCCCCCCCATCTAGGCAAGCGCATCGCGCTGCCGACCCGTGTCGAGCCCAAGGTCTTCTTCGCCAACGAGCGCACCTTTCTCTCGTGGCTCAACTTCACCGTCGTCATTGGCGCCCTCGCCATTGGCATGCTCAACTTTGGCGACCGCGTCGCCTTCATCTCGGCCTTTCTCTTCACCGGCGTCGCCATGCTCACCATGATCTACGCCCTCGTCACCTACCACTGGCGCGCCAAGTCGATCCGCGTCCGTGGCCAGGCCGGCTTCGACGACCGCTTCGGCCCTACCGTGCTCGCCATCATCTTGCTGCTCGCCGTCATTGTCAACTTTGTCCTGCGCATCATGGACACGTCCAAGAAGCAAAATGGCGGTCACTAAAAAGGCGCGGGAGAAAGCGGGTGGTGCCAGCCGGTGTCTCCTACATCTCGGAGATTTTTGAGGTCGATGGACAATCTATGCTCGCCCTTGGCGGTGAATAGTACCGAATGGCAGAGCCAGACAACGTCGTTGCACAACATACTTGCCATGTATGGCCTGTCGGCGCTGTTTTTGAATCGTGTTTATATGGCATCCTTTTGGACATGTTTATGAGTGTTTTGTATAAGAATGTAATTCGATAGCGAAAAAAACAGCCGAAAAATAAATCACTAAACAACATCAAAAAATCTAATGTTGTGGGTATCTAGGCAGTGTGTCTTTGCCAAGTGCTATTTTTGCCCAACGCCAGAAATGCAATTTCCATCTTGATATCTCAACACTCCTCCTATGCCAAGTGCTATTTTTGCCCAACGCCAGAAATGCATTTCCATGTTCATATCTCAACACTCATCCTGTCCCTTGCCTTATTCCGCGTCTGACGTTTCACTGGTTTGCACCGACACGCCGTCTGTGGCTTTGAGCTCCGGAATGGGCACCGTAGACAGGAATATCCGCAACGACTTGGTCGTCCTGTCCGGAGTCGGTGGCAGCACCGCGTTTTCAAACCTCGACTGCATCGTCTCAAACGCATCACTCTCGTCCTCGTCCTCTTCCTCGTCCCTCTCCTCCCCCTGCAGCACCGTCTCCTCCACGACGTGTTTGCTGGCCTTTCGCCGGCCGCGCTCCGCGTCACCCGGTGGCAGTTCAAACAGCTGATTGTACTGGTACCACGCCGGGCAGTCATGCACATACAGCAGCCGCTTGCACATTTCCGCCACGGTAATGAGCTTGCAGGTCTCGGGGACGCGCCCGTGCAGCAGCACCACGCGGGGCTTCTGCCCGTCGGGGCTGAGGAGGTGCGTCGTGACGCGCACCACGCGCTTGCGGATCGGCGTCGAGGAAATGATGGACGCCGGCAGCACGTCGTACTTGGCGGCCAGGGCCCCGAGCATGGCCGCGTGCGGCTGGCAGAGCGGCGAGTCTTGTGCGGCGTGCGCGTCGGCGGGCGGCGGCGGACGCGGCTTCTTGGCTGGCTGGTCGAGGGAGGTGGAGGATTTGCGCTTCTTGCTTGCGTGGTCCATGGCGGCGGCGGGTATGGCGGCGAGATGCCTCGGACCAGAGGTGTTTGCGAGTGGGATGTGGCTGGAACTCGAGACGATTTGTCTGGTGAGAAGAGATCGCGTATCGATTATCGATAAGCGGACTCAGTGGATAAGTGGGGCTGACTGGCGATGTAGGGTAGGTCAGTCGTGGGACGATGGCGTCGAGCTGCCAGACGCATTAAGAGGTCGTGTTGGGTAGAATTTGTGTTGAACTTTGCTCCGATGATATGGGCAGTATGTTTCGACTTTTAAAATCTCGAAACTCTGTGAATGAGTGTCGTGGTGTGCGTTTAAGCCCTGGCATTAGACTAGTTACAGCTGTCTTATCGAGATAGCCTCCTGGAGTTACTAATTTGTACAGTGCAAGCAGTTACTGTGGCAGGTTGTATCCCGACCGACATTTGAACGAAAGTACACGAGAGCAGCACAGATACAGATTTACAAAAAAAAGCATTATCGTCCAGCCACGATACCTCACCGAACAGCTTTCTTCCCTAGTCTAATTATATACTCAACGAGGGCGCCATGGCAAACAAGTAGTTATATGACGTTGTCGGCACACACGAATAATAAGCCACCAGTCACAACTAGCTGCAGCTGGAAAGAAAGATGGCACCATCTATGGACGGGGAAAGCCACCAGCTGTGCCTGTGTGGCGCCTCGGTGAATACGGACTCGATGCGGCGTGGACTGGGAGCCCGACGAGAGCCATGTGGGCGCAGTCTCAACTCAACGTGCCCAATAATAAATCGTTGCAACACTACAGGAGAGGAGTCTGTTACACTAGATGGTAGCAAGCGAGGCATTGAGGCTCTTGAACCAAAGCCACGTTGGTATCTTGTGGAGATGGCGCGGGACGGCAGATGACAGCTGTCGGTAACACAAGAAACAGTGCAGCGCTTATTCTGGCCCCGCGAGTTGGCATCACAGACCTACAAGACGGTGGTGATGGTGATCTCGAGAGGCCACCGGTGGTGGCTTGTGCAACGGCAAAAGGATGTCTTGAAAGGACACGGAAGCTGTCGCCTGAGGCCGGACAGGGGGTGGAAAAAGAGGAGTCGTGGGCACTAGCGTTGCGCCAATCTGGCAGCCAAACGGAGCAGCGTCCCAGCGAGAATGATGAGAAAATCACAAAATTGGAGCTAGTGGGCGTGGAGAAAAAGAGCTCAACGGGAAGCTTCCTGGAAGCTCGGGAAGCTATCGATGAGGAAACACATGAAAAGCGCGCAAAATTCTAGAGGGGTGATGTGGTGTTTGCGAGGATGGGGGACACGGGCAGAATTTGGACGCAGACAGCAGCCCTCTCGCCAGGGTCCATCCATGTTTGCGCAATGTATCAAGATGGAGAGACAAGCCAAGGCAAGGGGGCCGAGAGTTTGGGCTCGACCAGGGTTGTCTGAGACTGTATCTGTCGCCTCAAGGGGCCGTCGAGTCGAGTGGTTATGTGTCAGCGGAAAAGGCCAAAAAGAAAGAATCATGGCACTGTGCAGCATTCCTCGAGAAGGATGAGCTGTTGCTTTGCACCTGTCAACTGTGCAGCTGCGGGTGTAGTTGCGAGCTAGTCATGGACACAGAGATTGCTTCATTTCACCCATCCGCGCGACTTTTTCTTCATTCTTTTCACGCAGAGCAATAAACACATTCACATCTGGGAGCGCGTTGGCACAGTGTCCCGTCTTGTTCCCGCCTGGTCCGCGCCAGCGTCGTACAGCGTCGAAAAAAACAGACGGGGTGCGTTTGCCCCTGTTCAAGCGACTTTATCTGAAAGGGCCATCTTGGCCGAGCTTTTTCCCTGGCATTGTGCAAAGTGCTTGCATCATCCCGTGGATCCGAAGGGGGGGGGGGCCTCTTTTTTTAGGCATCGTGGCAAAAGCATGAACAAAAAAGTCGACGGTGATACTGTAACTACCTACTGAAAGCCTGGCCTATTGCTGCTTTGCTGCAGATACGACAAGCAACAAAGCATTGTGTAACTCCGTCGTAGCTGCGCCTTTGCGGTGCTGAGTAACAATGTTGGAGGCCGCGCCTGCGAGGAGAGCTCTTTTGGCAGCAGCCGCAGCCAGCAGCAGCAACAGGCGGGCGTTGGTACGTAGCAAACACTGTGCGGAATCCACTCCAACTCCACTACGAAGAAGAAAAGGAAGCTTGCCGTTGGATGAGAAGAACGAAGAAGAGAAAGCTATCGACTGGCTGCCTCGGGGGCCAAGAGACCTTGCAGCGCATTGCGTAGCCACAGCGTGCCTAGCACGTTTGGCACAGTGAAGCAGCGCCATCAAAGTCACTTGTTGCTGTCATTGGGCCCATTCGCGACAATTGAACCCATTTTTTTCCTTCTTTTTCTTAGTTAGTGGTTGTCACACTCGTTTTCCTTGGTCTGTACTCCGTATCCCGGTCGATAGGCTTACTTGGCTCCGCCTCCGCGCCCCATTCTGCCGTACTAACGCAGGAGGTAGCGGCAACAACAGCACTGTGCTTGCCTGTTACTGCTGCACGCACCTGCCCGCTCAGCGCTCACCTCACTGGTTGACGGCCACTGGCTTCACCCACTGTCCAAAAACGTCCCGTAACTCCCAAGCAACTCTACCTGCCTCTACCTCCAAGTTTTAGCTGTTGTTCGCTCTGTTAGCCCGCTACAGTCATCACCCGCTGCCCGCTACCATCCAGCCCACGCCAGCTCACGCCAGCCTACGCCAGCCCCAAAACCCGCCCAAACCCAAACCATCCTGCCCTCCCTGCTTCCTCCCCCCCCCGTCCTCCTTTCTCATCGCCTGCCCATCGCCACCCACCTGCCTTCTCCCTCCCTCATTCTCCTCAACCTCACTCTCACCACCCTCCTGCCCTGCATCTTCCTCCTAATAATTTATTCTTCTTCGCCTTCTTTTCTGTCGCCGGAAAATTTCAGTCGAGGCTTTCGTTAGCGCTCGATCTCCTCTTCATTTTCCTCGTCTTTATTTCCCTCCCCTCCCCTCTACTCACTGCCTCTGCTCCGTCGCGGCGTCCGCCAGCAGCCTCTCTCTCATCGTCTCTCCTTCTCGCCCAGTTTCTCTCTGACTCTATCCGTCCCAACGCCCACCTCGCAGGCAACTCCCACAAGAGCACCCACTGTTTGGCCTGTGCTTCAAAACACAGCCAAGGCGGAGTCACTCTCATTCAAGTGACCGCTAGCGTACGCCTCGACCTCTGTCCAATCCCCTTGCGTCTTCTCGTTACGTCAGCAACAGACACCACCGATCCACCCTTCTGTCTACTACGCCACACGCCACACGCCACACTCGACACGCACGCCATCTTCTCACCAACAACCCACGCCCTCGTTCAAAACGTATTGGTGGCCTTAGTCATCCACGGCTTTTTTTCGCGCGCATCCGTCCGCGATCCATCAACACCGACTTGCGACAAGAGCGGCGCGTTCCGTCTTCTTCGTCGCATTCGCCCACGACACGGCGCTTCCATGTTTCGTTTCTGGGGCTCGGATTCTAGGGGCTGTGAGCAGTCAATAGATACCTCACATGGTGAATACCGCCACTCCCATCAGCATCCGACGCCTTCCCCCACCACGGACTCCGACCCGTCCTCACCCACCACGCACCCTCTGAAAAGAAAGCTGCAGGGCCTTGACGACGCACAGTCGCTGTCGCTAGACTCTGCTGAACCTCACTCCAAGCGCCTCAGGCGCGCCGACGAAGACAGCATGCTCTACGCCCAGCAAGACCCTGTCGAATCCATGCGCGATGAGATCCGCCACCACTTCGGCCTCGAGATTCTTCTCAGGCACGACGAGCTACGCCTGGTCAACCAGGAGCTTGCCAAGTGCCAGATCGCCCTCGAGCAGCTGCGCCGCTGTCACTTGATACCCTACCCGGTCAACTGCCCTACTCCCGACCAAATGCTTCAAGTCACCAATGGCAAGGGACCTGCGCTCGCCAACCACCCTGCAGAACCTGCTCCCAAATGGGCGCCGCCATTTGGCGTCGTTGACGGTCCTTATGCTCGCCACTACGCCAAGTGGCTCATTCCTGACTCTTCTTTTGACGGGATGCAGCCGGAGTGGCAGTTTGCGCCCGAGTTTGCCGCCGCCCGCGCCTCCTTCGCCGAAGGACGCACTACCCGCAACAGCTTCACCGAGACCACCGTCGGCAAGGGTCGCCCCAACCGTGCCATGTCCGGCCAGCGCCTGCAGTCTCTTTCAAGCGGATACCCCCAGCCAAAGGACAAGGCCGGTCCTTGCATCCTGAAGCGCTCCGACGGACAAACTGTTAAGCTTGTCTGCCTAGATTGCAACCGCGAGAACTTTTCTAGTACACAAGGCTTCATCAACCACTGTCGCATAGCCCATAAACGTGACTTCAAGAGCCACGAAGAGGCTGCCGTCCAGAGTGGCCAGCCTATTGACGCCGCTCCGGAGCCACGCACCAGTAGCATCTCCACGCCTGTCGACGACAAGCCTGCCCCTGTTGCCTCTACCTCGGCCTTTGTGCACCCTTTTGCTGCCCATGACCTTACCGACCAGGAAGCTTACACGGCTCTGCGCAACAGAATCGCCGATGCTTTGAAGCTGCACCCTCAATCCAAGGCTACCGCTGGCCGTGTCGCTAAGCAGCAAAAGAAGAAGACAGACAAGTTCAAGGCTGCCGCTGACGTCCCGTACTTGTCCAAGTTTATGCGGGGCAAAAAGTTCAACGGCGACCTGTGTGACATTGTCACCGATGCCAAGACCAAGATCTCTCTGGACGAAGTTTCTGGCGATGAGTCTGACACTGACAGCTCGTTGCCTCGCCTCGGCGCTGACGCCTCTACTGTCCGCACGGCCGTTGTTATGCGCATGCCGGCGCACAGCTCTCCCAATCCCATGGCGAGACCGCCCAGCTCCAAGGGCCGTCCTGCTCACATGGATTTCGTGTCGCCGCCCCATTCGTCCTCGGCATCGCACGGCGGGCTGTCGGATGACGACATGCCCATGCGTGAAGACAACCTCAGCCCCAGCACCTTGGTGAGCAATAATGCGCCATCCCTGGTCAGCGATGATGGAGAGTATGACGACTCTGATGAGGGCTCGTCCGTCTCCGAGGGTAGCGACCACATGGAAGCTGGCTCTGTCTCTGATGTCGCTGAGATTGCCCTTGACGAGGAGCATGAGCCTCGTCCACTTCGGCGCGGCTCTGGCACCGTCCGACTGCGCAAAGACGACTCCAAGCACGTCACGTTTATGGGACCCGTGAAGCAAAACAAGACGCAGCAGCGAAAGTCTCGCCGTCTGTGAGCAATTGTGCTACCACCAAGACGTTACAGTCACCACTCTACCTTCTCAACACCCTGTTTTTACTACGATATTCGATTTTAGTCGCTTTTACACTACATTATTATTAAACCTGCGCACGACACGCAACGCTCAAAAACACATAGTTATGGGAACTGGACCATGGATTTTGGAGCGTGGATTCACTGGCGTTTATTTTGGCATTTTCGGAGAGGGATTGGCGCGTTTTGAGCTTTGTTTTTTGTTTTTTTCCATGTAGAAATTTCTGAGAGAATGGTCCCGTCTCACAACACACCGGGCATGCGGCGGACGCATGAGGTGCAAAATTGGTTGATTAGGTTGCCACGCGAGCCTGGGTACCAGGCGGGCAAGTGGAAGGCGTTGTATGATTTGCGTTGGCGTTGACAAGAATCCTCGCTGTATGATAGATAGCGATTGGATCGGCAATAAGAGCAGCACTTGTTGACAAATGTTTAATCGATTGATGTGACTGATTTAACATGCTGTGACGTGGAGGTGCCCGTCCGTGTATGCAAGGCGCCGGAGTCAACGACATGGCAACATGTCAACAACATGTAGTACATGTAGTACAGTACATGTAGTACAGCATGAAGCCACGATAGCAGAATCAGATTTCAGTAACACGTAGGAACTAATAGAAAGCACTAGTATTCAATGATTACATTCAAACAACTTAGGTTTCAGAATTATAGACATTAATAGGACGCTCACTCCTCCATGGATCGGCAGTATAAAGGTATCTCCAAAGCCAGCAGCACACAACCAGATTGAAGGCAAAGTATAAGAACTAATAAAAAAAAGAGCAGAGTACACAACCCCCCCAATCACAGCTCACCCACCCTCTCTTCAAAGCCAGGACAAAACACCAACGATGCCGGCGACAATGACGACGCTGGCGCCACCAGCCGCCCTGCCGACCACGCTGGCGGCCGACGAGCCGCTGGTGGGGGTGGCACTACCGGAGACGAAGCCGGCGGCGCTCGTAGGCGGCGCGCCGTCCAATTTGGTGGCGATGCTGGACGACGCGGTGGGAGCGGCGGTGGCGCGGGACGAGGCGGCCGTGGTGGTGACGTTGCGGCAGTAGGCGGTGACGTTGGCGACCGCGGACGGGCCGCGGGTGTCGTTGGGACAGTTGTTGTAGCAGCTGTTTTTGTGTGTTAGCTGCTGGGGGAGAGGTTAGGTTCGCTGGGGGGATGTTAGAAACGTACGTGGCGACGGCCTGGTAGGCGGCGCAGAGACAGTTGAAGTCGGTCTGGTCGCAGGCGGTGACCTAAGGGAGGCTGTTAGCGATGGAGGAGAGCGGGGGGATATATATATATATATATACCTTGTCGGTCTCGGTCTTGAGGCAGCGGGAGACGATGTACTCGGCCTCGCAGTTCATGTCCTGGGCCGTGACGCCGGCGGCGACGAGCAGCGTAAAGGCGGCGAGGAACTTCATGGTGATGCTGGTACGGGGTGTAAGTGGTTTTGGAGAAGGAGAGTGGTGTGGGATGTGAAAAGAAGTAACGAGCGTAATTGGAAACGAGCGTGTATGTGTGTGTGTAAGAGCGAGAGACGTAGAAGGTTGAAGAGGAAAGAAGAAAGTTGGCGCAAAAAGGAGGACGGTGAGACTATTAAAAGGGCTCAGAGGTTGGACAAGAGGCGTTGGGAATACGAACAGGTAACGTCCCTTTTTTTTTTCTCGTGGTACGGAGTACTAAGGAGTACAGGTCCGGGGGTGAAGAGAGACATTTCATTCAAATGGACCAGGTCGAGCCTCTTGCGCCTATCCAACCCCGTCTGGACTTTTTATTCTTTTCTTTTTCAACAAGCCAAAAGTTAGGGCTAGTGACTTGTTTTAAACGAGTTGGGAATAACGGATAGTATTTCTTTTGAAGTTTCTTATTTGGTTTGGGGAACGCGACGAGATGCAGCCGGGAGCAAAACGTGGCAAACTGCCCCTGTCTCGATGTTGGTTTTTTTTGGGGAGGGGGGCGAGGTTTTATTACTGATAGATACTAGGCGAAAAAGCACGCGCTGCGAAATGAATCAGTGATTTTACTGCATTAAGCAAGGGTAGGAAGGGGGATTGTACACAGGGCACTTGTCATTTACAACGGCGGGAAGATTGTTGATTTGCAGATGTGAGGTGGCGGTTCTTGCAATTGTGGGAATGCTGCGTTGATTTCAGAGCCTTGTGTAATTTATATAACCTCTTTTGCGAGGAATATCGCTGATTCGCCAATATCAAGTAGACATGTCAAGAGATATATAATCGTGGTGATTGGCAGGGGCTTGCATCGCGGCCGCTGCGAGATCCGCACATGGCTGGCTGACATGGGTTTTTTTTCTTTTTGCATTTAATTTATCCTCGCCTATTCATTCCAAGACTATGCGGAGAGGGGGGTCCTTGGGTGCCTTTCGGCGTGGGTTGTCGGTAGAAGTGGGTGAGTTTCTCATAGACTGGTGGTGACGGCAACAATGAGGAGGAAGCTCGTCTGTGGGCTCGTCACGGCTGCGTGCAGGTAGATGTTGATGGTGGCGTCTGTGGCTATCATCGCCTTTGATCCCTTTGGCAGTGAAGGGAAGCGTTCTTGTAGTTGCTAAGCGGACAGTTGGCACGCTGCATCTTTCAGGGGCACGTGGAAGCGAAATGAGATACTGCAAAGTGCCTGCAAGTACTGTCTATCAAGAACCACCGTGTGGCTACGGTTCACATACAACGCCGCATTGAGATTCAGTATTATTCACCAGCTAGCTGGCATTATATCGTGTACGGCAAGAACGACAGCATGCCGTCGCCTCCCCTCTCTCTCATCCCCATCATTTTTCCCTCTCTACCGTCCAGAAGTGCGAGAAACCGTTCAAAACGCCAGGCCCATCCGCATGCATCTTGTTTCCTCTCCTCTTCCTGCAATCCCAGCATCATCTGCTGCCAGGCTAAATGAGATGCTTGGAGCGAAAGTACGCACGCAGGTACAGAATCTGCCAGGCCCACAGCCCGATGAGCAGCCAGGTGGTGCCGACGCCGAACCACTTGACGCGCGTGTTGGTGCTCTCGTTCGTGTCGCGCAGCGTCTGCTCGCGCGCGCGCAGGTACTCCATCTCGCGCACAATCTCGCCCGTGAGCTCCTCGACGCGGCGCAGCTCCGCCTCGACGGGCTTGAGCTTCTCGTTGGCCTGCACGGCGGACCAGTCGCGCGCGTCGGCGCCGATTTCGACGTCGAGCTCAATGTCGCGAACCGAGGGGGTGGGACGCTGGGCTATTTTTTTTTAATCTTGTCGTTAGCTTCTTCTCCTTCTTCTTCCCTCGTTTGGGCACAACGTACAGCCGGAAAAGATATTCTCGTAGCAGACGTCAAACGAGGCGTCCGAGTGCGAGGTGAAGACGACGCGGTTCTCGCCGACAACATCCCGCGGACGACCGTACTCGTTGCCGAGCGAATCGCGAATCTAACAGCCCCCCCTCTTGATTAGCTTTTCTGATGCGATGCCAAGATCCAGAGACCCGGGTTTGCACCCACGTGAATGTTGACCACCATCCCGTCGCCCTTGAAGCCCCCCACGCTCGACTTGACGGCCACCATGGTGTCGCGGTTGACAAAGTTGCGGATGCAGCGCTCCTTGCGGTGGCTCTCGCCGCCCGTGTGCGCCGCCAGCTCGAACTTGAGGGCGCCGACGACGCCGACGAGCGCGAGCAGGCTGCAGAGCCACTGCAGCGGTCTGGAAGCGACGGCCATCTTTATTGTGTCAAAATCTCTTTCGTGTCTTTGATGACTCCAATTTGTGTAATCGTATATTGGATTGGCCCTGGCGATTGGGGTTCGTGGCAGGTCGTGTGGTTGATGGACAGGAAACTTGCAAGGTGTCGCGTTGGCCAAAATCCCGGCCCCTCCCCGGGAGCTTCTTCGCCTGTCAGGGGCTGCTCCCTGCCGCTGCTGCGCCAATCATGAGCTTGCGCTGCGGCTCTAGCGCGGGTACTTTCCTTTCGCCGGTGCTACCCACTGCAGAACAAGTACCGCTTCACGAATCACGTGTGGGGCGACGACTGGACAATTCGATCTTGGTCGCGCGACGAAAGCACAGCTTCAACTTGCAAACCCGCCATCGCAAAACCACCAAAGCACCGCCGCGATGCCGAAATGTGAGTATCCAATACCGCCCACAAACTCTCTATACTCTCGAGTCTCTTGCTAACGTGCTTTTCTAGTCTTTTGTCAGCCACCCCTCTCCCCTCCCCCCCCTTCTTGATTCAAAAACCCACCGACGATGCGACAATGCTAACCAAAGAGCTGCAAGAATAGGCGACTACTGCGATGTCTACCTGACGCACGACTCCATGAGCGTGCGCAAGGCGCACAACTCGGGGCGCAACCACCTGCGCAACGTCGTCGACTACTACCAACGTGTGTTCTTGTATTCCCAAAGGCTTCCCGCCGTTTACTGACTTTTGACATGAACAGAAATCGGCCACGAAAAGGCCCAGTCCGTCATTGACAGCATCACCTCGTCCTACGCCGCCGAAGGCCAGGCCCACGCCAACCCCATGCTCCCGCAGAACCAGCCCGGCGCGCACCACCACCAGCCCCCCGGCGGCGGCGGCGGCTTCCCCGGCCACCACCACCCGCCGCCCTTTCCCTTTCCCGGTGGTGCTCCAGGAGGTGCCAGCGGGGGCCCAATGCCGCCGTTTCCCGGCCTGCCCGGTGGTCTACCTGGCGGCTTCCCCGCCCATCTTCCTCGTACGTTTCCCTCCCAGAAAATCGCACTGTTATTGGGGGTCTTTTGACATTTGCTGACAACTTGGGCGATATAGCACCCCCTGGTGGTGGTCGAGGCGGTCCGATGCCGCCGTTTCCCCTCCCCAACGGCCTGCCCATGCCTCCGCCTGGCGGTCTGCCGTTCCCGCCGCCTGGTGGCCTACCGTTCCCGCCGCCGGGAGGGCTGCCGCCCAACTTTCAGTTCCCGCCGCCTGGGTTCCCGGGCGTGCCTCCTCCTGGCCAGGATCCTCGCCGGTAGAGCCGAGGCAACCTCAGGAACAACAAGGACGATGGACAAGGGGAATTGGAGAAAGGGACTTGGCCAAGAAGAGGCTACATGCCCATGTGAAAGGACTGGTGGCGTTTATGACATCACATGGCAAATATCTCGGCGTTTCGGTTTTGCATTCATGGCTTTCAACTTGAAGATGGCTATCAAAATAACAGCATGAGGTAGTATATATCAATTTAACAACAAAACTTTACTTTGACAAAAAATCGGATAATTCAATTGATTGCTTCACATCGAGGAGCCAGCCTTCATGTGTTTGAACAAGCCCGTCACACGCCGTCGCAGCGTATATACATCCTTCCCAGCCCCATATCAAAAAGCAAAAAAGCAAAAACAAAGGGACCATGTGCCCTGATTATACACCCATCACTTATACTCCCACGAGAAAGAAATCTGCCAACAATAACCCGTGCCAAGGTCCCACACCACACGCGCCGCTTTGGCAAAAGGGCGTACTTGTCCTCGTTTTTCCCCTCCCAAGCCATTCGCTCATATGAGCAAGAATCAAGCACTGAAAAAACAAACTGTCGCATCTGCTGCTGTGCGTCTTAATAGAGACGTCTTTTTTCTTTTGTTTCATTGTATCATATATATGTCGTAAGCCATCGTAAACTGGTATCGGTCTTCTGGTTGTGTCTTGTAGTCATGTCAAAATCTCATTGCGTCATAATGTGTGATGTGCGGTAATGTGTCATGATGTGTGGTCATGTGTGATAATGCGTAGTAAAGATGGTGCTTCTGGTATTGGTACGCAAAAATGCAAAATGCAAATAAAAGCCGACTTAAAAGTCAGACGGGTTCGCCTTAAAGGGCTCGCGATTGCCCAGGTGGTCGCTGCGTCGGACCGCCTCATCAACACCATCGCGGACGTTGGTGGGTGCGCTGATCATCTGGCGTAGCTCCTGCGTCCTCTTTTCGCGTCGCTTCTCCGTCAGCATGCGCGGGATATTGGGAATGTCTTCTAGCGTATCACTCAAAGAGAAGCGTCGACTGCGTCGACCGCTTGATCCAGTGTGTGACGTCTCTGCACGGCGGAGAGAGCCAGGGGGCCAAAACGATCGCGTCTGCTCCGTGCTGGTGGACAGGCGTGACGGCTTCGTCTGCCTGCTGAGGAGACGCGGTGACATGCGCATAGAGTCTAGGCTGGAGCGTCGCTGCATCACTCGTAGATTGCCACTAGGAGTCCGGCGAATAATTCGTCGTTCTGGCCAGCTTGTACCCTCCTCCGCCGGATACTGCCTGTCGTCGCGCGTTGGTAAAATTGCAAACGTCTTCTTCACGCGGGCGCTAAGGCTTCTCTTCGGCGGGCGAGGGCGATTGTCCACGAGTGGATAGCGATATACTGTATCGCGCTTGCTGTGATGGGGGCAGCTATCGCCATACTCACATTCGTCGTCGTCGTCGTCGTATTGTGGACGCCACAGGGGATGCAGCTTCTCTCGCTCCACCGGCTGTTCCTTCGCTTTCCTAGGTGCCAGCTCGCCATCTATGTCTGCTTCAAATACTGAACGAGACCTCGAGTCTAGCCCCAGCGACCGTGACAACGAAAAAGTTCGCTTTAGTTTACCAGGAGTTTTGGCCGAGGTTGGTGGGTAGTCGAGAGAATTCCGGCGACGGCGACTGAAAGCTCGCTGAAGAAGAGACTCGCGTCTTGGAGGGGTCGGATCAAAGATATTGCCCAATCGTTTGTCGCTTTCGTCGGCAGGTGTAGCTCCAGACGGCGTGGCAGGAATCAGGTTGAGCATAGGAAGGTGCGTAGGAGGCTCCGGGGGTGCTCGGGGGTTGCGCAGTGGAGAGTCGACGTCTTCGGTCTTGGACTGCTCGGGGGGTGTCACGGGCGGCTCGCCTTGGATGCCGGTGGTGGTAATCGTTGGGACGAGCTGAGGCAACGCCTCGCGTGCTGCATTGGAGGCATCTGAAGGTCGGGCAGAATGGTTCACCACAACGACGGATGAGTTCTGGTGCTGATACATGTGAACTGCGAGTGCTTCGGATAGTTCTGGCACGGTCCCAGTAGTAGCCACTGATGTGACCGAGAAGGGAGTATTCCGAGACGAATACTTCTTGGCACTCATCCCGTCCTCAGTAGGGTCAAGCAGTGGGCTGAGCGGGATATCACGACCAAGGTGAGCATCGGAAGGCCTTGCAGCAGAGAGAGGCGCGATGGCAGAGCCGAGGACTGGGAATGCCTCACCCATATGACGCTCTGGTTGAACTGCCTTGACTGATTTGATTGACTTAGCCTCGTCCTCCTTTCGTTGCAATGCGTTATGGGTTCGAATACTCTCAGCCGTCAAGGAGTTGGTGCGAGAAACGTTTCGGCTGGTAGGGGCGGAAAGCGATGAAGAACGAGGCGGGATGGCTGGAGCAAAATCCATGGTTCGTTCATCGCCGGGGGTTCTGCCAGCAATTCTGCCGCGGGAAAGAGATTCCGGTCGTGAAGTGTCGAGAGAACCCCTGGCCTGTTGGTGCGAGCCGACGCTGGTGGATCTCTTGGAGCGTCTACTAGAAGTTGACCGCAGAGAGGGTTCGCGGGATTTGCTGCGATTCGAGGAGCGTCTATCTGGGACGACAATGACTGGAATACTGCCGCTGCTTAGAATTTCGCGGCGTGCCCTGCTGTCGCCAATAGCGTGATTGGAAGTAACCTGCGTGTTGGGCGGCCGACTGCGATCGCGGGGTGCTGGACTCTCGTGGCGGTTGCGCTGCGGCTGGGGGAGCCGCCTGTGGCCATCAAAGCTGGCGCCTGACGACCGATCTGGGACAGGGAGAGGCTGGCGCAAAAGAGGCTGTTTCTTGACATGTCGGAGAGTACGTCTTCGCTGAGGCGGTTGAGCAGGGCCATTCATGACGAGGACTTCAACGACGGCAGACGAGCTGGATCGCGCAGAGGTAGCCGAAGATCTCCGAGCTTCGACACTGGCTGAGGTTTCGGAAATGGATCGCACAGAGGAGCTAACGGGCGAGGCCTCCATCACTGCATTGTCGCGAACGTGGGCATATCGTGCGGCGCGAGTGGCGGCTGTGGGAGTGACGACGTGATCCTCGAGTACTTCGTGGTTGGCGACAGGCGATGTTATAATGGGCGTCTTCGGAGTCGAGCGCTTTCGCTTACTGATGACTACATGTGGGCGACTGCCGTCCTGCTGGTGCTCGTGGCGGCGGTCGTTTGCCAGCTGCTGTGCAGAATCCCATTCGCCGTCAAACTTGCGAAATTCATTCATGGTACGCGGCGTGAGCTGTGGCGGGCTGATGGGTAGGCTCCCTGTGGCTCCAGCAGGGGGGCGGACCTGGACGGGTGCAGGCATCTCGCGAGTGGCCAAGATGGTAGTCTGGGAGGTTTGCGCCGAGGTGGAACGGGATCTCAGGGCAGCGCGAGCATGATCGTCCTCGGAGAATTGCTCTTCTCGGGCGGTGGTGAAGGAGTCGTTGCGAGAGTCGGTCGGGGTGGCGCCGGGGGGAGATTGATCGCAGCGCGGCGGGCGGACAGATTTCAGGGCAGTCTGAGGCTGTGGAGGTGTTACGTCAGGAGTCGGGGGGCTTCTTTGATCGGGTGGCGTGACGGGAGGTTTCCGCAGCGCAAGAGGCGGAGGAGGATAATGTCTGGCAGGTTGCGCGGCGGTCGGGCTGGGATCCAGAGTGGGGTGGCCACTGGGCGAGGCACGAGAGTGCGCGGGGGGTGTTGGTGGAGGGTCAGGACGGTCAGGACGGTCAGGACCAGCAGAGGACGACGAGGCGAAGCGGCGGGAGGCTGGCTTGAGGGTCTGGGTGGCGGCAGACGCGTAGGACTGAGTGGCGGAGGAGCTGAGTGCGGTCGAGGTATCAAGGACTAGACAATAGGCGTCGTGGGTGGCGCGGGGGGCAGTTGCGTCTGGGGCCAGGTCGATGTCATTTGGCGGTCGAGGCAACGTCTTGTGCTTTTTGAACTGTCTCGGCGAGGGGACCAAGGGGTCGGATAGGGCCCGATAGATGTGCTCTGTCGACGATCCCATAATGGTCGGCGACGGAGCGAGCGGCGCGGTCGCAAGCATACTCGGCATGAGCGGCGGTGGGAGCTTATGGGATCATGGGCACAGGCGAGACGGCAAGACGGCGAGACGACAAGAAATTTACTTGGGATAGAATTGGACGAGGGTAGCAGTGATGTCGGTGGCACACTCTTGGTAGCGCATGTAGCGAGGAGCAGATGGGTGGTGAGGCAGGTGTGGCTCGAGGCGTGAGGCGTGAGTTTGTTGCGAGAAGAAGGTGAAGAAGGAAAAGAAGCTGGTTGGTCAAGACAACCAAGACTGCGCCTCAGACATGAAGAGTAGGATGAGATTCGTGCGTCAACGGCGGAAGTGGTCGAGCCGGTCTGGCGGGTGAGACACGGACTGGAGGGGGGGGGGGGGAAGAGAGCGGTTGGCGTCGCGTAACCCTGGCAAGCGAAGAGGTACAAGTTGGCGTTTCGCAAAGGCGTGAATCGGGTACGAATTATAATTTAGAGGAAATAGCGGAGGGAGATGGATGTGCAGGTGCAACGGTGGGCGACAAGAGATTGCTGGGGAGGGTCTGTTTCGAAGGCGTTGGAGAATTTTGAATAATGGGAGAGGCGAGAAATGGCCAAGGGTGTGAAGCCGGTAAAGCGCAGGCTCACCAGTTTGGCCAGGTGCCCGGTTGGAGGGGGGGAACGGGTCGAGAGGGTTGAAAGGTGGTCAGTGGGTGGTGGACACTCGGACAGTGGGCTTGTCAGCGGGCTTGTACCTTGGAAACGGTCGTCGTTAGTGGACGGCAGCGGACGGCAGTGGACGGGACGCAAGGGAAGGCGCTAGAAGCCGCACTGAGCCGGGGCGCGCGCAAGGATGTGCCAGGGTTGGTTTAAAGTGCTGGCAGCTGGTGGTGGGGCCGTGCAAACGGGTTGCCAGGTGGCGGTACTTGTTGGAAAAAACTACAAGATGGGCTGGAGTGATGCGTAGAGAAAAAGGGATGAAAAAATATATACTGGTCCCATCCCTCTTTCTGATGGATAGCATCGTGGCAAATGTGTTGTCGAGGGGGCTGGGGCACCAGTCTAGTAATAATGCACCACATGTGGACGTGTGAACATGGTGAGGGAGAGAGAGAGAGGGGCAACCGCAAAGTGATCCGGCGCGCACAGGTAACACGATCGCGACCAGGTTCGGCAAGACGAGCGAAGCCTTGACGCGAAAAGAGATCAAGGAAGAAGAGGAAAAAGAAAGTCGGCCATTTTGAAGACGCACCCAGACGCGCGCAGCACGGGCGACCTGCGTCCGTCATCGGTGACTTTGTGAGGCAAGACGGGAGCGCTGCTGCCGGTGTCGCATCACTTGGACAAGCCAGAGCCAGAGCCAGAAGCGTACAAGATGCATTTACTGCATTTACTCGGCTGCACGTAGCCAATCCTGCGATTTTCCTCCTTTTTTTCCTTGCGAAAGAAGGCCAAGAGGCGACGGGTTGGCGTATCGCCTGTACAAAGTAGCAAGCAGGGTGACGAGGATTTGTTAACCCACCCATCTGCATGTCTGGGCTGGCTGCTTTCTCTCCAGTTTCACTTCGTCCCTTGCACAATTTTTTTTTTCCTTGACAGAACTTTTCTAGCCACCTTTTTTCCCCCCTCTTGCAGCAAGAAAAAAAGCAGAAGCGAATCACTCGTCTGCTGGTCAGCACCTTTTTGGGCGGCGCCAGAGCCCCTCTCTCGTGCATCCTGACCAGTGACGTGATGGACTAGCGAGGGCTTGCCTGTGCATAAAGTGTGGGTGGTGTGCTGTTCAAGAGCGGGGATTTTTATGAAGTATGCAAGCCCCAGGGACTTGCCCAAGAGAGAAGGAAGGCCGGGAAAAAAAAAAAAGATGAGGCGGGCGTGTGGTGGTGGTGGGAAAAAGAGAGGATCCGGGAACCACCCTTCTTATACCGTGTGGCTGGGAACATCCTTCTTCTTATAACCTCCCTGGCTATATTGTTTCGGACCTGACAGGTTAACATCCAGACGGGCCTCCGCTGGCTGGCCGCGGCTTCGTCCGTGGAACCAGCGACGGGTTCCGGGCCGTGCCCACGGCAAGACTGGGGTGGTGCTCTTTCGGCCGTTATCCGACCAATAGACGAACAGAGGAGTTCTGCTTCGTTGCGGGCGGTGTGATTTGGCTAATAATGTCTTCGTCGTGCGCAGTCATCACGCTGCAGTCGTTCGAAAGGGAAGAAATTATGAACAAGTATTACAATATAGAAGAAGCATGGATACCATGTCAACCTCCAATGCAGTAGATACGTCGTCAGAACATTAAACATGGCTTCTCTGGCCAGAGTCTAGAGCGCGCCAACACCCAGCCAATGGACGCGGGCTTGTTGGCTTGGAATATGAAAGTCAAAACGGCCGAGAACGACGAGTACATGCTTCTCCCAACATTATACATGACACATGATTTTACCTCCAGAGTACGAATTACCTTGGCGCTCATCAACTTTACTGATTATTACCAGCAAAAGTACATATGCCGCGCCCTTGTCGCCAGCCAGCCACCACACCACCCATCTGACCATGCGGCCTTGCTGCAACCATCCTGCACCATCCTGCCCAAGGTGAGGAGGAAAATGAGGATGCTCGAAAAGAGAGCGACGACACACAGCCTCTTACAATGTCTCTTCTTTTCTATGCGCCCGCCCTGGCGAGAGTCGCACGCCAGCGCTTGTGCGCAGCTCCGGTCTCGCAAGGGTGTAACGTCGCAGAGACCTGTTGTCACAGAAGAAGAAGGAAGGTAAGACAGACAAGAAGAACCTGGTTTGCGGCCAAGAATCTGCCAGAGAGAAATTGGCCACGAATCAATGCGCATGTAATTTTTGCACTGCTGCTACGTCATCCATATTCATACCATGCATAACATCAAAGTCAAAGAAACAGATACAGAAACACTGTTTCTTCCTTATAGTCGTCGTTTATGCGAGACACGCGGGCGGCCGAGATCATCTCCCCCATCGACCCCGCGGCGCGATACGAGGGGCAGCCAGGCAGCCGACCCCTCCGTCTCACTGCACCTGCTTTATTGACATGGCGGGCGCATTGCAGATTTGACTGATAATAGTAGGGAGAGGACTATTGAGGCCTTGTGGAAGGGGTACCACCCGCAGCCACGCCCATGTGGTCTGGTGCGCCACGTGAAGGGCCTTTGTCGGGACACGTCTTGTACTTGGTCGTAATGCGCGCAGTCGGGAGGCTGACTTGGTAGTTAGTTTCTTCCTGCAGGATACGGACAGAGGTATCGGGCAGAGAGTGTAAGAATAGTCGTTGTCAGCTAACAGCCTCAACGACATCAGGCTTGCGGCTGGGCAGTGCAAAAGGAGCAGGCTGCACTCGGTATGAAATGAGGCTGGTGAACTTCGTACGAATTTTCCGCTGCAGCCGGATCCTGTTATGACAGCCTAGTCGACGTAAAAAGGGAAACTCGAATGCCGGTGTATTTTGGGGGCCTCGATTTCCAAAGCCAAAGGGTATAATTGTACGGATACGGGGATGTTTATGCAAAACGTGTTCAGGATTGCTCGACTTGGGACGCATCACTGCTGACGCGAGGTGAGGATCCGTCGTCCGTTCTTTTTATTCGTTATGACGAGGTCCCCAGCCACTGCGATGCGCCCGCCCTCCCCGGGGTTTTCGCTGGTCTCATCTTGATGAGTATGTAATTCGTAGTTTGTAGTTACATACTCGTAGCTCTCGGCTCTATCACGGCAGATCCCAAAACGACGGGCTGTGATGTCAGTCAGGGTCCAATCCTGCCCCTCTCTCCCCAACCAAGGAGAAGACGTTGTCATGTTGTTTTCTTCTTTCGCCACTGCACCTCTTGTACTAATCTCGCCGAGCTATTTATTTTTGGTATTTTTCGAGGCACTTATTTCCCAGCGAAATAAACAGGCAGCCAGACAACAGAGGATTGCCGGGTGATTGGTCCTTGTGCTCTGAAACACAAAAATAGCAGATGCCTATTCGGGACCTGCGCGTGCTCATCACGGCTGTGTTTGGTGGAACGGGGGGAAGATCCTGGATGAGATGAAGAGAGCCAATTCAGAGTTGGCTTTTGTGCTGTTTGCTTTGCCGTGCACAGGTGACGGTAAAAGCGGAAAAAAAACAAATAAAACAAAAGCACCAGCCGTTTGGTCCGGGTGTCGTCTTTGTTCTTCTGATGGGCAAGGGGAGCCCGGGTTGTCCGACGCTGGCCACGAGATTGCCAGCGACAAACACGAGGAAACACGTTGCCGGGCCCGTGGTGATGGGCAAGAGGTCGCACATTGGCAGCTTGGAGATGGCGGGAGCCCTGGTTTGGTGCGAGTTCGCATATACCACATAGGTAGCTAGTTAGCCCAACTGACTACCTTCACCCGCCCTAGGAAGAAGCAAAGATGGGGTGGTTTAGGTGGTCGGGCCCAAGTCCCGGTGGCAACAAGTAAGGAAGAAGTGACGTTGCAAAATGATTTTTATACCAAGTCATTTTTAGTGCCAATATACCGGCTTTGTAGGTGTAAGAATAGCAACAAAAAACAAAACCGAAGGCTCGGCCGCCCCACAGCGAATCCCACGACAGATTCACCCACCACCAGCTCACGAGAGAGATGGTCACACTGCAACTGCAACCTCGTAAAACAACAAGGCGCCGGCCGATTCTGATTTTCCCATTTCCCAGCATGACTTCTTGGCTATTTTCAGACGGGGGCCCGACGGCAGGGCCTGTGTCACCCTGGGCCCGTCGTTCACCATATATCTACCATTAGGTAGTAGTGTCTGACAAACGGGCCTTGTACCAGGCGACCATAAATACATGCGCAGTCTCCCTTCTCGCCGTTTGCTTCTTGGAAACCTCTCTTCTTCCCATCCGCTGATCTCCGTCTCTTCGTCTTCTTTTTGCTTTTTCATCAAAACCGGTTGACTTTTCAACTACGCCGCTCGCTTTCCAACAACTGTCCCCTCGTTTAAACGCACCGCTGCACCACATCACCAAAAGCCCCAACATCTCTTTGCCTTGCCTTGTTTCTCGTTTGACAAACCAACTCGACCAACATGAAGACGGCTGCCGCAGCTATCCTCCTCGCCGCCGCGACCCTCGTCGTCGCCGAGCCGCAGCACGCCCTGCCCCCCGGCTCCAAGATCAACTGCGCCAAGGCCAACGCCAGCTACTGCATGGGCAGCGACATCATCGTCCGCTGCGGGCCCGACGCCCTCGGCGAGCCGGCCCGCTGCTCGCCGGGCTACCCGCCGGCCGACGACGGCTTCCACTGCTGGGAGAGCTCCGAGAATGCCGGCGACGCTGTCTGCCGGAAGGTTGTAAGTTTGTTTTCTTGTTTTCTTCTCTCTGTCCGCATCTTTAGCTCTGTGCCTGTGTGCGACACCGGGAGGCACAGTAACACATTTGTACTAACATGGCAACCTGCAGAGCACCTCCGTAAGTGCCACCTCCATCGCCACGACCAGCACCTCGGCTTCGACCAGCTCGCCTGGTACTTTCTCCAACGGGTATCCCATCCCCCCGAGCTCTTCTGCCACCTCCTCCGTCACCCCCCCGAGCTCTTCTGCCGCCTCCTCCGTCAGCACCTCCACCTCCATCGCCACGACCAGCACCTCGGCTTCGACCAGCGCGCCTGGTATTACTTCCTCCAACGGGTATCCCGCCCCCCCGAGCTCTTCTGTCACCTCCTCCGTCAGCACCTCCACCACCGTGGCCACCACCCGCACGCCTCCTCCGTACGGCACCGGCAACTTGACCACGTCCATCCCGACCACGACCAAGCCGAGCACCGGCAGCAGCACCACTACCTTGACGAGCACCACCGGCCCCAAGCCCCCCAAGCCCACCGCCACGCCTCCCATCTCCAACAATGCCGTGCCCAGCAACGCCGTGAGCGGCCTCCTTGCTCTGGGTCTGGCTGTCGCTGCTCTCTTTTAAGCGCTGCGCCCGGTCACGATTCCTACCAGACGACCAAGACAAGAATGATTTTGTTTGATTTGTGGACATGATTCACTGCGTATAATTTATCTTGTACAAAGGCGATGAATATCATGTACTTGCTTTGCTATTTAGGACCCCCGCAATCATGTAAATAGGTTGACGGCCTGATGTCAATACGCTCACGAGATAATAATATACTTGCGCGACTTTTTACACAGAATTACAGAATTGGTTTAAATGTATTTCAACTCACCGTAATCATCAGCAACTGTGGCCCGACTGCGGTCTCCGGTGGTCTCCGGTGGTCGACCTCAAAACAAAACGACACAAGACCGCACAGTCAATGTGTGCGAGACGACGCATATTCATATCCCCCTTCCCTCCCGACCAGCCCCATCGTCTATGCGCGGCGATCCCCCCTTTTTGCCCCGGGCTACGATGCCGTCATCCTCCGAACCAAGGTTGGCACTTTGACAGGCCCAGCTGAGCCCGTTTCTTGCATTAAACGCACAACAGTGCCTTTGACCAAAAAAGTTCACAAAGTCAAACCTTGTCAAGCGAGAGCGGGAAATAGTTCCCAACATTCCCACGGGCCCCCTTGTTGGCGGTGCCAGGGGAAACGCGTCAGCCTCGCACGGCCCTGGTGTCTTTGGCCTCCGGCCGCTGCACCTGGATATCATGTGTCGGATGCGGCTGAGGCGCTGCCGCCCGACACTGCCGGATTTAAAAAAAGCGACGCTGGGGAATAAAATGTCTTGCCTATTTTCGCACCCGAGCGACTCGATAGTAGAGGCTTGTTGAGATGCAAGATCTGGCCGCGCGGTCTGTTGTAGTTGATGTCGGCCGCCGTCTGGCCAAGGTTGTCGATTTGTGTTTCGAAACAGGTCAACTCCTTCCCATGCCCACAAACACCGCATGAAGAAACAAAGTACACATGCAAAACAAATGCCCAGCCTGCTTCCCAAACAACCTCACGCCAGACACACACACCTTGACCCAGCGCCGAGGTGTGGGGGGCAAGTTTGAGGCTCCCGGGCCCCCGAGCGTCCGTTCGCGCACGCAGGAACCAAACAAAAGCACTGAAAGAAAAACCCGGTTGTCCCCGCCCTGGCGGTCCTTGGAACGCCTTCAGCTAAAAAAAACCGTTCGGTTACGAACGCGGGGCGGGGTGGTGGAGTTGGTCGACATCTTGCTCTTGCTTCAGGTGAGATTTGGCCGCTTCGGCAAGGTTTTTTTTCTTTCAGCCAAGGGCGGCTATGGTGAGAGATGCGACGACGTCAGGGGTGGCGATCTGCATCAAGTTGGGACGTGCGCTTAAGATATAATAAGAGACACATGTGCGATGCAGCTCTGCATGTGTATATTTTAGTTCTATCCCTAGTTTTTCGTCATCAAACCACTTACACTACACCACTTACACACACCACAACCAACCATGAAGTTCCATACCGCTCTCCTCCTCGCCGCCGCCGCCGTCACCGCGCGCGCCTCCGCCGTCGACGCCTCCGACTTTGCCGACCTCGACAGCTTCCTGGCCAACGTGCCGACGGCGGCCGTGCTCGCCGCGCAGTCCGCGCTCGCCGCCGGCGTCCAGCCGACCACCACTGCCGCGACGCCCGCCGAGTCCTCCGCGGCCGCGGCCCTCGCCTCCGCCGACGACGGACTCCCCTCCGAGGCCGAGATTGACGTGCTCATCGCCAGCGCCGCCGCCCAGTTCGGCTCCGTCGGCGACCTGACGGCCCGCAGCGAGCCCCAGCCGCGAACCGTCGATGCTGCCGCCGCCGCCGCCGCCACCCTCGCGCTCCAGGGCCTCGTGCAGGCTGCCGCCGCCGCCAACGCCGCCGTCGCCGCTGCGGCTACCGGAAACCTGACGGCGATTGCGGCCCCGACCGCGAGCCCGACCGGTAGCGTCGTCGCGGGTAACGGCTCCGCCGCCGCGGGCAACGAGGTTTGGACCGCCGCCGCTGCGCGCGAGGCGCTCAGCGGTCTGGCTGTGGCCGGTGTGGTCGCTGCTTACTTTTTGTAAGCGGTCAGAGGCTTCTGTTTTTTTTTTTCGCATAATAGAAATGGGGAGGAAAAAAAGGCTTTCCAGAGTGAATACACCCGGATAATATGGTATTGATGTATTAGATAGATGGTCAACAAAACCAATGGATTCAACACCTGCAGAGTGTAAGACAGACGCCCGCTAAAAACAATAAAATGTGTGATGCCTGCCGTTAGAGCTGGTACTTCCACTTTGCCGAGTTCATGACCCATAGCTGGGGCGCCTCGCCCTCGCCGTCGTACACGTAGCTCTTATACAAGGCATATCGAAACAGGGCCTGCCGCAGCCTGTAGTGGTCAATATCTGGCCGTCGCAGCCGCTGCAGCATCGCGGCGACTCCGCCCTCGTCCTCCTCGAGCGGCATCTCCATCTCGCTCTCGTCCGAGCCGCTCTCGTCCGACGCGTCCAGCAGCAGCAGCGGGGGGGCGCCACCGAGCGCGGCGCACACGGCGCGCAAGAAGCTCCGGGGCAGCGGCAAGCCTTCGGGCACGCTGCAGTTGGGCGACCAGAGGGCGCGGGGCCGGCGCGGGAGGTCGTGCAGCGTGTGCCGGAGCGCGGCCTGCGCGGCGTCCGGGTCGTCGAGGAAGGCGCGGAGCCGGGCAAAGGTGGACCGGGCGAGCACGGCGTTGAACGGCCGCGAGGTGAGGCGCGCCGACGCGCGGGAGGCCGGGGGCAGGTAGCTGAGGATCTCGGAAAAGAGCTCGACGGGGAGCGTGTCCATGGTGGTTTGTGACGGTCCGGAGGTCAATGTAGAGTGGGTGTGTGCGGGTGGGAAGCGGGCATGTTGGAGAGAGAGAGAGAGAGAAGCGGGCATGTTGGGGAGAGAGAAAGAGAGAGAGAGAGAGAGGCTTGTGTCGGAAATGTCACGAGACTGGCAGAGCCTGACGCCTCCTGTGACGCCTTCTCGTCAAACAAAACCCTCCGTCAGCGCAATGGGAGCCCGTCCGGGTTCTCAGCCTCGAACGGCGGCCCAAAAGGGTAACTAAACTCCTTGACGGCTTAGCGTGCTCCGGCGACTTGTGGGCCTCGCCCGATGCCGGATCATCAGCCCTATTCCAACTCAGCCACTATGAACTGAACGCTTCATTTCTTTGGAATGTATCTAACTAGGAGTTTTGTTCAGAAAACGACAAAGGTGCTTAGTGGTATTATGTCATTGACAAGTCCAAATTATAACCACGCAACTTCCAAAACATCACCGTAGCTCTATGTTAAGGAACAGCGGCTAGTCTAAAGAAGGTAAAGGGAGAGATAGTAAGGATATCATAATAGACTAGTAGTTAACTCCTAATAATAACTTTATTAATTACTAAAGAAGGAAAGTCCTCCTCTAGTAGCTCCTTACTATGCTATTACTCTTTTATAGCTACTTATTTATATGTGACTATTTATAGGTCGTGACACTCTGCGTGCCCTTGGCCATTCCATCATCGTCGACAGAGGCCCGGAAGATAAGACGTCTTATGATGAAGCCATACGCCTCCGTTTAAAATGTCACTCAGGCCCTCACAGAATAGTTGTGCAGCCCGATCAGCCGTCATACCGTCTAGATCGACCTCAACCTTGCGCTCCCCACTCTCATCCGTCACCCAGATGGAACCATCACGGAACCAAAACGTCAGATGCTGCTTGAAGCTTTTTAGAAGTAGATTTCTGAGGAACGCCTTCCATGTCTTGACAACCAAAGCGCTATCAGAACGGGACCGAAAAACGAGGGCTTGTATAGCCGCCTCTGGCAATGCTGGAAGCGAGCTCGCGTCTGGCAGACTGTGAAGGGGTATTCTGAAAAACGATTCAACGACAGCGACGAGAACGGCAGGAGGAAAATCTTCCGGACAGGATAAATAACCAGTACAACATTCACGACCGCATAAATAATGCAGGGCGCCCTTTTGTACATCAACAGGCTGTGAATCTCGTAGAAGCTTTCCGACAGCATCGACAACGCTTTCAGGACATTTCATATAGAACTTGGTTTCCGAGATTTCGAAACATGCCCTTTTCAGGTCAAGCATCGAGTTTGTGAGTTTTTGAGAGACCGCTTCAAGGTTCTGCAATGTTCGCTGTTTCAGGCAATCAGGAGCAGCCAGCCGTAACATATGGTCTCGGTCTCCTAAACATGGCTGAGCTTGTCCTTCCTGCTCGAGGGTCCTCAGAGTAAGTTCCCGAACGCCTGGCTCTTTCTCCGCAAGCCTCTGGGAGATGATATCGGTCAAAACTGGAGCGAGCTTTGATCCATTGAACAACGTTTTTTTAATGGCCATTTCTAGGTTTCCTGCTCCATCTTCTAGCTCTCGTGCGACGGCGCGGAAAAAAACATTCGGCATTTCTTCAATGTGGAGGACTTGTGAAGCCTGAGACTGGAGCCATTTATCAAGACTTGTGTTCAGTACCCGAAATTTCGTCGATGTTAAAGGAGTCACTGAGAGCTGCTTTTTCAAAGCCCACAGTGCTTCAGGTCGAATGTCTCTCTGCGAGTTTCTGAGCTGTCTAGCCACATTTGCAACGATTGAGCTTGGTAACTTCAGGTGATCTCTCAGCGCCGCCAAGGTGCAACACCGTCTGAGCAGATCGTCATGAGAAAAAGTCGACTCTCGTTCCGAATGCGAACCCTCAATCCAGCCACAGAGGCCTTGAACAATGTCGTCAGACAATATGCGCCCAGACTCTGCCCATTTCTGGGTTAATAAAGCGAGAATTCTGTCCCGCATATGCACGTCGGAATTTTTCAGCTGCTCGACCATCTCTTCCAAAGTTTTTGCAGTTAAATGATGCTGGTGTCGCAAGACGCCTATAGCCCAGCATTGCTCAGAGCTCGTAAGGAGCCCAACAATCGCCCTGTGAGTTTCATCTGGTAGACTCCTTTGACGGCCTACCACTCCAAAGGCAGTCTCTTGTACTTTTTGCATAGAGTCTGTGAGGAGCCCAAACATCGCCCTAAGAACTTCATCTGGTAGTATATTTTGTGTTCTTAGCGCTTCGAGGGCAGCCACTCGTACTTCGGGCTTTGGGTCTGTAAGGAGCCTAACAATCGCCCTAAGAGCTTCATCTGGTAGTACATTTTGCGAGGTTACCGCTGCGAGGGCAGCCATTCGTACTTCAGGCTTTGGGTATAACAGGTACTTATCAATCCCCTGTATGGTACCCTTTTTCAAGGACCATGCGGCGGATTCCCGTATATCTTCCGATGAATGTGCAAGTAGCTCCATCATAACCCCGCAAAGTGTTTCTGGCACTTGACCTAGCTGTCCAATGAATATAAGAGAAGCCTTTACTACCTCAGGCTTAAAGTCTTTTAGTTGCTCATTCAGAGCTTGGATCATGCTTTCGCATGGTTCGAATTTATGCAAGTTAGGCATAGACTCTGCTCGGTCGTGTGGCCCAACATCGGGAAGCCGCCTGATAATAGCCAAGCAAACGTGTTTTGGCAGTATTTCTTGAGCATCCAAGACATTGAAAGCAGCCTTTCTTACTCTCGGCGCTGAACTCTCCAAGCGCTGAGTGGCGGCCCTAATAATTTCTTCAGGGAGATCGCTTAGCCGAGAAAGGACTCTCAAAGCGTGTGCCTGAGTGGCGGTTGAGCCATCCAGCCGTTTGACAACAGCTTTCAAACTCGCTGCTGGTACTTCTAGTGCACTTGAGAAGCACCACAAAATATCGTCGGGCATATCGATACCGAGGTATTCAAGACACCCAAGAAGCTCGTTAGCGATTTTGCGACACCGTTCCTTGCCGAGCGACGAGTTTCTGGCTACATTCCGGAAGGCCCAGAAACCAGCCCCTCGAATTTTGGGAACGTTTGTGGACTTGAGTCGCGCGAAGGCGGCCTCCTGGATCACTTCTGGCCAGTAAAATATATCGTTCCATTCGCCCTCCTCCCGGGTTGAATTCAGGACAAGGTCCAGAAGCGCTTCGATAAATGCCTGAGGAAATTCGGACTGGTGGTGAGCAGTTTTTTGGAAGATGTCTCGCTCTTCTTTCCGAAAGTGTCCTTGTAATCTCGCTAAGAGATGGGTGTAAAACGCTTGAGACAGCGTCGTCTCATTCGTCTCCTTTAGTAAGATGCCCCATACTGTTGACTTTCTCTCCAATTCTAGATAACGCTCTGCAAGGTAATAAGCAAACCGCTCCGGCAACGCAGTGCGGCTGAATAGAGCCTTTAAGACGCAAATAATGTCATCCGGGCGATCGGGGTGGGCGAATTTGAGAACAAAGTCTGGCGGTACTTGTGTACCTATCAAGCTAGCCATAATATCACACTTGCAACTTTCGTTCGCCTCTCGAAACGCCATTTCAAGAACGGTTTGGGGGAATTCAGCCTCCCATGAAAGATTCATTCTGCCAGAGACTTGAATCTCAAGCAAAAGCAAGTTTGACAAATCACGTTCAAGACTGGCACGCTTTGCGTCAATCTTTATCCTGGACGGCGATATTTCGCTCAGGAGCTGCATGATAATCCGTTGGTGAGAAGGCCCCAGTAAGTCGAGCTGTTGTTCGACCACTCCAAGAAATTTGAGTACCTCATATTCTGTATTCAGGAGACCAGCCACAAAACGCCACATGATGTTATAGCGTGGATTATATCTATGCTGCTGCAGAAACTCAACAGGATGAATATCTTCATCGCGTTCTTTGCTGAAGGAAGGGCACTTCATTCTTTTCTCTTCGACCCAGTGTCTCGTAAAAAAACGTGCAGCATAGTACTCTTGGTAGGTCAGGTGAATGAAATGATAGCTGACGTAATTGTCATTGGCGTTGGGGTCTGAAGTGCGGAGAAATGAGAGTGCTGGCAGTACTTTAGCCAGTGGAAGTCTGAAGGACTTGTTGATTGTATTTCGATGTGGCAGCTCGAACTCAACCAAGTCTTCAAGTAGCCCCCAAAAAGCTAGGGATTCGAGAAAATGCAGCTCCTTCTCAACAAGCTTTTCAATGAAATATTGATCCTCTAGTACCAAATCCGACAATTGGACCTTGTTCCCGTCAATCCTCTTGTCAAGACGAGCAATGTCTTTTTTCCACAAGCTCGTTTGCATGTTTTGGTAGAGGATAGTCATTGTTTCCGGTGTATTATCGTAAGCAATGGGACTGTCGTCCCAGCAAAAGCAAAGAGCGTCCAATTGAACAGGGATGCGAACGAGGCTCTCGACAAGTTCATACTGTTCCAGGAACCGAAAGATGTCGCCTGCACATTTTTCACTTGCCATGTTGACGTATGACTGTATCTGAGTGTCATCAAATCCAATTGTTTCCAGCTCCAAATGGAATGGCTTGTGGACAGGAAGACTGGCGGATGGACGGGTTGTGATGATAACATTAGCTTCCTCGTAAAGCTCTTTCACCAGAAAGCGTTGCATATCCGACTCGCTGTTCGCGAGCTGATCCACTTCGTCCCATCCGTCAAGGAGAAATAGTGTCCGATTGTCTTTCTTCGCCTGCAAGATCTTCTTGGCAAACGCTTTGGAGCCCTGATTGTTGCTGTAATCATTGCGGTAAAAGAATTCGTCTAGAAGGAGCCTCTCCATGTTATACCCAGCAAGGCTTGTCCGTTCTGAACGTTTGAGGTGTCTCAAAGGTATCCAGAGTATGCGGTCAAATATGTCACACCACATCTGCTTTGTGACAAATTCATGCACAATCTTTTTGCACAAGGTTGTCTTCCCTACTCCAGCACGCCCTCGAATCAAGACCCTTTGAGGACGTGTGGGGGTTTTATCTGTCCCGTTGCGCGCTTTGAAAACATCTTTCAAACGTACCACCAATCTTTGATCGACTGTCTCGACTCCTTCTCGAGCGAGACGTGAGACGGGCGAAGACCCAAAGTCAGTCTGCATGACTGTACTGCTCTGCTTTTCCGCAATGGTGAGGTTGATGTAGCAATGCTCCAACTTTAGTTGAGCACCCGAAAGGCGCGTGATTGTGAGTCTGTCCTTGTCACAATATTCTTTGACAATCATATTGTCTGCTTGTTGGAGAGGCGTGTTCTCACGTATAGATCCGAGTATGTTTTTGATCTGCCCGACAACCCTTTCATATTGACCACAGTCAGGCCCTTCGAATTTGTTCATGAGCACATGTGTTCGCTCAAGCGGCAAACTTTGGGCTACATCTAGTTTCGCCGAGGAGCTACTAACCAACTATAATAAGGTTAGCAAGAAAATGAAGGTCAATTTTCGGTGAGCTTACCAGCTCGCCGCGGAGAAAGCAGGCTGGGAGCACTTTTCTCAACAATTTTGTTCGCCTACGTTCGTAGAAACAACACAGGCGAGAAGAATCACGTTCCTCCATCCATAGTTGGGAAAAATTCCGCACGAGTTTCTCAAGAAATTCAGTTGACCCTCCCAGCTCTTTTATGAACTGAGTGAGTTCGCGACCTTGAATGTGGGCCGAAGCTGCAAGGCTCGGCTGCGCCCAGTACGATATGTTCTTGAACGAAGTTCCTCGGAATGGGGTCGCCAGGAAAATGATGCCCTGCGTCGCCTTCTCGATGCGTTTACAAGGCTTGCCCATATCATTGGCATTGACAAGAGCATTGATGAGAGCGATGCCCCCGAAGCACGACGCGATGAAGAAGAGTGGGCGGTCTTCACTCGTCGAGTCGGATGGTTGCATCAGCTGGCCTTGGATGCCGTGTAGTAGAACTTCAGAATACTTGTCCAGACCTTGTGACACCAAGTCTGACGGCTGGTATAGATCAGCGGGCCAGTCGCAGGTAAAAATCCTAGCATTTCCCACTTGAGCTGGGAGCATGCGCTCATCCTGCAACCAATTGACGCCGGGCTCTTCTGGGTGCGATGCCCATATTCTTGCCCAGAATCGTGTCGGACGCCGCCACGTCCACGTCCCTGGCGATCTTGTGTTCAGGCCGTGGATGGCGATTATATCGATGTCTGTATTGTACTCGGTCTTGTCGGGGTTGACTTGATGGAGACGGATGGCGCCATCGGCGCGTGGAATCTCTTCAGATGGTGATCTGTCAGGAGGCCTCATCGAACACCCGAGGCAAGCGGCAGCGGATCTAGCCACCCGGGAAAGGACAGACGGCGACTCTTCAATGCGAGTGTACCTGGCGGCGTTCATGATGAAATGATAGAAAATGGTGCTGATACCCTCACAGGTTTTCTCTTGGTGAATTGTTATGCTCGGCGAGTGTCAAAGTAGAGACGAGATAGTTAGTCTGAAGCTTCAACAGCGACAGCTGCTCTGTCCGGAGCGGGGTAATGTGATGAGTCGCAGCTTCCTGCATGCACGAGAGTTCAGCTTTTAGGTCGACGCAATGGAGTAGGCGCGGGCATATGTATATTTAGACATTCGGGGGCTAATGTTCAGGCTATAGAATACAGACAGGCATGTGAGCCATCTACCACGGCCTGATAGATGTCTCCTTGCAGTACTCTCGTATCCGCACTTGACCGGGGCTCGGTGGCAGGTGACAACCAGAGCATGCTCTGAGCCTATGAGCCTGTGACGAGATGAGAAACATGCAGCAAGAGGGATGAGATCCTTGCCTACTACGGATGGTGTAGCTGACCTATGGCGCACTATCGGTTCCAGCTGCATTAGTTTTCGCAGGAGGGCGCGTTTCTATAAAAATAAAGAAAGAAAACAGAAAAAGTTGTTCCCAGATGCTACGTAGGCGGCTTTAATCTTTAGTTCTTGGTTGAAATTGGTAGTTGAATCCATCACGTTGCACAGCATAATCGCTGTTGAGAAGAAGCGACCGCTTAATATATAGGCGCTGCTGTCCAGAGGTGGCGGGGCCGGTGGCGAGATGCTCAAGTTATCACTGAAAAAAAGACATGAAGCGGCGAGATGTATGCAGCCTTTACATAATTACGAACCCGCCGCCATATCTCCCTCAAAATAGTACACGCTCATCATGCTTCCCCTGCAAAAGACGCTGCGCACGCTCACTCTACAATGTCCATATCACGGTACACCTTGGTCAGCTCCTGCACATACTTGTCCCTCTCTCCCATCTTGTCGTCTACAAATGCGGATGCCCGTCTGCCCCAGTAGGAGAACAAGACCTCGTCAAAGACGGATTCGTCGGGGTGTGTCTGGTGGAACAGGGGCTGGATGTGCCAGTTGAAGAGGTTGTACATGGCCTTGGGCACCGTCGCGGCCCGGAAGAACCAGAAGCCGCCGCTGTCCCAGGCTCCCCGCTGCGCCGCCGCCTGTCTCCTGGAGCGGTTTCGTCGCACCTCTTCCTTCTCGTACATGCTCAGGTATTCCTGAACGGCCTCGTCCAAGTCTTGGCGATCCTTTTGGTCATGGAACCCGTCGACAGACTTGGACGTGAGCCAGTAGGGGGGGCTCTGCATCGCAGCAGGCAGCGTGTGCGTCCATTCGAGGTCGATGATGGACGTGACGTTCCACTGCTCGTCGACAAAGATGTTGGCCTGGATGAGGTCGTTGAGCGTCAGGTAGAACGGCCCCTGCCGCGTGTCCGGGTCGACAAAGTGGTGCAGGACGGCGCGCATCCCCGCGCAGGCCGCGAGCTGCCGCCGCCCGTCCTCGACGTCGAACATGGCATTAGGCTGGCCGCGCAGCTTCGCGTCTTGCAGCGAGAGCAGGTCCGAGAGGTAGCCGTCCACCTCGGCGTACGTCCGCCCACGGGGTATCCCCGACGCGACGCCCTCGTTTTCCAGCATGTGCATATATAAGTTTAGCGGCCTGTTGTTTAGAGCAACGGTGTCGTCGTGCTGGAGGCGCAGCGCTCCGAGCCGTGGGTGAGCTATCGCGTTCATGGATATCAGATATAGGTTGCCGTCTCGGTCCGAATCTTCTCATCTGCATTCCCGGGGAACGGGCCTTCGCCAATACGATGTCGAAACGGGAGCCGTAGATAGACATTCTTGCGCTGCGGTAGCCGTACCAAGATTGCTGCATTGAAGCTGCCAGATATCCATAGGTTGGATGAAATGATCTCGCATGTCGATACTTGGAGGAGTTTGCAGATCATGTGCTCGAGGTCACTCCTTTGGCCGTCGATGGCGTCGCAAAACTGCCGTACGAGGTCCGGGTAGCGCATGGACGCCAATTCATTGTCTTCGCTCTCGATGGCCTCTTGTAGGGATTTTGAAGTCCCGCTCGTCGCCGTGAGGAACATTTCGCTTCGTAGAGCGCCAGCTGAGGATGACTGCTGATCATCAGGTCCAGGGGTCGCACATTAGCTAAGGTGCCCTGTGTATGCGTAGCTGCAGCACAAAAAAAAACACCACAGATTAGCATAATGTATGCACAAAAAACTCTAGCAAAGTAAGAATGAAATTCATTAGGCGTCAAACACGATGTGTACATCATGGGGATGGCACCAGGCGATACACGTAGTGGACTTTGCAAGCGTCCTTTAATAATTATAGCCCTCGCCGACGCGCTCGGTTAATTCCAGTCACCACTCCTCAACAGCTCTTACACCATCGCTGCCATGATCAATGCTATTTGCCCGCTTTTTCATTTGACGCAAATGTGCTCCCCAGCTCAAGACGTCCTCTGCATTCCTTGTCCGCTCTATTTGTAGCAGGGTCTTGCCCTCCTTTGTATCATGTTTGCAAAATCCGCAAATGCTATCACTGCATGTACCGCCGACGAAGAATCTCCATATCGTAGCCGATCGTTGGGATGTCGTCTTCGGGATGCAATGATTTCTTGCGTCGTTGTGTCATGGTCGATGCTCGCGGTTAGGTCGGTCGATGTCCATGTTGCGTGTCAATGGCGATGCCAATGGTGCGTTCTGTGCTCTGTTGACTGTAGCTCCACGTGACAATGTAGAAGCGAATAAGAGCACGAACCATGGGCGGCAGCAGCCGTTGCGAGACCAGACGCTTACGAGCTACCATGCAGTCCTCGTGGCATCATTCAAAAGACAAAAAAACATGTACACAATGCATATTACGTTTCTCACTCGTGTCGCTTGCCATGATGTGTTGTTTCATACCATCAACGGCGGCCAGCAGCTTCACGGTGTTTCATAGAGTCGGTCTACTCCGTCTATTCCTGTATGAGCCGACGGGACAGGAAACCCGGCTTAATATTTTCATATTTTCAAGAAACGAAGCTAAAAACCAGGCAGGCCGTGTTTGCTTTTCTTCCTATTAACTGATTAACTGGTTGCAAGGCAGTTAGCGTGGCCGCCACCTCGGCGCTGCCTTCTGCATCCTGCCGCTCACGCAAGCCCCAGCCACGAGGCGCAAAGCAAACAAATTCCAGACCCAGGGGGCTGGATGCCACTACTTCTCGAACCTGTGATCGTATCCGTATTGGAGGAGCAAAGGGGAATGGCCAAAAAATAAATGGGCAGTATTACAATTTATTAGGGTGATGGAGCGACATTCGATGGACAATGGCGCAACGGGCTCGGAACCCCTCACTTGCTCTTCCCCGGTCCCAGATCCACGGCTCGCCGCCCAACATGGCCAAGCTGAAAAAAAGGTTGACCCTTTTCCCCCTTCCTTTTGCTTTTGCTTTTGCTTCTGCTTCTGCTTGCTCGCTGCATCCTTGGTGCGGGCGCAAAAGGGAAAAGGGGTCATTTATTTCTTTGTCTTGACCGGAAAAGCATTACCCCCGGAGGAACGACACCACAAGCGAATCAAACGCCCGAGACACTTCATTTATTCATGCCCATGCTTTCTGCCCGCAGTGCCAGTCAGACGAACCCCTCAACCCTGACCCTGTCCCTGAGCAAGTTCCCTTTTTTCGATCCTACATACATCCTGCCCATCCCACGTTCTTCCCATCTTTCTCGAACTATGTGAAACCAGGTCAAGCGAAACACCGATTGCGTGTGTTTAGGCCTACAACCCGAGTCGTTTCCCCTCTCACCAAACGGCCATAACTCCAGACAAGGCCTTCGCAGCACCCCGGGCATCAACATCCGTCACAGGCCGCATCTCACATCGCCTCGCCCCCTCCTCCGCCATCATGCCAACTGGAAAGATACGCGCAGTGCTGGCCGGGCCCAAGATTCGCTCCCGCTCCCTCCGCGCTACGTCACACGGCTCCGCGACAACGTGCGACTCGTCACACCACCACCACCACCACCACCGTGCCCGCATCGAAATCCGCATCACCAACCACTACGCCGCCAAAACGTACACGACGCACGCGCCCATCACCGGCGTCGCCGTTCTCAGCGTTCCCCGCGATACGCCCTTTGACCGCATCGCCATCCAGCTCGCCGGCTTCGCCGCCACGCGCAACTACATGACGCCCGAGATTGACCAGGTGCTGCACCACTTTCTGCTCCTCGACATGCCACCCCCGCCGCCCGGCACCGCCCTGCCACCCCGGGATCACGTCCTCCGCGCCGGCCAGACCTACGCGCTGCCGTTTCACTTTGTCGTGCCTGAGCGGCTGCCGATCGGCTCGTGCGGGCACCGTTGCGAGCACGCCTCGGTGCGCGAGCACCACCTGCGGCTGCCGCCGACGACGGGCGCATGGGGCGATCGCGACGACGGGAGCCCGGAGACGGCGCGCGTGCAGTACTGCGTCTCGGTCGCCGTGCTGCAGCAGAGCGCGTATGTCGGCGAGGAGCCCGTCTGCGTGCTGCGCGGGCACCACGAGGTCCGCGTCCTGCCCGTGTACCCAGAGGACGCGCCGCTGGATATCGAGCATGGCGCCGGCCAAAAATGGCCCGAGTACAAGCTCGCGGCATCCAAGACGCTGCGAAAGTCGCTCGTGGCGCGCAAGCTGGGCGTCCTGAGCGTCGAGGCGGCGCAGCCCTCGGTCGTCCTATTGTCGTCGGATGCGCGGCAAGCGTCTTCGGCGCGGATAGCCCTCACGCTGCGATTCACCCCGGCGAGGAGTGTGCAGGGCGCCGCCGACGAAGAAGCGTCACTGCCTACGGTGCATTCCATCTCGGCCAAGCTGGTCGCCAAGACGTTTTACAACACTTCGCACATGGGCGCCTTTCCGGACCGCCCTTGCAGACACGAGCTCAACTTTGGCGCGTCCATGCACTACTCGGACTCGCGGCGGACAGCAGACGTGCCGTTTACGTGGGCCGCCGGCGGCTGGCAGCGGCACCACAAGCAGGTGGACCAGCCCACGGCGTGGGCGGCCACAGTCGAAGCTGCGTTTCAGCTGCCCGCCGACCACAAGAGGATTCTGCTACCCAGCTTCCACAGCTGCTTGTTGTCACGGATATACATACTGCGCTTGGCGCTCTCCCTAGGCCCCGGACATGGCAGCGTTACGCTGTCGTTGCCGTTGCAAGTGATTGTGCAGGGCGACCTGTCGGTTCCGCGGCACCTTGTTGGTCCGGAGCGCGGGGACGTGGGTGTTGCACTGCCGAGCTACATGGATCACCTGTTTTTGCAAAATCGGTTTGATGACGAAATGAACACACACATGCCTCTTGCAGTAGGTATAATAATATAAATTGCCCTTTGGGGCGTTTACTACTTATACATTGGACGATGACGAGATGAACATATATATACCCCTTGCATCAGATGCCGTCCTGTTAATAAAGCCCTTCTTTGACCTCTACTACACATCCGACGATGACGGTGAACATACATATGCCTTTTACATCAGATACCATCATATAAATAAAACCCTTCTCTGACCTCAACTATGCATTCTCACGCCTGAGATGCGGCAACCACTGTCTATTCCATCTGCATTCCGTCTACACATATACATCAATCAGGACCCAGCCGCCTCTTGCCTGGCTGCATCCGCCGTGGCCCGCTCCATAATCTCCCTGATGACATCCCCCTTATACTCTGTATACGCCGCGACGCCCTCCCCCTTCTCCGCAGCCCTGCGCGACGCCTCGCGCTTCACGCGCTCATACAGCGCCCTATCCCCCGGACACGCGCGCAGCCAGTCGCGCAGCGCGCGGTGCCGGCGCGACTCGCGCCCCAGCGCGCCCGGGCCGTACACGTGCAGGTTGACCAAGACGGGCGCGTACAGCGCGAGCAGCCGGTGCTCGTACCACGGCGGCTGGCGGAACAGCAAGTGGTACCCGGCGGCCTCGAGCGCCGGCACATAGCTGGCCTCGTTGCCGGGGTCGGCCACGAGCAGGTCAATGTCGATGACGGGCTTGGCGGCGAGCTGCGGCACGGCTGTCGAGCCGACGTGGTGCAGCCCGATGATGGTCGGGGCGGGCAGTGCGGCGCGGATGGAGCTGGCGAGCTGGGCAAAGGTGCACGGCCAGGAGGGGTCCGCGTCGACGATGGTGATGGTGTGCGGGACTCGTCGCTGGGAAACCCATTCTTGGTGCTCAAATGCCTGGATGCCGTTTTCCATGGTTGTTGGGTGCAAGGTTGCGTATCGAGGGGAAAAGATGGAAGCAGGCAAGTAGCAGCCTGATGAGATCGGCCAGCCGAGTAAGCACCATTAGTAGAAGAGCACGAATACGCTAGATCCACACTTGGGGACTTTTGAAAGGCTCAGCAGTGCTAATTTTGAATCGTAAAAAAATTGCATGATGGAGACTAGAGTGCAGAAGTATAGCTTCGGTGTTGGTCTCGGATGGCGGCCCTATTTGTCTTGGGATTGGGCAAGACGTGGAAGGCAGTCTGCAATCGACGTCTTTGCATTTTTGAGAGTCACATGATAGTCTAATGACACTGACATCTGCAGCAAGCACAAGACCTTCTTCAACTGGTAGCTCCTCAACGCCACTCAGTCCTCAATCACAAAGACGTACTTATCCAGCGCCTCGTACCACTGCAGCGCACTGCCAAACGTAAACGCAATCGAGGCCCAGATGAGCGCGAGCTCGCTCTGGTAGCGACACCAATGCACGTCGCAGTACCCAAACGCGGCGGCCAGCGTCCACCCCACGCCGCCGAGCAGGTTGAAGACGCCCACGTGCCAGCCCATCTTGCACGGCTGCGGCGTGTACCAGTTGGGCTGGGTCTCGAGCACGTACAGCACCGACGCGAGCGCAAACAGGATGCCGCCGACGAGGTACGGCAGGTAGTACGCGCCCCATTTCGCCTGCGCGCTCAGGTGGATGCCCGGCAGCGCCAGGATGCCGCACAGGTAGAAGACGGTCGCGCCCAGCGCCCAGCGCCATGGTCGCCGACGCGAGGAAGCCAATCTCGTAGACGTAGTGCGTGCGGACGTCGTGCCACGACGGCAGCCACTGCCACTCGCGCTCGCCAAACGGGTTGGGCTGGCGGCGGGGTGTCGTGTCTCGCGGCGCTCCTCCGTTCTCCGGGCGCGTCACCTCCTCCTCCTCCTTGTCTCCGCCCCTCCGAAGCCCAAACCGCCGGTCCGCAAGCAGCGTCTCCATGGCGCCGCCAAACTTGGTCTCTGCGCGGTCATTCCACGCCTCGAGCATGAGCAGCACGGCGCCGACCTGGAAGAGCGTGGCGCCGACAAACGCCACAACGCCGCCGGCGACGTCGGCCTCGTGCGCAAACGCCGTCGCCGGGTACGCCACCGGCAGCCAGTAGAAGAAGCCGCAGGCGATAAACAGCGCGCAGCCCACGGTGAAGCACACCCCAATCAGCCACGACACGTCCCAGTACGGGAACACGGTCGCCATCCGCAGCAGCCCGAGCAGCACGCGCCGCGGCCGCGACGTGGTCCGCAGCCGGTGCGCGAGCGGCGCGGCGCGGGGGAGGACAAAGACGTGGCGGCCTGTGGTGTTTTGTGAGTACATATATATATATATAAGAGAGAGAGAAAAACCGCACCTTTGCGAAACTCCCGCGCGTTCCACCGCACACGTGCCCGCTCCCCCCCGTGCTCCGGATCCGTCGCCTCGGACGGCAGCCCGTCGTCGTCGGCGCAAATGTCGAAAATGGCCGTCGTCGGGTTGAGAAACGCGAGCGGGCCCGACACGCTGCCCTGGCGGAGGGCCAGGTTCGGGCCCGAGGGGGTGAAGCGCGTGTCGCAAAAGGAGAGGGCGCGGGGCGGCGCGCCGGGACGACGGCGGTCCTGCTGCTGCTGGGGGTGCGCAAAGGAGATGCTGCGCGGGACGTCGGGGCGGCGGCTGGCGGCGTTGTTCCGGGTGGTGATGTTGGCAAAGGTAATGCTGCGCTTCGGCTTGGGACGCTGCGCGTTGGGGCTTGCTGGCTCGCTCATGGTTTTGCCCAAGACGGCGGGCCGGGTAAGCCGGGGCGGAAACCGGAGATGGTGGACTGTGGCGTGTTTACCCGATCGTGCGCGTTGTGGCGGGGATACATGCCTCGGAAGGGGAAAATAAAAAGCGGCGAGAGGATCAAGGGATGAGAAATATCTGCCTCTTTTTTTTTCTTTTTTTTCTTTTCAGTCTTACCACCCGTCCGAGGCGGAGCTCGCATTATGGCCCCAGATCGTCTATGGCCCGGACCTTGGAAACCCGGACCTCCTCCCCCACTAACGTTGGGGGCAACTGGCGCGGAAAGCGGAGAAACGGGAAACCATCATCGAATGGCGTTTGGATAGATCATCAAGGCTAAACTGTATTCCCTTTGCGAGGGCGACGTCGTCATGATATTGTGTGCCGATTGGTAGATGCCAACACTTTTGAAACCGACAAAACCTAAATAACCTGACCTCTCAATACAGGCACATGATCATTTTCCCGTCACGAGCAGGATTTTCTCCGCATCTCCACTAGATACTCTCAATTGATCTTGAAAACGCTACCAATCTGTGGCGGTTGAAGCCATTAGTAGCCCGTCCCACCTCGTCTCGGCCAGTCGGCTGCCGGGATCCGGCGCTCGGCGCTCTCCACCTTGCTGCTAGGGCCGCGTCCATCCACGAACACGGGGTGGACATTACTCACTGATTGACATTTCAGTATATACCGGAATAAACAGACTATATACTACAACAGCCACGATCAATGTTCCTCGTAATGATGCGGCCGAGGCTTGTTTGTTGGATACAGGCTGCAGTGAAAGCCCCCATCACCAGTTTCGCCATTGCTGCCATTTCACGAAAAGATAAAAAATGCACTGAGCAATTGCATTAGAATGAAATGGCCGTGATAAATTCTTTCCCATTACATCATCTATATTCAACGACTTTGAGCCGAAATGCAGTACATTAATTGATTCATCATGGCATAATCCTAAATTCGTAAAAAAGCATCATGACAAGCCTCCCAAGTTTTCCCAGAGTACACATAAAATAACACGGACGGCCCCCCCCCCGTAGAAATCTCTACTTGTAGTGGACCGTCACCTCTGTCGTCTTTTGAATCACCAGTCGACCCTCCTCCGCCGACACCGACACCGACGGCCCACGCTCCCTCCTCCCCATCCCCAGCGACGACCCCGTCACGGTAGCATCCCTCTTCTTCCGATCCGCCCTGCTGCTGTTCCTCGTCCAAGAGCTTGCGGCGCTGTGCAGCGATCCTGAGCTGCCACCGCTCTGGTTCGACTTGTCGTACCCGCGCGACGGCCCGGACGGCGGCTGCCACAGAATCGCACTAACCGCCGTGCGGTTGATGACGACCGGCCTCGATGTCTTCTTGTTGTGGTCCCTCAGCACGGCCGGCTCGACCGTCGCAAGAGGGGAAACCGACTCGCTCCGGTTCTTGGAGCCCAGGCCCGATGACGACGCCGTACAGTTGACCACTACCGGCTGCTCGGCGTAAAAGGACGTGAGAAGCGGCTTGAGGGCCGTCGCGGCACCGGCAATGATGGAAAGGTAGAGACACGCCGCGGTGAAGAGGTCGGCAATGGTGGCGCTGTTTGCCGGCCCGGTCTTGATTCGCGGGTCGAGGAAGACCAGGCGGGCAATGATGAAAGGAATGACTCTGAGAATCGGGTTAGCACACGAGTAGTATTTCCGGGCGACTGCAGCGTACAATAAACGAGCACCAAATGCGCATACAACGAGGACGCGTTTTGACCGTTTGAGTCTGATACTCCAGATGAGATGGGCCGCGACTCCCCATAGCCCGAGCTCGAGGAGGATGCCTGTGACCTCAATGACGAGCCATCTGCCAAACTACAACCATGTCAGTGTTGCCCCAAAACTCGTGAGAATATACAACGTACTGTATCGGGTCCAGTAATCGTCGTCCACGGATGCGAAACTTCTCCACGCACGCAAATCGCCAGCGTCGATGCCCCTGTCCAGAACGCCGTGATGCCCGCCACGATCCGCGCCGGCCGAATGTGTGGCCCCGAATGCGAGATATAAGCAACAAACAGTGCCGCCGCGACTCGGCAGAGACCAACCGATATAATGTAGAATATTTGCCCCAGGTACAGACCCTACGGCGGTCAGTGTTGCTGCTTCCGTGCTGATCTCTGCTGGGCGTGACTTACCATGTCTACTTGTAACATGTTCGCGGCGGGAAGCATATCGAGCGTCTTGCCGTATCCGTACCGAATGGCGTGGCACATGGAGACGAGGTGCAAAAATGCCGCCAGCTGGGTGTTGCACGTCAGCAACAATATTCGCGCATCCCTTTGTCCATGTGTTCCTTACAAGCGAGCCAGAGAGGGTATAATCGTCGAGCATCCACGACTTTGTCCGCAACTTTGCCCACACGCGCAGGATCCAGGCGAGAAACGCCCAGCCAAAGAAGATGCCCGTCGCGCTCGCGAGCCAGACGCCGTGAATCTCCGCCATACCGAGGGAAAAAGACTGACGTGAATAGGGGATAGGAAAACAGACAGGGAAAGAAGAGGGGCTGGAAAAGGAAGACGAGATGGAGGAAGGAGGAACAAAGATAAACACCGCACACAAAACAAAGAGGCAACGAGTGCAAACAAGCCAAAAGCCACTGACTCTGAACCAAGTATTGCCAGTCAACATACCAAGGAACTCGTTGTGGCTTGGTCGGTTAAAATGACAGACTCAGTTCGGAAAGATGAACAAGACGTAATGTACTCTTTCCCTGGTCAACCCACTTGCTTTCCCATTGTTCAAGACAACAACCTCAACAAAAAATACACAAATTTATCTCTTCGATGGGATGGTTGCTTGCACAAGTCCGCGACCTCTTCGGCAGGACGGCGTGATGGACAGAGATAGCTGCATGCAGTGCACCGCGACTTCGTCACCCCCAAGGCCACCGGCGCTATCGAATCCGCAAGTTTGAGTTCGGGCAATCAACTACTAGGCCGACCCTTTTTTTCGTCTCTTCTAATCCCGATGAGTACGAACAAGGGTAGCGGAGAAGCGAGCAAGAATGACAAATGGAGATGGGGAAGAATTTGGCATGGGGTTCATGATCGGGTGTTGGTTGAAGAAACTGCTGGATTTTGGGCCCCCTCCCCCGCCCCCTGAGAGCCAACCAAATCGGTTGATATCCGCAGCTGCCCTGTCCGAGTTGTGATGGCGCAAACATTGAGGTGAACCACGGCAAGGGGGCGAGGGGGAGCGTCGTACGTACCAAGCCACCAACACGCTTGCAGGGCTGGGGACCAGACGTTACCGGGGTCAAGTGGCGTCACGCTAAATTGCTTCTTTTCTTGCTTGTTATTTGCCTAATTGTGTGAATGGCAAGGATTTGTGACATCCACTGCTTCTAACCGAACAAGGCAAGCCGCACCAACCGTTGGTCACAGGCCCGAGGCTCTCTCATGTAAATGGGTGAAACTTTCATTAATCTATTATTTTCGAGCTAGATTCCCATTGGGGGTGGCGTGGATTTTCATGTCGTGCAGAGATTCGTTACGAGAGATGCTCCTTGCGGCCCTCGACCAGGGCCACGGGACCGAGGTATCTCTTACGACCGATGATGTAGTAGTAGATGAGAGCCCCAATGAGGACGCAAGAGAAGATGGGAGAAGCCCAGTTGAAGCCCGAGGCCGAAGGATGGTTGGTTTGAGGCCAGAAGGACCAAAAGAAGCTCCAGGCGCTAAAGAGTACAGCAGCACAGTTCACCGGGACGCCCCATCGGCCGAGTGAGAAGCGCGCCGCAGGGATGGTGTCGGGTTGACGGACTCGCCTCCACAGAATGCACCCGATGCTGAGACAGTAGCATTGGAGGACCGCCACAGCCCCGAGCGAGGTGATGGCATAAAACGCCACGGGGCTGCCAATGTAGACCAGAGACAGGAGCGAGCTTAAGGTACCACTGAAAATGTAGGCGTTGGTCGGAATCTTGCGTTCGTGGTCAACCTTGGATAGCCACTTGGAAAAAGGCAGGCCGTCGTCGCGAGCAAACGCAAACAGGTCGCGACTAACAGCAGCGAGATACGAGACATTTCCCAGGGTCAAGAGGAGACAGATTATGACAAGTAAGACAGTGACCCAGGGTAGCGACATGGACTTCATGAGCACATGAACAACCGGGTACGTCGACACGTCGTCCAGGGCGTCCTGGACACTGGGCATATGGTAGCCAAGGGTGACAACCACAAGCAACGTCTCGATAAAGTTGAAACAGAGAACTGCAATCATGACCCTGGGAACCGAGACGGACGCCTGTCGAACTTCTTCAGACATGTGCGCAGCCTGAGCGATTAGTGGTGCTTGTAATTTGTATCAATATTGAGGTCGCAACATACCGTATCAATTCCCTGGAACGCCGCCATGGCGGGGAGCTGTCCAACCATGACAGAAAGCCCAAGGTTCCCCCAATTGCCTCTGTCAACCCAGTTCGTCCAGACGTCTTTGGAGTCGGCCATCGGCGCGTTGACCCAGATGGGGACAAGGAAAGCGACAAAGGCGAGAAGCGAGAGTGCAAAGATGGCATTTTGGGTATGAGGGATAATCCTTGACCCAAAAATATTGGCCAGGACGGTGGTGCAGGAAACCGCAATCACGAAAAGACTGCCATGCCAGGTTTTAGCCACGTAGTCGTGGTTGTTGAGAGTGATGGTTGCTTGGATGAGAGTTCCGACCAGGAATAAGCCCAGCGCATTCCCAGCCTGCCAGGCCATAGTCGAGGACCATCTGGACGGAGAAGGTCAATATAAAATGTGATGTGGCGTTGCTTGACGAAGCACATACCCGGTCAGGTAGCTGAGAAGTTGCTGACAGCTTTCGGGTGCAAATTCAGAGACCCAATGGTACTGGGCACCCGCAATGGGGGCCATGCTAGACATTTCGGCCATGCTGAGAATGATGGGTAGGTAGCCGGCGAAGCACCACACGTTGGAGAAGATCATGCTGGGAATACCGCCATTGACCAATGCGGGAGTGACCTCGAAAGCACCTAGGCACCAGGCTGATGTTGCAATGGAAACGAAGGAAATCATGGAAAAGACACGGTACTGGCGAATGAACTCTTGCTTGCGACCCATGCGTTCCATGTCACGATTGTCGGCCCCCGTAGTGCAATAGATGGAGTCCGTGTCATCTTGGGCTCCCGAGAAGGAGCGAGGAGTAGTCAACTCCATGATAGCCGCGTCCTTGTTGGCGTGGAAGTCAGTTGTCGTAGCTGCCATACTGAGTGAGGGCGTTGGTCGAGTTTGCGCTTGAGTGATGTGATGGTAGCTGTGTCGATGTTGCAGAGACGGAAAGTTGCATACGCCACAATTAAGAGGAGACGATGCCTTTTTCTTTTTCAACTTGGTTACACAGGCCACGGTTTGCTCCGCTGGGCTGTGAGGGGCTTGGGGGCCTTTCTGGCTCTTTGGGTAGAGTACCAGTGGGCTGGGATGGCATGAAGTGGGTGCAACCCAACGGACTCCGTACATGGTGCCAGCGCAACGATCCCCTGCCTTGCAGATGACTCGTAAACGATCTACTGGAGCAGTTGGTGGTGTGCAAGAGGATGGATCTGGTTGACACTAGCCCGCCAAGAGGATCTGGCGATGATCGCCCGAGTACTCCGTATTGGTTTTTTGTCGTTGCCCAAACATTTGGCTGTTTGGTTGAGCGCCCGTGAAGTTGTTTTCGTCTCATTTCTTTCGAGCAGTACGCGGCTGTACATAGGTCCATGAACCTGGCGCAAGTTGGTGGTGAGACAACGATGGACTGCTGCAATGTACAACGTGCATCTGCACTATGTACCAACTTGGTCAATGGTCGACAGGCGACAGCAGGCTCGGCGTGTCTCGGAGGCTAATCTCTGGCGAGGCTTCGTTGCTGCGGGCGCAACTGCGCAGGGATGGAAGGCGAGCCCACTTCGTCTGCTGTCAGTTTATCATTTTGAGATACGGCCCCAGCTCGCTTGCCTACAGGCTCAGTCCGACGGTCGCAGAATGAGTTCTGAGATCTTGTCGACGGATGGAATACATTGATGGGGGGGATGAAGCCAGCACAACGAAAGGGAGGGTGGGATAGGGGCGGAAACATCTGACTTGGGATGGTCGTCGGGAGCTCTTTTATCGGCAGACGCAGCAGGGGCATGTCATCATCATACAACGTCTTTTTTTTTTCCTTTTGCGAGCCCACGCTAATGAAGAACGGTTGGTGATGATGGCGTTTGCTGTTCGTCGAGATGATGGAAGATGGAACTTTGATCGTTTGCCCCAGCGAGCGGCGACCCCAGGGGTTTTCAGTGGCGCCTCGAAGATGTTTCAGTGGATTCACAGTGGATGTTCAATGGATTCACAGGGGTGCTTATTTGCCGTTCAGTGGAGATTCCCAGGGAAAAGTGCTGCATCTCTGCTGCATCTCCACTAAGCCCGCTGAAAATCGATTGAAGAATCGATTGTACATCCCCTGCAAGACGACAAACCTCCCCGCCGCCACATCCGCTCGTCTCCGGCAATCCGTGCCGAACAGCAGAAGCACGGTCGGTAAATATCATGACCGAGTTCTGTACATGTATGATGCTGCCAAGTTTGTACCAGGAACAGCGACGAGGGCTTCAACCGCGTCGTCAAGCTTAGTCTGCCGCTGGAAAGGGAGCCATCAGATGGACTCGTCCCTTGCATCTTCTTCTGGAAAAGAGAATATGCGTGACAAATAGTACCGTAATATCTGATTTGTTTTAGTCTCTAGCCTCCACGACCACCATGCTGGAAAGCCCGTTGGCCGCTCGATACCTACCTACCTACCCTACATGGCCGAGGCAGAAATGGGAACTCAGCAAAGAGCCCAATATCGAGAAAGAATGTGCGAGGAAGTATTCGTCAAATAGTGCTATTGTTTAGACTGTATTAGTTGCATTCAAGTCAGCAGTAGTGTGCTGGCGGGACAGCTACTGGATTGTCAAATCTTAATGTGTCGGTGACCAGAAAAATGCACCATGGTCTAGTGAAGCTTCAAACATGCCATTGTGAGTCTAGCTACAAAAGACAATCTTGCAAAGTAATGACTATCTGCAATATGAGTTAGAGCAACCGCACTTCCTGTCCACATTCTCCCTCTGGTACCACCCCTCTCACTCACCTCTAGACGCCGAAGAGGCCGGCCGTACATATGTATCAACGGCACTGCTCTACTGGGACGCGGCCAGCATCGATCGGTCGTGTTCTTGTACTAGTCAATGTAGCTTGGCAAACTTGTAGAGCAAAATTTTGATGAAAAAAAGTCTAAATTTCCCGCGCCACCCCTGTGTATGCTGGTGGTGTCACGATGTGTTGATGTGAGTCAGACAGGACGGAGAAACAGCGCAAAACCACTACATCGTGAAGCAAAGGATGATGGTGGAATTTAATACTACTACGTGCAACACTTCCGTGTCGTTCTACTGTAGCTGTGTGATTGGCGATCGAATGATGGTGAGGAACAGGCCAAGCTGTTCATGGAAGTATATATGCCGTGCGAGTGAGAACCAGTTGCTGGAAGCAGTGAATCCGGCTTGATAAAAGTGAAAGTTTTCCCGACTCGTGTTGTGCAACAGTAGGCAGCACATGACCGCAATTGATACAATACGCTTGTTGAGTCTCCTGTGACACGTCCAGCAGACACTCGCCAGCCCAGCCCAAGAAGCCCTGACGATCAGGCTTGTCCAAATAGATGAAGAGACGCAGTGTTACACGGAGATGGCAGTGGCAAACCCTGTATTCCCTCCTATGAAGCTGCATTTACAACCCCGCGACGGCTGCTCACTCTGCCGCCTTGTCCCTTCTGATGCTGTTGCATATGCAGTCCGGCACCCGTGCCGCCGCCCGTCTCGTGTGCGTTCATCTCCCAACCGCACAGAGTTGAGGAACAAGACGCGATCCAACGCGCCGCCTCACGGCCCCTTCCGTACTCCAGCCCCCCCCCCTCACTATACATGTCCGGCGTAGTACCGCCGTGCCTGATTTCACTCGCCTTCCGTACGCAAGCCTAGCCCCTCACTCTACATATACATATCTGGCGTGCTGCCGCCATACCTGATCTCCCATATCCAAAGAGACCCCATTGCGTAAACACAATGGCGCACGTCGGCCCCGTGCACCGCCGCCAGGGCGTCTACTCCGAGCAGCACTGGGCGCCCAGCAACTACGCGCTCCTCCGCACGCACTTCGCCTACCTCGTGCAGGACGTGCTCGTCGAGGGCACGCTCGTCGAGACGTACCAGGCGCGGCGCGACGTCGACGGCCGCGCGGCGCACTACGTGTTCCAAGTCCCGCCGGGGGCGTCCGTCGTCGACTTTGGCGCCCGAATCGACGGCCGCGCGCGCGTCCACGCCCGGGTCGACGACACGCGCAGCAGCAGCCCGGACCAAGCGCCGAGCACGGCCGGTGTGCAGGCGTGGAAGCTGGATCCGGTCCATGAAAAAGGTCAGACCCATTTGTCTCGCGCTTGCCCGCTCTGAACAGAAGCAGCTTTCTTTGCTAAAACCCTGCAATGGTGAAAAAGTGCTCCAAATTAGCTTGGGTGCCGTCCCGCCCAGCTCGGTGATTGAAATCAGGCAAGAGGACTGGGATGACTGTATGGCGAAATCACAGAATACTGACACGGCGGGGGGAAATAGCGTGACGTATGTGTACGTGATTGCGAGGGACACGCTGCAAGACTCGGCCCGGCTCAGCATACCGACAGGCTTCGAGCGCGACGGCGCCTCTCCGATGGGCGTCGCCGCGATACCGACTGCCCCGACGGGCCCAAACGCAGTCGCCATAACCGTCGGCGTCGAGGTCCACGAGGACGACGTGCTGTTCGACCTCAACAGCACGTCGCACCGTGCCACCATCACCGGCGGCTGGTCCGACGACTCCTTCAAGCCGCTCAGTGCGGCGGCGAAGCGCGCGACGTACAGGAAGTGCAAGTCGTACGTCGAGTTCGTCAGCGACACCTTTCTCCAGCACGACTTTGTCCTCGTGTGGACCGTATCGACCTCGGACCGGCCCCGCTGCGTCGCCCAGAAACTCGCCGCCCCCGTGCCAGGGCAGCCCGAGACGTGTGCCGTTGCGCTGACGCTCGTTTCCACCGTCGACCTGGAGCCTGCAGAACACGGTAAGCAACCAGTTATCAACTTTGACAAGCTCTGACCATCCATTGGTTTGCAGAATACATCTTCCTCGTCGACTGCAGTCACAGCATGGCCGGTCCGCGCATCACAATGGCAAACCACGTCGTCAAGACCATGCTAGCCCATCTGCCCACCCACCCCAAGTCCTCCTTCAACATTCACAGCTTCGGCCGCTGGGCATGGTCCATCCTGCCCGGCGGCAAGAGCCTCGCCCTGGACGCCCCCAACGTCGCAGCCACCGTGCCGAAGCTCGCCACCACCACCACCACCACGGCCGACGGCAGCGACATCAGCAACGCCCTGACGGCGGCGCTCAGCCGGCGCCAGCCCGACAAGCCGCGCTGCTCCGTCATTGTCCTCACCGACGGGGTGAACGTGAGCGGCGTCGCGCAGGCCGTCAAGAGCGTGCGCACAAAGACAACTGAGGCGGCCGCGCAGTCTACGCTGCTGCGCGTCTTCGCCGTTGGCCTCGGCGACGACGCCCGCGGCTTGTGCGAGGGCCTGGCAGGCGCCGGCACCGGCGCGACCCGCTACATCGCTACATCGCTTCTGCACGACGGCGACTACGGACGGCGGCAGTCGGCGGCGCTCGTCGAGGCGATGAACCGCGCGCCGATCCGCGTGCGGTCGATCGACTGGGGTTACGGCGGCGGCGTGGCGGTGCACGACCATCGCAAGCAGCAGGCGCCGCTGCCGACGGACTGGGCGGTGCGCAGCTGCTGGTACTTCATCCTCCGGCGCGGAGGCACCGCCGCCGCCCTGACGGCCACGATCCACTACGACGTTGCCGGCAGCGCCGCGTCGGCGCGGACGATGCAGGTGCCGGCCGCGTTTGCCACCGCGGGGCGTCTTGTGCACGCTATCGCCGCCCGCACCCTCATCAAGGGGCTGGAGCAGACGATGACGACCCTCGCGGACGCGCACGACAAGGACCGCGCCGAGGCGGAAATTGTGCGGCTCGGCAGGACGTACGGCCTCGCGAGCTCGCAGACGTGCCTTGTCGCCGTGGTGGACGGAGCGGCCAGAATGACCTATGGCGCAGGCGGCGGCGGGCATGGCGGGAGGAGCGTCCTGTCCGGTGTGCCGCTCGGGAGTGGCTTTCGCGCCAGCTTTGTCAATTTGGGACCGGCCGCTTCGCAGACTGTCGCAGCGGCATCAACGAGCGCTCCAGACGTGCAGGTGGCGGTCGCCAGGCCAAAGCCGCCGCCGCCAGCGAACGTCCTCGTTGCATCGGAAGCTCACACGGACAAGGCAGCCGGCACTTCCAAGACGACGATGACAGCCTCGCCAGCGTGCACGTTCCAGGTTGCTTTTGCGACGCAGACGCTGCCTCAGGGCCAGTTGTTCCTGACGCGCGACGTCGTGGCGCAAGGCTGCGATGCTCCTGTGCCGGAGACGGCTTGCCGGGACGAGGTGGCGCGCGTGATTGGCGCGCAGGACGGCAACGGCGCGTTTGACGCGCGCGTCGTGGGGCGCATCCTGTTTCCGGACACGGGATGCATCCCGGCGGTGCCGGCGGTCATCGCGGCGCTGCGCGGGCGCGAGCGCGACAAGGACCAGATGTGGCTGGTGCTGTGCGTCATGGCGTACTTGCGCGCGAGGGCGCCGGGTCGTGAGCGCGAATGGGCCGACGCGCACGATAGGGCAACGTACTTTGTCAAGACGAGCCTGTGTTGCGTGTTTGACGTCTTCCCGGGCCGGTCGGAGGAGGTCATGAGGAAGTCGCTGGCGGCGGCGGAGGGGTGTTTTTGTTGAGACTGGGGGTGGGATATGTAGAAGAGCGGTCATTGACGGAAAGAATGAAATAGTCAATAAAGGAAATTGATATCTCCGAAAATAGACCTACATTGAAAGCGGTCATTAATGGAAAGAATGAAACTAGTAAATAAAGTAAATTGATATCTCCCAAAACAGACCTTGTACGTGGTATTGCTAGTCATACACTTCGTGATAAATAAAACGTGACAAAAAAAAAACTCAGTCAGAGTAAAATGATGAATCGTCTCCAAGAGAACCAAGATCCATGTGCTCCATCTCGCCATAATGATCTTCCTTGACGGGTGACCCCAGAATCGAACACGTCGTCAGGGTGCCTGTGCCTCCCGATCCGGCCGCCGAGAGACTCGATCGCGCACCAACCGACGCCGCCATGCCCGACGAGGAGATGCCCGAGCTGGAGCTGTACCCAATGGCCGAGCGGGCTATGATGCTCGACCGCGCGCCGCTCGAGCTGGACATGGACCGGGGGCGGCCGGTGGCCGTGGAGTCTCGCGCGCGGCGCTCCGACTTGGGCGGGTGGTACTGCAAGTTGCCGGTGCCGCTGAGGCAGGCGCGGCGGTCGTAGAGCGAGCGGGCGCGGACGTACGGGTCGAGCTCCCAAAAGTTGGATGTCAAGTCGGCGCAGACCTGGTCGCGGCGGCGGCTGACCTCGGCGGCGCGGGCGGTGCCCTGGGCGTTCATGACCCATTCCTTGGTGACATCCTCAAACTGCTCGACGAGCATCTGGCGCTCGAGCAGCAGGTAGTTGCGGGTGATTGTGTTTTGCATCTTGAAGTTTTCGTCCATGTTGGGCTCCTCGTACTCGTACTGGAAGGGGTCCTGGCCGCCGTGCTCGACGAGCACCCGGCTGGGGTCAATGTACTTGAAGAGGTCCTTGCGGCCCGTGGTGAACTTGACCTTTTCGGCAATCTCGGCGTTGACAAAGTGGCGGATCAGCTTCCAGGCGGCTGGTGAGGGGGCATGTTAGCATTTCGTGTGCTGGCAATTCGCAAGTGAATGGGGAGCGTACCTTTGGTGCCAAAGGGAGCCTTGTGGACGATGATGAGGCCGATACATTCAGGATAGTACTGCTCCGCACACTTGAGAATGAATTTGAGGGGGTCCAAGTCGAAGTTCTTTAAGCGAAAGTGGCTCATGTCGAGAAAGATGGTCTAATGACAATGTTAGCATCCATATTCGCAAGGGCTGCCATAGGCAAGCAGGTAAAACGTACACCAGTTTCGACGGGAAAGCGCAGAGACAGACGGGCCATCTCAAGCAGGTAGATAATATAGCGCTCCATGCTCTCCGGGCTCTCATCGCCAGCCTTGTGCAGCCGGACGCGGACATAGGTAATCGGGCGGTCCTCCCGATCATTGCCGTGCAGGAAGCCCTTGCCTGAGCGCAGCAGCTTCATAAACTCGGCGCCGAGCGTCCGCGCATGGCCCTGGCCATTCTTCTCGTCCTCGGCGGCGCCGCCCTCGCCGAGGCGCAGAATATCATCGTCAATGGCGGCCTCCATGGTGCGCCAGTAAATGGTCTTGCCCATGCTCTTGCAGGCCTGGATGACGTCCCAGTGGCTCTGGCGCAGGAAGCGCAGGGCCAGCTCGTCCGGGTGCTCCTGCTTGACCGTGTGCAGCAGGGTGATGCGGAACATGTGCGGGGTCCAGTAGTCGAGGGCGTCGAGGGCGGCGGCGGCGAGCTTGTCGACGTTGCGCTCGTGGGTCGGGAGCAGCGAGAGCAGCTCGGGCACGAGCGCGGGCGGGTACTGCTGGCCGGAGGCGCTTCCGGTGGCCTTTTTGCGCTGGGCCGCACCGGGCTTCATGGCGGGCGGGACAAACTTGTCCTGGAGGGTGACGGCCTCGTGAAAGGTCGGGTCGGCCTCGCAGACCTCGACAAACTTGTAGGCAATGGCCCAGAGGGCGCGCAGTTTGGCCTCCTGCGACGCGGTTAGGTGGCCGAGGAAGCCGGTCGGGGGCGCGGCCTTGGTGGCGGCGGACGACGCATGGCTGGGCATCTTGGTGAGCTTGGTCGGCGTGGTCGGCGGGGTGGGCAGCGAAGCCGGGTAGTTGGACAGGACCTGCGCCATGGTGAGAGGGCTTGTTTCTGCAACAAGTTTTGTTCTGGTCAAAAGAGCATCACTCTGCACGGACCGGAGACGAGGAGGGGGACGAGCAGGGCCTTATACAAGAGCAGCCTCAACAGGTGAACAGGGCCCGTCAATGACCGGGGTCGGCGAGATGGCCAAGTTCAGAGGGCATGCTCCACGATTCATGGATGCCGAGGCCTGGTCGCCATCGCGAATGGGCCATCTTGGAGGGGGCTCAGGCCAGGGGTGCCGTTGTCCGGGCACGCTGGTTGGCTGCTCCAGACCATGTGCGTTGCGGGGAAAAAAAGATGCTGGGGCGGGGGGAGGCTAAGAAGACGCTATCGAAGCGCATATCATCAGCAGCCTGTGTTGTTGAACTGTGAAGAGGTGAAGAAGCAGCTGGGGAAGCCGAGATGCGGGGGTTTTTAGTGACGCCACAGACGCCACACCGGACCAGCGCCCCCGCACACACCTCTGGCCGCTGCCCACTCGTACGACAGAGAGCAGCCAGTTCCCCCACTCTCTTGGCTGCTTTCAAAATTTCTTACTGATACTATGTATCAAAACGTATAGCCTAGCCTCTTTTCTGGATGCCGAGTTCCTGGCGTTTTTTTTTTTGCTTTCTTTTGTCGGTTTCCTTGGGGCGGATGCGGCTCAACTATCAAGACCTCGGCCGCATCTGATGCCACCTTCGTCACAACCTGGTCCTCCCCACAAACGGCAGACATTTTACTCCCTGCTCGTCTCGTCGTATGTACTCGCCTTGTTCCCCCCCCTGCTACTACGCTTTGACGTTCTGGAGATCAGCAGCGGGGGTGACCAGACTCATGTACAGACAGACAACAGTTGCATAGCCGACCCCTGAGAACCCGACTCCAGACCTGCACAGTCGATGCCTTTTTTTCTTCTTTTTTTCGGAGAGAGCTTTGCGGGGACGCACCCAATCGTCGGTGGCGGGATTACCAAGGTTGCGCTGTGCATGACCGTCTGTGCTGGCCACAACCCACAGACTCTATGCATCTTGCCATCGAGTTCTGCTTTGGCCATCGTTTTATTATGCACCGAAACCGTCGGAGCATTTTCCTTGTCCCCATTCAATGCGGCTCAAAACAAGAGGGGTCAGCAAATGTCCAAGCTTTGCGGACCAAAGACGACAAAAACCTTGGTCGCTTGGTAAAATAGCCTTTCGCCTCGGACGCCACCGCCACGCCATTGTTCATCTGCGTTACTGCTATGGTGCTTGGACGCTGCGCATTTACATAGCAGCCTTTCAAGGCCACAAAGCAAGATCCGACATGGTGCAAGAAACGGTTCGCTTCGACCCTACAGCGCCACCAAAGCGCCTACGAACTAGCCCACCTACGATATGGAGGATAGGGCTCGACAGAAAATGACAGCCTCGAAATAAGTACTGGTTGGGAAATGATTTCAATTAATTTGAATTCTTCTGAATTCTTCTGAACCAAGCGCTACACTTAACCATGTCCCACCAACAAAGGATCACTTGGAGGCCATCCATCACCTTGCATCTTGTCCCACACTCTCAATAATAATGAACAGAAAGCTGCGTCATCATCATCCGCTTTTTCCATCCTCTCTTCCCTTTTCCTAGCCCACACAAGCACCATCAATCATCTAAACAAACCGTCGATTATGTATGTAGACGAGGGACTTGGGCTTCCAGAGGGCCCAGAGAAGTTCAATGGTAATAGGTAAAATTCTTTCCAAAGGGAAAGTCGCCATCGTTGGTATAGTCGCATTCGTACTCATTGATATCAACATCTTCAAAACTAAACTTGACCCCGCACTTTTCAAATGCTTCACCTACCACAACATCAGACGATGGTGGCAAGTCGGTAAAAGTGACGTGCCTCAGATTGGGGAACTTGCTTGGCACGACCTGGGCTAAGGCCAGAATGTCCACGACGGTATGCTGCTGCGCGTCTTCCATGTAAAAGCTCCGTATCGACCTGGGAAGAAACTGCGTCAAGTCTGTATGGAAAATGGGCTGCACTTCCATCGAATCCCCAGACTGCTGCTCCGTGTCATCATCATCCCCAAAGATAAAGTACGTAGGCAGTCGAAGCGTCTCTAGGACCTCCATGCTGGCTAAGCTTTCCAAGAATCTGTTTTCCAAGGCGTCATCTTCGCCTAGCAGGTCCGCCTCGTGAGCACCAAGCTCAAGATGCTTCAGCGTCCGCCGCAGACCAAGCACCGCCTCATGGAGGAACCTGGCCGACACCGCCGACTCCGTTGGATAAAAAGGAAGGCTGTCTGTGCCACCGTCCACGTACGTAAACTGTTCAAGCCGTGGGAACGCCCTTGGGAGAAGCGCCATATCTGCGTTGGTCAGCCGGCTGCATATCAGCACAAGCTGCGTGATGGTAGGGTATACAGATATCGAGAGTGATCCAATCGACCACCTAATCAATCGTCTCAAATTGGGCGCCGAAAATCTCAGTATGCCTTGTGCGTGGTCAAAGTCGATATCCATCCCGGCTTGGTCTTCCTGTATCGAGAATGCCTCGAGCCGTGGAAAGTAACCGGGCCTGAACGCCCCAATGCCCACGTATCTCCCAATACTTAGGCGGCGGGATGAGAAGATGGCGCTGGTGATGTTGGGCACGAGGGCTAGGGCGACGCAGGCCACGTATTCGCCAAGCAAATCGCATTCTGCTTCAGATAGCTTAGTGTTGGCTTGCATCGCGTCCACATTTATATACGTCGGCGCTGCCCCTATCAGTACCTGACGAAAGAGCGCTGAATCGAGTGCTGATAGGACCACGCTACTGCGGGGGAAATGGCGGGCATCAACGTAGAAACCGGCGTCGAAAATGAGTCTCTTGACTGCTCTAGCGAGCTCGGGCCTGGCAATGAGCGTGCGAACGATGTTGAGGCTGCGCCAGAGATTGCGGCTCCCTGTCACGCTGCAAATTTCATACAACTTGGGGAGGCAAACATTTCGAAGCGTCGTGCACATCCGCGCCAGCCGATACAGTTCGACGTTGGGCTTGTACCGGTGGTCAAAATTGTCAAAGTCAGCCTGCGTCGGGCCAAGCAAATCAACAATGCACATTAACACCTCCGGCGGTAAGCAGGGTAGCTTAATCATGTTGTTGGTGGTTTGTGGCAGCCATCAGCTTGATGTCTCTCTCGTATCTGAGTCCGGTCATGTTGTTCAACGAAGGCCTGCCCACTCTCGCTCGCGTCGCGGCGGCGCCTGCCACCAACAACGCCGTGAGCTATTCATTGCAATGCTGAAGGAAGGAAATCACCCGCTTTATCGACTGCTGCGGCGAAGGAAACAGGGCAAGTCCGATTATGTAATCGGCCCGGTACAGGAGGACAGTTGATGCCTTCCATGTCTGGAAGTGGTGGAGACAGCACATAAAGTATCACAGTATGGCCCAAGGCAACATCATATCACTGCCGGGGGATCCAGAGTATTTCGTAGAAACCAGAGCTCTACTAACCCGATGAGGCGCATGCCCCAGAGATGTCCTAGATCGATGGTCATGAAGTCGTCGCTGGTTCGCTACCAAGTCTCGGGAGGGCATCGGCGAAGGCTGCATCGCAAAAGTCCGCCACTCCCGTCGTTGGGCCATATGAAGCCGCGCTCCAATCACAATGCCTGGGTTTGATCGTTTCGGACAGGTGACTAGTCCGAAGCTCGACCACCACCGCGCCGTCCCGCGTCCGCCTCGGACAGCGAATCGTCGCGAGCGGGTGTGGGTATGTGCCTAGGCAGCCGAAATCGCGATACTCGGTAGGACCTTTTTCATCGTATGACGAGATGGGCTTAGGTCTCGCAGATAGACCATCCATTCCGCCGCGCGGCGGGCCAGCCATGCATACATGGCGCGGCTTCATCGGGGAGGAGTCGGGAAACCCGGGCGTTGGTGCAGCGATATATGCAGCCGGTCAGAAGGCGGCACAGTCAACTATGCATGCAGGCATATATCTGCAGGAATATATAATCTAGACTGCTCTTCGCTGGACAGAATCGGTTTGCAGAGTACCCATTTCCATGGTAAACATGGCGAACCAAACCCTGCACACTGTACCTGCGATCGGCGCTTTTGCGCAGCCAAATGCCGCTGCATTGTATGGAGCGGTACTCGCGATTGCATCCTTTATTGTACGTCATCCTATATCTGTCCGACTACATGTCACTCACGCGATTGCCAAGATTATCTTTGCAACACTGCGAAAGCCAATCTCGCGTGTTCCCGGTCCTTGGTATTCCCGATGGACTGGCCTTGTGCTCAGGTATCACTGGGTCCGAGGCCAGAGAAGCATATACGTGCATAAACTCCACGGAAAATACGGTATGATAAATGACAACTTGATCTACCAGTGTACCTCCCACTCACCCTGCAGGTCGCATCGTGCGCATCGGCCCGGACGAGGTCTCCCTCTGCGACATCAGCGCCCTCCAGGCCGTCTACTCGGCCAGGGAGACGTTCCGCAAAACGCCCTGGTACATCGACTTTGTCTTCGGCGTCGAGAACATCTTCAGCACCAGCAGCCCCGACCTGCACCGCACGGCGCGCCGCGCGCTCGCCGCGCCCATGGCCGACGCGGCCGTCCACGCCCTGGCCCCGCGCGTCGCCGGCCACGTCGACTTTGCCGTGCAGCGAATGAAGGCGGAGAGCGAGACGCGCCAGGCTGTTGATATCTGGAAGTGGTGGCTCTTCATGACGACGGACATTATTGTCGAGCTCACCTTTGGGGAGTCCTTTCACATGCTCGAGCGCGGCGAGGTATGTGACACGAAACGAGTCTCAACTGAGTGCCTTTATAACAAAGTTGTCGATTTGATATTGTAGGACAACGAATACAGCTACTTTTTGCGAAACTCTGGCGCCTTTGGCATTTACCGCTCCGCCCTGCCGCGCCTGAGCAAACTCCTGTCCCTCGTGCCCCTCGAGAGCAGCAAGACGCTGAACAAGGCCGCGACCGCCATGCGCAAGGCAGCCGTGGACGGCATCGCTATCTACCAGAGAAAGGTGGAAGAAAACGGCACGGATAATGTACAAAAGACCCTGTTCACCACGCTCTTCCAGGAGCAGCAAGACAACAACAGCAGCGCTGCCGTCGTCCGCACGCGGCTCGCTGGCCACGGCCAGTCCTTCATCGTGGCCGGTAGCGACACGACGGCCAACACGCTCACGTACGCCGTCTGGACGCTGAGCAAGCGGCCGCTCCTGCGCGATGCGCTGGTGGCGGAGCTGCAGGCGCTGCCGGTTGACTACACGGATGCGGACCTGCGCGGGTGTGGGCTGCTCGCCCGTATCATCAAGGAGTCGCTCCGGATGCACACCGCCGTGCCGGAGGGGCTGCCGCGCATGGTGCCCCCGCGCGGCGCGCTTCTCTGCGGCTTCCACCTCGATGCCGGGACGGTGGTGAGCGCGCAGGCGTACAGTATGCACCGCGACGCGGCCGTCTTTGCGCACCCCGACGAGTTTGACCCGGACCGCTGGGCAGCGCCGACCAAGGCGATGACGGACTCCTTCATGTCCTTTGGGCGCGGCTCCCGAGGTGAGTAGCAGTGTGCATTTCCTCTCTTCCTGCGGTGGGCTCATGTTCTTTCGGTAGTCTGCATCGGTCAGCATCTTGCGCATACGGAGCTTCGCATGGGCATTGCCCGCTTCTTCCTCGCGTTTCCGAATGCGCGCGTTTCGGCCCGCGAGGGTATGTCGGACGAGGACATGGTGGAGGAGTCGTACTTTGTCATGTCGCCCAAGGGCCACCGCTGCCTCATCGAGGTGAGCTGAGGATGGAACGGGGTGAGGCGAGACACTTGGCGAGGAGTGGTATGAAGATAAATTGTCAACACTAGGCGCCTTTGTAATCCGGACTATGGGCCGTTCCTAGTTTTTTTCCACTTGATTTCTCCCGCGTCTTTGTCCTACTTACACATTCACGTGCATGGGAACCAGAAATAATAAATGAATAGTTTCAAACGTCTTCTATCCACGGACCCAGGGCTCCCGGGTAAAAACGGCTAGGCCGCATCATCCAAAACCGTCCGATGCGGCCCAAATCCACGAAAATTGTCCAGAGTATAATAGCTTGCGTATCTGTACGTACCTGATAGCAGAGTTCTCCCATTGACGCAGCAGCAGCAGCTGCTTTTTCCGGCCTCAGCAGGACTTGTCGCGGGGGGGCAGCCAACCTCTCTTGCGCCCCCCCCCCGCCCCTTCTTCTGTTCAAAGACAGCAACAAACATGATTTTTTAAAAAAGTATTAAAAATATCCAACTAAAAGCGCCTCACGGGGACCGCATCCCCGCAAGGGAGGGAGGTCGCAGCATCGACCCGGATTGTCATCACAGGCGCATCTCGACCGCAGACGGGGCGAGCTTGAGAGCAGGCGCAAGACCGGCTTGGCGCTCTCCTCGACCCGCTGGGGAGGCCGTGAGGATTAGAGGAGGGTGTGTGTTTTGTGTGTGTAAAAAAAAATTCAGACGAGGCTTTGCGAGGCAGAACAGAAAACAATAATGCAAAAACAGAATTCAACCTCGACAACAAAGAAGCAGGGAAACAAGAGCAAAACGTGCAAAAAGTCAGACAGGCGTTGAAAGATGAAATCCAGCGTCTGCTCATCTGCGGAGAAAAACATGAACGAACAGCGCACCGGCCTGTAGTCTGAGCTCTCTGACGCTCGCCGCTCCCGCCCACGCCCCGGCGCAGCACACAGGATGTGCTCACGAGACGATGATGCCGTTGCGGCGGGAGACGTGGTGGGCGACGTGCTCGTCCTCGGACTCGCTGGCGCACGAGTCGGAGTCGTCGTAGCCGCAGCGGGAGCCGCCGCAGTCGAGCTTGACGCGCTCGCCACGGCGGGTGATGCCGTAGCGCTCGCAGGTGCAGGTGCTGCAGTCCGAGTTGGGGGTGCTGTAGCCCGAGAGCAGCGACGACGACGACGAGGGGGAGGAGCTGTCGGAGCGGTAGGAAAAGCCGGAGCCGACCGAGGAGACGGGCGAGGTGCTGAAGTTGGTGACGAGGTCGTCGTCGAGGCCGGCGGTGCCGAAGCGCGCGGCGAGCTCCTCGAGCTCCTCGTTGCCGTGGTAGTCGGACTCGAGCAGGTGCTTGGTGGCGTGCGGCGACATGGGCTTGGGGGCCTGGATCTGGGAGATGGAGAGGGGGCGGCCCTTGGGGATGTCGACGGACAGGTTCTTGCGCGACGAGGTGCGGTCCTTGTCCTTGGACGAGGAGTGGTGGCGGGACGAGGAGGAGGAGCTCTTGCTGCTGGACTTGGAAGACGGCTTGGAGGAAGACGAGGACGACTTGGAGGACGAGGACGACTTGGACGACGACTTGGACGACGACTTGGGGGCAGACTTGTCAGAGGGGACGTCGAGGATGTTGAGCTCGCGGCCGGTGGTGGGCTCGGTGGTGGAGGCAATGCTGGGGTTGTGGGCGACGTGGTAGCCGTCAATGATGTAGTAGTACCAGTAGCGCTGGCCGGTCTGGAGCGTCGTGTTCTGGAAGCGGAAGGTGCCCTTCCAGGAGCCCGACTTGGACGAGGTCTTGTCCTTGGCGAGCGGGAGCTGGCCGACGTAGTTGTCCCAAGAGCCGAGCAGGTGGACGGCCTTGACGCCGGAGGAGACGCGGAGGGAGAAGGAGAGCTGAGTGGCCGACATTCTTGTGATTTGTTGGAGAAGAGTCGGGGAAAAAAGATGTGAGAATTGGCGATGCAAAGAGAGCAGAAAGAATAATTCGTCAAAAATGCGTGAAAAAAATAAAAATTCTTAAAACAGGCGTATCAAAAAATGATGGTGTAAATGGCGTTTCGAGCAAGTATTCCCGTGGTTCTGTTTATTAAGGGTGGTGAATGTGTGATGCAAAAAAAGTGTGTGTATGTAAAAAGGGTATAATCGTTCTCTGAAGCTGACCAGCAACTTGTTGTCGTAAAAAAAAATTGTAGATCCGAGTAGAGAAAAAATAAAGTGCAGGTGAGATGTTATGCGCTCGAGAGAAGTTGATTATATTAGATGAAGTGAAAAAGAGACCAGCTCTTGGAAGGCAACAGCGAAAAACAAGGGGGGAGGGAGAACGAAACAAACAGGAACCGAGAATATGGTATTGACAAGACTTGCTGAAGAAGAAAAAAGAAGAAAGGAAACCAAAGTAGACGAGGCAGCGAGGCCTAGATATATGAGACGGGCGGCTGGGTAGCGTGGGCGGCTGGAGGGGGAGGGGGGGGCAGGAAGTTGAGTCGGTGGAGAGGACAGGAATAAACAAGAGCGGGGACTCTCGTCCTGCCAGGATACAAAGACAGCACACACACACAACGATCTGCTAGTCTGCGGCCATCTGGGGCCAATGGGCGGGCGAGGCCGGGCTTGGTGGTTGCACGGGCTGATGGAGGAGGGTGGGATGGAGGAGTGGCACCTTGTCGTCCGACATGGGCCCCCGTCTCTTTCTTTTCCTTGCTCGAGGGATTTTCCCATATTACTATGTACATAGAACAAGCCGTTAGTTATCGAAAGTGCAAGACCTGCAGGTCAGCCATGCAAGTGGCGTCGTGGGTTGCAGGTGGGAACTGGCCAAGCGACGCAGGTCATCTGTGAGGTTTTGTCGTGTTGGGTGTCTAGACAGGTTATAGTTCCGGAACGAGTGATACAAGCATCGATCTGTTTTCCTGTGTGGTTGCACGATATGATAGATGGCCAGAGTTTGCGCGCTGTTGCCTGTGGCCATCTCGGCGCTGTCTGTAGTTACACATGCCCACATGGAATCGACCGAGAAGGCTATCCCGCAGCCATGCCGTCCCGCGCAACACAACGGCATAAGACGGGTCCCATCAAAAAAGGTATCCAGAAACGACTGCCGAGAATGAACAATCAAGCCACCATTGATGCGACGTGAATGACCCAAAAGCTGAAAGAAGGCAGGATATAGAAAATCGGCAAGGAGCCCAGCCACGACGAGCGGGGGGAGGGCTTTGAGAAATCCACCACGGCGCTTAAAAACAAAAAAGGCAGCCAGCCATTAACAGCGCAGCGGCCCTTTTCTCGCCCCACCCACACCAGTCGCTATACCGGGCGTCTATACAGCCATCGTGATTGGTTCCCGCTCGCAAGACGGCTCCGTCGCGCTGCAGCTGGGCCTACAAACGAAGAGCAATGACTTGTAGTTTAAACTTGCAGCTGCGCTAGTCAGACTTTGTTCGCGGTATAGGCTTGAAGAGAAAAAAGACGCCGCGGTGGTACGACCATGACAAGATCGGCGGGCCGAGGGTAGTTAGTGTCCGTCGGTCCTTGTACGCACGCCTCGTCCCGCGCCGAAGGTGTCCATCTGGTGCCGTCTGGGCTGCTTGAACGGAGCCCGGGGGTTAAGTCGCTTCCAAGGGACGAGAACTGAGTGTAGTGGTATTATTCGTTGGCGGGAGTCACTATTGCGTTGTCGATCCAGCTAGCACAATGACATGGTCATGTCGTACGTGGACAACGTAGGGGATGCGGGGATTCTCTTTGTATTGTGTTGTATGCTATGTTTGCAGTCATAGCTGCAGCAATCCCCCATTTCGACTGCCATGCTGGTTCCTAAAGTGAAGAGAAACCGTTGCCCGACTCAGCTGCTCTTTGACACGACCAGCCTGGGACATCACGGCATCCAGAACCATGGCTGTGCATCGAGGAACTGACAAACAGCTTCGCTTCGAATACCCACGACGCAATGGACATTTCCATGCCCCGTTTTGCCGTCCTTGTCGCCTGTATCCCGTCCATCGCCATGATATCCTCCCCTCGGACCGTATCGTCGCAAAACTAGCCGTGTCGCGCAAACCGATGTCGTCATTTATTCCTCCAACAGCTCTTTTTTATCATCCCCAATATGCATTGTATCCAGTACTCGTCTCGCAGCCAGCGCCACGCTTCGTCGGTCAGATCCGCAGACTTTTTCTCTGATGCACCTTTCCAAGAAATCCCAAGACCCAAAAAACGCCGAGCAAATTCTCAAAGCAACACGCGGACACATTAATCCTCCATCTTGGTATCTCCATCATCGGCACCGCGGATCCATAGCACATTGTTGCATCTGCTCGTCAGACCTCGTTAGCAAAGCTGGGACCAATCTCAATCTTCTCCCATCACCCCCGCACTCCTCAACGCTCAACGCAGCGCCGAGCCGACAACGTACCTAATCAGAACCTGCCCCAGGTCTGCCGTAAACTTGTCCGCAATGTACTCTTGCGTGTTGGCCAGCTGCAGGTTCATGTACGCGTCCAGCGACACCAGCTTTCCCTTGTACTCGGTCTCTCCCCACTTGAGCCGCACCGACACCGTCTTGTCGACGAGCTCCTGCAGCATCGGTCGCGGGTTGACAGGTACAAAGCTCATATTAACGGTTTCTTCCGTCGTATGTTTTCTTTTGTTGCGCGGGGGGGAATGTGGGCGCTTGCTATTTTCGTTTCGTTGTTCGTCGTAAAGCTCAAATCTCCAGCACAAAGTTTCAAGCCTAGCAAAAGCGCGATCCCTGCAGCAAACAATGCTGACATAATCATGACCCGGTATGTACATATTTGCCCACAGTGCATATCTCAAGCTGCCATTACGACTCTGCTTTTGGCGTTCCTCGCGACGAGACGCTGGCATACCTGCACTGCTGAAAATGTGCTACCACTCACAGACTCGGCACTCTGGCTTCACACCATTGTGAACATCCTCGTCCCAGCACTGCACCCTATCCGAAAACACGACTCCCCTCCACCAACTCTAGAAGCAGCACGTAGACGAGCCCGCCATGCACCGGCATCTCCACCCACCCATTGGCCGTCCCGCCATCTGCGGCCCGTTCTCGCGGCCGCCCAGCCTCCGCTCGCATTGTCGTGCTCGCCCAGGCTCTTCGGGGCTGTATGCGATATCCTGCCACTCACCGCTGCGAAGGCCAGTGGAGGAGCCTGCGCCGTGTCAGTCTAACGAGATGGGTGCCGGGCTTTGCTAGCGCCGGCGGGTATGCACGAGGCCAGTCATGACGGGTGGCTCTTGTGCAGCGCTCGGCAGTGGGAAATGACACGTCTTTTGGATCTTCAGCGACGGCAAGGCGGCGGGCCTGAAGAGACGAGGACGGCGGTGATGCGGGCTGTAGGCGACGTCGGGACGGTCCCGGGCTGTAGGCAGCCTTGGTGAGAACGTGACTTGTAATCTGCAACCTACCGAATGCAGGTAGATTAGTCGCATTCCACTTGGAAGGAGATGAAGATACCTTGGTCAAGTGATGCCATGAATCAGTCATCATTCCATTCCGTGCGTGTACAACGGCGTGCATGTGGGCTGGCTTGCTGTGTGCCATGCCGAAAATTCAACTTCCAATCCCCCCCTTTGCTTAATTTGATACGATGCACCTACTCAATCCCCCAAGTTGAGTAGCTCTACCGCAATGTCTAGAGCATAGTATGTATCCATATGACAAGCCTGATGTAGATCATACCCGTCGGCCCTCCACCATGTATGCATCTGCCATCCTTCCGAACCGCCCACCACAATACACGTCTGAGCACGTCAAACATTCGTATAAATTCCTAAAAAACAGGTTTCAATTAGTCAAACTGTTAGTATCCCTTGTCTCTTCGTATGCATTGCTCATCACGTGAATGTCTCGTCCTGCGGCTGAGCGCCGAGTGGGGGTCAAGCCGTGAATCTCTGCATTTCACGATGTAGCTGCCAGACAGCAAACTGCATCAATTCTACACCCGCAACAGTATTCCTCCGTATAGCTCTCCAGAAATCATATCCCCCGGCACACAATGGCGTCCTTTGAGGTCGACGAAGCCCTCATCGCGCGCGTCACCGACTTCGTCCAAGAGTACATGTCGCACTACGACGCCTCGCACGACTTCACGCACATCCAGCGGGTGCTCCGTCTCGCGCAGCACATCCAGGCGCGGACGCCCAACACCTCGCGCGCGCTCGTCACGCTCGCGGCGCTGCTGCACGACGTCGGGGACCACAAGTACCTCGCCGCGGGCGCGGACGGCACGCAGCTCGTGGCCGCCACGCTGCGCTCGCTCGGCGCCGCGCCCGCGCTCGCCGACAAGGTCCAGGCCGTGTGTCTCGGCGTCAGCTACTCGGCCGAGGTGCGCGACGGCCCGGCGCGCATGGCCGCGCTGCTCGCCGCCCACCCGGAGCTCGCCGTCGTGCAGGACGCGGACCGCCTGGACGCGCTCGGCATGGTGGGCGCCGGCCGCACGTTTGCGTTTGGCGCCGCGCGCGGACGCCCGCTCGAGGACACAGTGGCCCATTTCGAGGATAAGCTGCTACTGCTGGAGGGGCGCATGAAGACGGACACGGGCAGGGCGCTGGCCAGGGAGAGGACGCAGCGGTTGCGGATGATGCAGCAGTGGTGGCTGGAGGAGACGGGCGACGAGGTTCGATAGCTGCGGGGAGTTGAGAAGATCGGAGCATATCGAAACGGGGAATAATAAAATAAAGGGGGATAAAGGCGTTTAGGAGAATTACAAATTAAAAAGGAAAAAGTAAAAGGAAGGGCGAAATGGTGGATGAATTGAGCTTGACGATGAGAAGTGAGTTTCGCGTTGGTTATTACACGTCCAATACTAACAGATAGTCTAACTAGAAGAACGTTTCAAATGCCTCAGTACTTTCTAGCACTTTCAATGCTGGTGCTGGCGTACTGAGTTCCGTTGTAGATTGAATACAAGAGAGTAGAGATATACACAAGAGTGGTGTTGGGTATATAGATCCAAGTAGTACGACACTTTTGTCTATCGATCCAGAGCCTGGCTTTGGCACTATTTTCACAGTTAATAACCACATAATCATGACGTTTTCAGGAGGCACTTACCATCTGCCAATACACGCCACGCTTCTTCAGCAGCTCCCAGTGGCTGCCCTGCTCCAGCAGCCTCCCCTCGCCCAGCACGAAGATGACATCGGCATTCTGCACCGTGGCGAGGCGGTGGGCCACGACGACCATGGTGCGGCCGCGGCCGGCGCGCTCAAACGCGGCCTGCACCAGCTTCTCGCTCGCCGAGTCGAGCGAGCTCGTCGCCTCGTCGAGGAGCAGCACGTCCGGGCGGCGGAGGAGCGCGCGCGCAATGGCGACGCGCTGCTTCTGCCCGCCGGACAGCGTCACTCCGCGCGAGCCAATGTTGGTGCTGTAGCCCTCGGGCAACGAGACGATGAAGTCGTGCACCTCGGCCTCGCGGCAGACGCGGTGCAGGTGCTCGTCGGTGACGGTGGTCTCGTCGACGCCGAGAAGAATGTTTTCGCGAATGGTGCCTGGAGAGCAGAAGAAATGTGGTCAGCAAGGGCGTTGTTCAAGATGAGGTCAATGATGATTAGGCGGGGACTTGCCTCGGAAAAGGGTTGCTTCTTGGGCGACAAGAGACAGGTTCTCGCGGTATTGATAGACGTTGCTCTTGGCAATGTCCTCGCCGTTGCAGAGAATGCGGCCCTTGTTCGGTTCGTAAAATCTAAGACCGGTGAGCTCCATATTGCTATTCTGTCAAAAAGTGATGCGCACCTTTCAAGAAGAGAAATGATGCTCGTCTTTCCACATCCAGAAGCTCCTACCAAGGCAGCGAACTGGCCCTTTTCGATAGTCAGACTCAGCCCGCTAAACACGGGCGTGTCGCGCGTCGGATACCGAAAGTGCACATTCTCCAGCTCAATCTTGACACCGCCCCCTTGGCTCCTCTCCAAAATCTCCTCTCCTGCGCCCCTTTTACCACCGTCCTTGTTCTGCGAGTCGCGCAGTCTCAAGATACGGTTCGCCGCATCCTTGACCTGCGCCGCATTGGGCCCAAAGCTAAGCGCCTGGCCAGTAGACTCGCCCGCATTCATAATCGCCAGGAAGCACACGAAGAAGCTAGTGAGGTTGTACTCGCCGCTCAGCAGCAGGCGGCCGCCGTAGTAGAAGATGAGCGCCTGGCAGGCCATGGTGGCGCTGTCGGAAAAGGCGAACAGCAGGCTGACCCAGCGCGCTTTCTTGTAGGCGGCGACGACGTGCCCGCGGCACAGGGCGCCAAAGCGCGCGCAGATGGCGTCTTCGAGCGTCAGCGAGGCAACGGTGCGAAACGCGCCGATAGACTCGGCGGCGAACTGGGAGCTCTCGGTGAAGACGGCATTGTTCATGTTTTCAAACTGGATCTCGTACCGGAAGCGCCAGTATGTGGAGCCGAGTAAGATGGGCACGACGACGCAGAGAGAGACAATCGCCAGCTTCCAGGCAAAGCAAAAGGCAATGGTCAGGGAGCCGAGAAGCGTAAAGAGGCCAATGTACACGCTCGCCATGTTGGCGCCCATGAGCTCTTCCAGCTTCTGCGGATCACCCGCGGCGCGCGCCGTCATGGTGCCCTGCGCGTGGTCGTCGTCGTCAAAGAACTCTGGCTTCTGATGGAGCATCGACACAAAGTATTCGCGCTGGTACTTGGCGCGGATGACGTTGGCGGTGCGCGTGGCGAGGAAAAAGGTGCACGTGTAGGCGATGCCGACGCCGAGGGCAAGGACCAGCCACATGAGCGCGTACAGGTTGCTGTCGCGGCGGAAGCGCGCGGGTTCGGTAGCGGCGTAGCCAAAGATGACAATGACCTTGGCAAAGAGCCACGCTTGGATCGGGATGGCGGCGCCGGCGCAGGCGGCGGCCAGCAGCATGAGTATCATCATGGGCCAGTGGCTGCGCGTCTCGTAGAAGAGGCGACCGAAGCTGTCAAAGAAGCCGCGGTTCTTGTCGGTGGCGGCCGTGCCGACGGGAACCCCTTGGGCTGATTCTCTGGTCTTGCTCTTCTCTGGTGCTAGCTCCGCGGCATCCGCCTCCTCTGGCAGAACTCCGTCGTCCGCGTCGGTGGCGTCGCCAAGAGAGATGGATTGTGCGCGGACCAAAGCCGCGTACACGCCTCCATCTCGCGCCAGGAGGCTCTCGTGCGTGCCCGTCTCGACGACGCGGCCCTGCTTCAGGACGACAATGGTGTCGGCCTTTTTGAATGGTAGAAAGCCGGTGGGCAATGGTGATTGTGGTGCGGTTCCGTGCGACGCGGTCGAGGGCTGCCTGCACAATCTTTTCGCCGCGCACGTCAATTGCGCTCGTGGCCTCGTCAAAGATGAGAATCTTGGGCTGGCGCACAATGGAGCGCGCAATGGCGATGCGCTGCCGCTGGCCGCCGGAGAGCTTGGCGCCGCCGTCGCCGACGGTGGTGTCGTAGCCCTAGTGGCATGATCAGTCAAATGGAGTAGGAGAAAGGGTGTACAACAAACCTTGGGTAGTTTATCGATGAATTCGTCGGCAAAGGCCTCCTTGCAGGCGGCTTTGACCATCTCGCGTTTCTTGTCCTCTGGCTCGTCTTCCCATTGTGTACCGACTAGGCCATTGCTCACGTTGACGTATATGGACTCGTTGAACAGAAACGGCTCCTGTTGAACGAGACCAATCTGTGAACGCCACCATTTGACGTTGATGTCGTCGATGGAGTGGCCACATGTGGTGACTCTGCCTGACAGGGCAACGGGAGGTCCAGACTGCGCATCCAACTCGGCTTGGGCGGCAGCGGCCTCCTCTTCCGTGGGCTCCTCATCGTCACTGTCGTTCTTTTTCTTCTTCTTTTTTTCAATCGCCTTTGCGACGACGTACTGCTCTTTCAACGAATACCAGCGCTCAATTAGGCCAACAATGGTGCTCTTTCCCGAGCCAGAAGGGCCAACAATGGCCGTCGTCTTGCCCGACTCGAAGCAAAGGCTTAGGTTGTCCAGAACCTTGACGTGGGGGCGGCTCGGATACGCAAAGGTGACGTCTTCCAGAATAATGTCCTGGTCTGCGCTAACGTCGGGGGCGACGAGGTGGCCAGGTACAGGGCGTGGAGCGTCAATGACGGTGAAGAATTGGCAGGCGGCGACGGTTGCTTTGCTGACGGCGAGAAGAGGGGTGGACGTGCGCTCCAGGGAGAAGAGAATCATCATGACGGAAAATAGAACGCTGCCAAGGTCAGTAGATAAAGGGCGTGGCTTTGGGACGTGCTTACATGATGATAGTGCCGACGTCTGTCAGGGTGCCTTCCAGGAAGGATTTCGAGCCATACCAGAAGGCCAAGCTAAAAGCTGCAAACACACCAAAGAACTACAAATATGTTAGACACTGGCGGGACGGTAGTTGTAGAGAAGACATACAACGAGACCGAACTGCAGCGCAATTAACGGACTAGTACGCTGCGCATTCTTTCGGCATTCTTCAATGATAGCGGCGTACTTGTTGGCGATGCGCATCTCGGCTCCGCAGGCCATGATGATACGAATACTGCCCAACGTTTCACTCGCAATGGCATTGGATTGAGCTTCCAGCTAAAAGGAGGTATTAGTCTACATCCATTTCCGTCGCGGCCAATTTCTTACCTTGCTTGTGCGGCCTTGGCCCTTGACAATGAGTGGTAGCAAAACGCCAATGGTGAGCGTGATGAAGACGAGGGCCGACATGGTGACGAGCGTCAGGCGCCAGCTGTAGATGAAAGCCACCACGATGGCGGCCACGATGGTGGCGTTGAACTCGATAAAGGTGCCGAGCTTCTCGGAGATGCCGAGCTGGAGCGTGTTGCTCGTGGTGGTGATTGTGTTGGTGGCGAAGCCGGGGGGCATCGAGTCAAAGACGTGGATGCTCTGAGCGAAGAGGGCCTGCAGAAAATGAAGACGGATGGCGGAGGAGATTCGGATTCCAATCATGCGAAAGGCAAACTGTTGCGCGTCAGAGATTGAGTAGTGTCCATGGGAGAACAGATGTGTACTTTGTTGATATAGTTGAGAAACAGCCGTCCAAGGAAGAGGCCAAGCATGTAGAGCCTGGTACAGCTGGTCAGAGTAGCGTCCAGTGGTTCAAGGAGATGGTCCTACGATAGTTTTTGCAGCGTCGACTTGAAAGCTTCAGGGGAGAGAGTGCCAGAGCCCGCAAAGTCGGTAAACTGGCTGGTGAAGCGGCCTAGTGTGAAGTAGAGGTCAATGTCGGTGCCGGTCAGGATTGTCGAGGAAGAATACCAAAAACTACATTGAGTAGTGGCAGCGTGACGCCAGCCCCGATGGAGGCGAGAGAACCAAGTGCGTATGCAACGAAATCCCATTTGGTGGCATACTTGAAGACTCTCTGGGGGACACACGAATTTAGATGGAACAGACATCTGCACTACAACATGAAGCGTACCAGGTAATCGTTGAACGTTGCCTCGCGTTGAGGGCGCAATTGACTCGTCACGTCATTTTTCTCGTCCTTGTTCTTCTCATCTGGCGTTGAGCCGCCTTTCTTGTCGGAGCTTTGCGTCATGGTCGCCCGCGTCGAGATGGTCGATTCCCATCGCCAGACAGTTCTGCAGTTTCGCGCGGCTCTCTTATGTATGATCAACCAGGTCGTCGACGGACTCCCGGCCGCCTCGAGGGCCCCGAAGGTAGGCGTCAGCAGGGCTGGGTAGGGCAGGAATGCTGCGCCAAAACGTCAACGGGCCTGGGCAAAGCCCACTCAAATTGATGCGAGCAATACGGTAGGCTGCTAGCGGAGACTTTTTTGGATCAAGGAGGCCGCTGGAGGATGCCTAGTATCCCCCGGTCTTCTAGGCATCCAAATTGGCACGGCGCCGATTGGCGTCAAAGGTTAAATTGTCAGCACTGGATGGTGTGTGTGCCGCTAATTGGAAGGATCCGGCTGGCCCTGTGACGATGCGAGAAGCAGCCGTGTCTGGGCTTTGCGACTTGCCCGTCCAGCTCTTGCAGGGTTTCAGCTTGACGATGCAACCGTGTCTGCACAGAAGAACCAAAGGCGTTGATGTTGAGTCATTCCTGTGGCCACGAGCTACGCCATTTGTTCAGCTTGGCGGCACCACCACCCATGTCTGCACCAATGGGATTTCATCAATGTCGAGCGTTGACAGTACTCGTTAACAACCAAAGTCGTGCATCGCATCGTGCCCTTGGTGACACGTTTGTGCGAGGTCAGCGCGGGACAATTATTTCCAGCCAGCCCTCTTTAATACCCGACTTCCCGACTATTACGATGGTCCCCCCGCTGTGCCCGTTCGCCCGCTGTGGGCCAGGGTTTTGGCCGCCGTTGGTAGCGTAAACAATCGTGACGACACGCCCATTGAATTAGGTTCACAGGAGAGTAGGTGGAATGCATAAATATCCAACCATGGAGAAACAGTCAACAATTCCTCTCATCTCGCCATTATTCCCACAAACAATGGAGAGGAGCACAACCGTCGGCCGCTCGCCACCGCTACATGAAATAGTGGAGAGCTCCCCGAAAGCGATGGCGGGGTAGCTTCATCTTCATCAGCTCCTTCTTTCTTTCCTCGTCCTTGACCTCGATCCAAAAGCCACTTGCCGACTTTCCTACGGCTTCTCACTTTCTCTTGTTCGCTCAACCTCATCTTGACACGGAATTCATCCGCTTTATCCCCGGCCAGTCAAGAATTGTAGCACGCACCGATACCAACGCCCCTTGATACCCTTGATACCCAACACCACCACCCACCATGGCCGCCTCAGACGAGCAGCTCGTCCTCCCCATCATCGACGCCCACATCCACCTCTACCCGTCCTCGGAGCTCGACTCCCTCTCCTGGGCCGACCCGGAGCACCCACTATACGGCCAGCACTCCCTCGAGCAGTACAAGGCGGCTGCCGCGAGCGCCCCGTCCCTGCTGGGCTTCATCTTTGTCGAGACGGACCGCAAGCACGACCTGGCCTCTGGCGCCGCCGACGGCTCCGGCTGGGAGGCGCCCCTACAAGAGGTCCGCTGGCTGCGCCGCATAGCGCTCGGCGAGCCAAAAGACGGCGAGGGCCACACGGCCGACGACGCGAAGCTCTGCCTGGCCGTCGTGCCCTGGGCCCCCATCCCCAGCGGCCCGGCCGTGCTGGAGCGCTATCTGGCCAGGGTCCAGGACGAGGCCGGCGATGCGTGGCCCAAGGTCAGGGGGTTCCGCTACCTGCTGCAGGACAAGCCGCACGGCACCATGCTGGAGCAGGACTTTATCGACGCCTTGAAGCTGCTCGGCCGTCGCGGCTTTGTGTTTGAGATAGGTGTGGACCAGCATCGTCGGGGACGGAAGCAGATGGATGAGCTGATTGAGCTCGTTGACCGCGTGCATGACGGCGTGCCCGAGAATGAAAAGGTCAAGCTGGTGATTAGTAGGTTGCCTTCCTTTTTTCTTTTTTTCTTCGCTACAACGTCTTCAACCCCGCTGACCAAGACAGACCACCTCTGCAAGCCTGACTTTTCCATCTACAACCTCACCACCGACGCCGGCTTCCTCGCCTGGCGCACCACCATCTACGCCCTCGGCAAGGTGCCCCAAGTCTACATGAAGCTGTCTGGCGGCTTCGCCGAGATGCCCGCCGCCCTGCGCGCCCAGGACGCCGCCCACATCTTCCAGTCCACCTTTGGCTGGCTCGGCGTCGTCCTCGCCACCTTTGGTGCCCGCCGCATCATGTTTGGCAGCGACTGGCCCGTCTGCACCGTTGGCCTGCCCGACGGCCACGAGGGCTGGCCCCGCTGGAAGGAGGTGGTGGATAAAATGTGCTGGATGGCGTCGCTGGATGACGACGAGCGCGCCATGATTTATGGCGGGACGGCCAAGGAGGCGTATGGTTTGTAGGGCTCATTGATCAAGGGTTATAACATATTCTGCAGCCAATTGAGGTGCAAGCTTACGACATGTTGCTTTACAGCTGATAAAAAGGTTCAACAGTCAATTTCCAGCTTTCCTTTAATTGCAAAATGGAAAAAGCAGAGATTCGTCATCATTACGGTTTCAAAAATCAAAGATAACAATGGTATCAACGCCAGTCATCATCCACATGTAAACAATAGTCCAACAAACGCACGCTCTCATGCAACCATCCATCCAGTCATAACAGCATCTCACGACTGTCAAGTCTATCCTCGTAACTTCATGACCCTTTTCCCAAATCCACAGCAAACCTCCTTCGCAAACATTCACTGGCCGCGACCACGATGGCTGCCCATCTTTTCAATCGAGCTCAATATTCCACTGCGCGAGCCCGGCATCCGCAGCCCTCCGGCTCCTCCCGCGCCGCTTCTATACGCCGACCCGGGCGCCCTCAGTCCCGACGCTTTCCCGACACTGCCCCTCCTACCTCCCGGCGTTGTCGGTGGCGGCGGCGGCGGCATCGAGATGGGTCTCTTGGCTGCCGGTGTCTTGCTCGGTTCCGGCATCATGGACCTCGCTGTGGCGGGAGACGTTTTACCTCCTGCGCCGCCGCCCACACTCTGCATCGACATCATTTCTTCCGCCAGCTGCACGAGCTCGCCCTTTTCCACGCGTTCCTTTTCAAGTAGCCCGCGGAGGTCCTGGTTGTCCCCTTGGACCGAGGCCACCACAGCTTCGAGGCGCTGCACGGTAGCGTGGAGCTCGCGAATGGCGGCGCGGTCGCGGCTCGCCTGCTCCTTGTCGGCTTCGGCGTTGGCCTGCGCGGCCACGAGCAGTGTGTCGTCAGGATCAGGGCGGCCTGATTGCAGGTCCGCATTCTCTTTGCGGAGCTCCTGTACGCGGCGCTCCAGCTCCTTGGTCTTTTTCTCCCAGCGTGCTTCGTACGACTTCTTGAGCGCCGTCACCTTGGTCTCGTGCTTGCTCTTATATAGCGTGTGCAGCTCACGAGCAACACGCTCCACCGCCATCTCGACCTCTTTGTTCGTCTGCTGTGGGGACGGCGCCACTTTCCTTCCTCCCTCCGCGTCCCGTCCCGCGCGCAGGCCGGCAATCTTGCTTTCTGCCTCTTGGTGCAAAATCTCAGCCGCCTCGCGGCGCTTCTCGCTCTCTTCGAGCTTGCGGTCCGCTTCCTCGCGGTCACGCTGCCCATTGCGTAGCTCCTCTTGGAGCTGTTGCAGCATGCGCTCCATGTCCCGCCCGCGGCGCGCCCAGTCGTCCTTTTCAGCCGCTACCTGCTCCCGCAGCGCCGCCTCCTCGCGGAGCTTCTCCATGGACGCGCCGACACGCGCCTCGGCGTCGCCCACGGCCGTCTTGAGCGACTGCACCTCGGCCGCCTTGCCGCTCAGCGACGCCTTGAGCGAGGAAATCTCGGACAGGAAGCCAGATTTGAGCGACTCGAGCTCGCGTGAGGAAATCGACGGCACGCTGCGTGGTGTCGGCAGCGGGGGAATGTCAAAGTCAATGAGCATCGTTCCGGCACCGCCCGCTCTAGGGGTGGCGGTGGCGGTCAGGTTGGGTAGTGTATTGGACGATGGCAGTTTCTTCTCTGGGGAGCGGCGTGGGTGTCGTAGCGAGTCGGTAAAGTCCATAAGGTTCGTCGTGCTGCCGCTCTCGTCCCGGGTGGTCGACCGCGACGATGACACCTCAGCTAGGGCAGCGAGCTTGGCGGGACTCTGCTTCCCGCGCCAGTTGGCGTAGCTCGTGAGCGTAGGGGCGGTCACGGAAAAAGTGCTAAACGTGCTGGTCATGGTATCGTCCGGGTTGAAGGCGCCCGCTTCGTCGTCATCGTCACCGTCCGCCGCCGGGGTGTCCTCCTCGTCATCCTCAAAAATGTCAATCGCGCGCCGCAAGTGGTTATTTGTCCTCATCGCCTCCTCGAGGCTGACCTGCCGCTCCCGTACGCCATCCTCTCCACCCCCTCCAATCTTAACCGGGAACCGCTTCTCTGGTGACGAAATCTTTCTAGCATTCCGCGTCGGCGGCGGCCCCATTCCACTACCGCTGTCGTGGTTCTCCTCGCTGCTGCGCTTACGGCCGAGGATCTTGAGCGGCGACAGCTCCGTGCCCGAGATGACGCGGCTGTGGCGGCGGTTTTTAGCCGGCGACAGCGACGCCGGGGCGGTGCCAATGGTGCTGTTGGGCTGCGAGGAGTGACTCCGGGAGGTGCCGGTCGTCAGGGCGCTGGTGTTGCTGAGGAGCGGCGAGGACATGGTGTCCCCGTCGTCGTCGTGATCTTGGTTCTCGTGTATTGTTATGGCGCCGCGGACGGTATACTTGGAGACCTCGTAGTCGTTGTCGTAGCGGCGGAAGCTTGGCGAGCAGTTGAGTGCAGCGTCGTGGGCTGGTGACAGCGGATTCATGTTGTTTTGTTTTGTAGGTTCTCGGCTTCGTTTGCAGCGTCGGTGTAGTTTGTTCACTCTGATGTGATTTGTCGATTTTGTTTTGTAGGGCTATATGCATAAAAGAGAAGAAAGTTTACGCGGTAGGCATTCACTCGCTCACACAAGAAAAGATATGTGGTCTGTTGTGAACGTGTTTTGTTTCAATGCAGAAGGAAAGTTTCGTTTCATCCAAAATACATCTCATCTCCATGTTGCGTTGTCCGTTGTTGGAACCCATACCAAGGAGCGATTGTGGATAGGTGGTGTTGGCCCAGCAACCACTCCACCAGAACCGCTACACGTGACGACTTACACGTACATTGCACTGCTGCACATCGTGTCCTTTCTGTGCATGTTTGCATGTTTTGGATGAAACTCAAGGCAAGATACAAGCCACTTTTGAGCGACGATGTAGAGAGGCCCTGCATTGTGGGTGCAAGACACATCATGCAGGCGGATGTTCAGTCCAGCGTCTGTACATTCACATGGATAAAGAACCGTTTGCAGTCGCAAGACCGTCCAAAAAGTATTATGGCTACGCCCGTCGTGGGTCTGTACAGTCACAAGATCAGATCAAAAGGCAATAGAGTCTAAATTCACAATAGCTTTTATTGTCATTTCATAAGTCGTGAACAAACCACGCAACATGTCCAACAAAGAAAGGAGGGGGCAAACACCAAAAAGCGGTGACTTGCTTAGAGAAAAAGGTCAAGTAATAGAATGCCATGAAAGAAATATGAATGAAAAATAAACAGTTCATAAAGTCATCACCGGCTGTGTATTTTGTAGCCGGTGTCTCTTCCATTTCCAATTAAAAATGCCCTGTTTTTCCAACTCTTCCCAACCAAAAGGCATTCTAGAATAGAGAAACAAAGATCATTTTTCCGCCTCATTTGTATATGTGAGAAGAGGCGTTTGTAGTTTTTCAAATTGGGTTCTCCAGCTTCTTCTCCCAGACGCCGGAATCATCTCACTTTCCTCGTGCTTCTGCCTGGGGAGCGTAACAGGCAGTATAGGCAGAGGAAGGCAAACGCATCGACACATCTGGGTCTGAAGAACCACAAACTTAAGAAAAAATTGTCCCGGCGCCAAGGCTTTTTTTGATCAAGCCAATGTCAATCGAGATGGTGAGGCGTGACTCGTCAAGACGCTGCGCAGCTGTGGAAAGAAGTTGACTGAATAAGTGGTAACAATTCGTAAGAATTCGTAACTCGTCGCGCATTGCTTGTTGCAGGGATCGACAAAAGTTCAAGCCGCTAGCCTTGCGCTGGAATGACGCAGAGGTGACTAGAAAAAATAGAATAAAGAAGCGAAGAATTTTGACAAGTGATGAAAATGAACAGAGTGAACGGGGTGCCCAGTTGCAGTACGATTTGCTATGTGCATGGAAAGCATTTCGTCTGGCAAGTGTGGGCGGAGCAATCATTAGGGCAGTCATCGTGACGTGCAGGAGGCAGTCGTCGTGACATGCAAGTCATGTATGCTTATCGTCGGGGAGGAGCCCCGACGGCAGAGGCGGATTGGTTCATGGCGTCGTAGACAGGAGCCGGGACACTCGTCTCCATCATAGTCTTGCGGCGCTTCAGGTCCATGGCGCCAACATTGTTGGCGCCTTCGTCGTCGTCGCGGCCGCGCTTCACACCAGCGCTGACACCGTTGATAGCGGGGGCACGAGGAGCGTAGCCATTCGTCATAGAGCCTGGCAACTCGCCCGAAGGGGCATAGACTTCGAGTGTAGCAGCACCGTTGGTGGCGGGACGGTCATTGCTCATGACGTTGTAGAGGCTACTTGACTGCTGCACGCGAGGGGGCGTGTTGTAGCCAGTGTGCTGGTAATACGACTGGGGTTGCGCGGCAGTTCTAGGCGTGGCACGACCAGAGGCGGGAGGATGGTTAGGGGAGCCTGTCACATCAGGAGGCATGTTGCTGCTGTCACTGGGTAGGCCGCCAGGGGCGGCGGAATAGTTGTACGAGGTGCGGGCAGGGTCGTATGAGCCACTGTCGTGGGTGTACTCGGGATCCTGCTCGTGTTCACCTTCCTCATCGCCAGGTTGCTGGGGAGCAGCCTGGTCAGAGGCAATGACACCGTTGGGTTTGGCTTCGGAATGGTCAGCAAGGGTGCCCGTGGCTGGTCGACGTAATGGTGGAGCCATGTCATTCTTGGGGTACGAACCAGCCTGACCGTACAGACGGTCCTGAGAAGAGTTACCAGCGCTCTGGTAAGGCGACTGCTGCGACGAGGGAGCATTATACATCTGGCGGCTTTCATAGCCGCCGTGTGCGCTGGAGGGATACGACTGGAGAGATTGGAGCGATGTGCCGGGCGGTGTCGAGGTCTGCTGCTGGCCGTTGATGCCCTGGCCCTGCCAGTTGAAGCCTTCAGAGCCACCCATCCCGTTGATGACGCTGGAAGCACTGGTCGGGGGCGTAGGGAAGGTGTGAGCGCGTTCTAGGCCCGGGCGTGCTAGCGAGCTGTGAGAGGGCAAGGTCTGGGGACCGGGCACCTGGGCCATGGCGGACTGCTGCTGGTGGTGAATGGAGGGAAGGCCGTGGCTAGACGGTGTGCGCATATGCTGGCCCTGATCTTGCTTGCGGCGGTCGGCGGCGGCCATGACCTGGTTGGTGCGGCTCTGATTCGTGGGATGGTAAAGTAGAGAGCCAATGTTGTGTACAAACAGAGGATAAAGAAGCTCGGTAATCTTTTCCTTGTTGGCAAACTCGAGAGCCCGCTCATAGGGAATCCTATCGTGTCTTAGTTTTTTTACGATGCAGTGTCTCATTTGTGAATCAATGCACATACCAGACTCCTTTGAGGTGCATGGGGCCTATTTTTACGACATGGCGGATCTTTTCGCTCTTAAGAATTCCGTCACGACGGCCACGGGTCATACCAGCGACGTTTAACAGTTTTGTGCCATTAATCATGTGGTTATCTAGTACGAGGTGAGCAATTGGAATTCAAAGCACGGCGCGAGGTACGTCGACGAATATTCAGCAACGGGCAAAGGAACGTACCTTCTCGTCGGGCAACGCAGATACCGCGGGCCTCGACCTGGAAACAGAGACTTCCTTCGTCCTCCCAGAGGGTAGCCGTTACGCGAGGCTTCATGCCAGGCGGGGGCTGCTGGCCAGTGTTGTCAAAGTGTGCGTAGGGTTGTTGCAACGAGTTTTGGCTGGGGACGCCACCGGGCAAGGGCAGAACGTTTTGCGGGGCAGCCATGCCGTTGGAAACGGGTTGCGGGGCGGACGGCGAGGTGAGGCCGTTGCCGTAGCCGTACTGGTAGGGCGCGGCATTGGAGTACTGGCCGTGGGTGGACTGGAGCATAGGAGGTGGCTGCTGGTGATAATGGCCCATTGCGCCCGAGGTGACAGTCTGAGGAGGAGGCGGCTGGCCAGCTGAGATGTGCTGGGTATAGTACATATCGGGTGGATGATTCATGGCGTCGTAGCGGACAATGTTGGTGGGTGGGCCTGTGATAGCGTTGAGCGGCAGAGTAGGCGAAGGCGTCTTGGGACCGTTGGAGGAGGCGGCCGAGGTAAAGGAGGATTGGGAGCCGTTGTGAGAGGCAATCGAGCTCAAACGCGGGGACGAAGTGCCGGAAGAATGGGCCTGTCCGGGAGGAGGCAGAGCGAATGACGGTAATCTGTCAAGGCTCATAAATACTCTTGTAGCAACGAGAACGATGCGAGAGAAGGGGGGGGGGGCGAATTGTAGTACAACTCTGGCTGGTTTCAGAGTAGCTATGCCGGTGGACAAGGCAAGGTCGGGCCTAGGGCGAGAGAGGACGACAAGACGGTGGAAGTCGAGGGATGTTGTAAGAGGGAAGAAACGCTGGCAGCAAGATGGGTGCAAAAATGAGCAGGCCTATGCGACGGCGGTCGAGGAAAAGACGTGCTAATCGTAAAGGGGCATGAAGTACAAATCGTCTTAATCGTGACACATTCCAGGATGGAGAAGTGATTTCTCCTAGAAGCCAGGCGCAGGTGTCGAGAGGCAAGACAAGTAGGTATATATGCGGCGAGGGGAGGCTGGAGAGGGTGGAAGCGGTCGATGATGGTGCGCCAGAGAGGCGGTGATGTCGGATTGGTCTTTGACGACGGAAAGAATCGTTTGGCACAAGGCGGGAAGGCAAGGCGGAGCGGGAGAGGTTGAGAGAAGTAGGCGCGCAACAAGAATTGCAAACGGCGACGAGGTGAAGCGGGCGTTTGAACGTCTAGACGTTGTGGCGGGGAGGTTACTGGCAGAAGAACAGTAGCGCCGACAGCTGCAATGCAATGCGGTTAGCTGCAAGGTTGACAAGGCGGGAGGAAGCAGAGTCGCATGGAAAGAAGAAAGGAGGAGACAATGTAGAAGCAAACGGCGGGAGAGCGGCCGGGGGAATATAATGCAATTGGAAGAAGGCTGGGCGCGGTAAGGGCATAGGTAGCAAGCAAGCATGAATGGTTTCCCAGAGCTGTGGTGCGCTGGTGGAGGACGAGGCGGAGAAGAAGGCGCGCGCGCGCTGAGGACGACGGCGCGGCGCATCAACCAACATGCAAGATGGCGAGGATTGATTGAGACAGGGACCAGTGGAGTAAAAGCAAGCACAGGCAAGAAAAAAAAACTAGAAGCCATACCTTTTTTTTCCTTTTTCTTTCTTTCTTTCTTTCCTTTTGAGGGTCCTTCTTCCTGCCGTCTCGAAACAAAAGTCTGAGAATTGGGAAAAATGGAGAGGTCGGTAATAGCGGGTGGTTTGAGATGTTCGAGGGGTGAACCGGGGGGGGGGCGATGGAGGATAGGGAAAGATGAGATGAGGAGAAAGTTGAAAAGGAAAATGAAAAAAAAAAGGGAGTGAGGAAAAGATGCTTATGAAGAGCAAGTCGGACAATGTCTAGAGACGGGGAAGGAAGAGGAGGAGTTGCGAGGAAGAGAGAGAGGAGGAGGCCCTACAAGAGGTCGAGCTTTGGGCCGGGGATGGTTTTGTTTTTTCGGGCGTGTG